GCCCTCATATATATAATGTAGATAAACATAAGCTGTTTCCATAAATAGATGGAAATGCCATCTGGCAATGAAACCTGAATACAGTAATCCTAAACTGGTTTCTCGTTTGGGCTTGGCCCTTGTTACACATTTATGCTTGGTTTCCCTTTGCTACTTTAGGCTGGTAGGTGACATGCCTGGAAGAAACGTGAGCGCACACATGTGTGTGTGTGTGCGTGTGTGGGTCTGTGCATCTGTGCATCTGTGCGTCTGTGTGTCTGTGCGTCTGTGTGTCTGTGGCTCTGTGGATCTCTGTCTGCGTGTCTGTGTCTCTGTGTCTGCGTGTCTGCGTCTCTGCGTTTGTGTGTCTGTTTGTCTGCGTGACTGCGTGCATGTCTGCGTGTCGTCTGCAGTGTCTGGCGGTGTGTGTCTGTCTGTCTCTGTCTGCTCTGTACGTCTCTGTCTGACTCTGTCTGTATCCGTCTGTCTGCCTCTGTCTCTCTCTGTCTGTCTGTCTGTCTATCTGTCTGTCTATCGGTCTGTCTCTGTCTGTCCTTGTCTGTCTCTGTGTGACTCTGCCTTGTTCGGTCTGTCTGTCCCTGTCCCTGTGTCTCTGTATCTCTCTCTCTCTCTGTCTGTGTCTGTCTAGGAAGAAGCTTGAAAAAAGAAACGGCCGGCTGACAGCAAAAGCAAACTCCTCCGGAACTGAGTTTCTCACAAAACCTAGGAAATAATGTTAACGCCTTACGTAAAAAACAAATTTACAAATAGGGGGTGTCCCCGGGTGTAGTGGGGAATCATCACTTTTGGAGGGGAACACCCCCCCGAGTAATAAATTGAGGTTGATTAATTTGGGATCAACATTAAGACGGGTCCAATGAAGGCAAGACAATTACTCTGAACCCCAGTTTACCCACCCAGAAAAGAGGAATCTCCTTGTGGGGGACTCTTTTGGGTTTCCATGCTTTGATTTGTAGAGGAGTACCTGAAAGCTTCCAGCTTCGCGCCTGGCCACGTAAACGAACTCCATGATCTGCGTGCAGTCCATGGAGCCAATATCGAAGGACCCGCTATAGGGCTCCTTCGAAGAGCTGCCTGCAGCTTGCTCGCAAACAAATCGGTCCTGAAACCCCAAACCTCAGCTGTTGCCAACCAAACAAATATATCGCTGATTCTGGTTTCTCAAGGCAGTGGCCCCCTAAAATGCTTGGTTCCTTTTGCCCTGAAATCCAAAAGGGGTCCGCCATTTTGAGAAAATCCCCCGATATACTGATATACTAGTGAACCTGAAAAGGCTCACTCATTTGTCAAAAGAGATTCTAGAGTTACTTTGGTCCTTCAAGGCAAACCCCTTCGGAAGGGTTCAACCATTACAGCTGAAACAAACCGCCAACAAGGGGTTGGGCTATCGACACGGAAAGGTTTGCCCACTGTTGGGACCAGTCATCAACCTTCAGTAATTAAAACAAAAACTCCACTGGAATTTGGGGTCCCAAAATAGGCTCTTTTGGGAATCCAAAGCAAGTCATGGCGTGGCATGCCTGTCCCATTGTCCTCCAGATTTGGAGGGTGGCCAACGCAGCTTTCCATAGTCAGCTCAAAGGAGACCCATTTTCACTGATTTTCATATGGAACCACCTCCGAAGTGATTGGTGGACATGAATCCCAACCCAAGTACACCAACAAGGGGCTCAGGGGTCGTTGAACAAGCCGGAGTTTTCCACTGCACATCCTCCATTGTCAATTAAGCAAGCATGGTGAGGGAACCTCTGTAAAGCCCTGGTGGCTCCTCAAAGACTTGGTGACAAGAATGGGCTGTCAACCCATGGACTGGAAGAAACTGAACTACTCCACGTGCGGGTTGCTGATCATGCCTCACTCAACACCAAAACCATGGAGGGCTGATTACCATCCCCAAAAGCTTCAAGTACAAGGGCGTTTTAACTATAGCAAGTCGGGCAGTTGACACAACGGTGACCCGTTTGGGCACTCCTTGTAAATGTGGCACCACATGAGACCTCTTGTCGACTCCAAAAGAGCCGCCCACCACATGTGAACAAACATTATGCCGTTTTGCATTGTCCCCTGTACAGAAATTGAGATTCAGTGCGTAAACAGCATTTGAGCCAGTAGTTTCAAGCCAAATGCGGTAGGTCGTGGTTTCACAGAACACCCAACACTGCAGATGAACCACACCAAAAAAGAAAACACGTTCTTAGAGGTGTCAATGGCAGGGCTCGATCTTGCAATCACCAGCTTAAACCCCCAAAGCTGACTTCCAAACACCAAAATTACGCGATTCACAGCAGTAGAGGAGTCTGTGTTTGCCGCGGCCAGGTTTAGATCCGCAAAAGGCAACTTCCTGGTTAAAAGGGCGGGGAAAATGGTCAAAACATTCAAAACGCTAAACTGAGTCCAACGTTTTTAAACCCTTCGGCAGCAACTTTTGCTTAGCCGCAGTAGCCCTCCTCTAGGAAGGGGAAGGGTGCTGCATCTTCCGCAACCACCAGCGCCAGACTCCCGAGCGGTGAGGTGAGATCCTACCCTTCCAACACGGAACTTGTGTTGGGCCTAAGCTTCTGTCTGTAAGCTTTGGGGGAAGGTGTAAAACATCAACACACTCGATTCAAATTGGCCCAACCGGCGATTAAAGGAAAGGTGGAAGCCGACCTCAGGCAAAACCACCGGCCCTTGGGGTAGACCGGTGTCGCTGCTATGTACACATATGGGTGTGTCTCGTTTTAGGGGACCCACAAAAGTGTTTGGTTTCCCTTTTGTGTCCGTTTAACACCAACCAAAAGAGGTTGCCTAGAAAAAGCACACAAATATACACATACACTATGTCTGTATGGGCACCTCCCTGACATAGCGCTTGCAAAATGAGAAATTGACCTCGGGTGTAGTGAAAAGGAGTCCTTAAGGCACCCTCTAATTGAATGTCGGAAGGCCATGTTCTAGGGACCTTGGGGTTTGCAATGGCGTCCTCGTCAAGGTTAGGGTTTGCCAGCCGAGCACTTGCAAAGAGTCCGACCGTTCAACCTGAAAGCCCGAAAGCAAGCGACTTTTGAGGAAATCAATACAATCAAGAACGAGAACACCAAACAACTGCTAGCCTCGTTGCACCAAAGAAGGTGGGATAGAACATTGGGCATGGTTGTGGGCAATACCCGTTGATACTGAAGTGGTCTGTCCCCATGACTACTGGTCGCGTTGTTCACTGGATTCCCTTGATATCCAACTTGTCACAACCGTCGAGGGACAATCGCATAGTACCTCACAATACTCTACTTTTCACAAACGAGTCAAACAAACAACCCGAACCCACCCCGTCAAACGAGCATAGATGTGTCAAACAGCTGGCTCAACACAGCCAAGCGGAACTGCATGAGGAAGGATTCACCCAGCGACATGTCTGCCATTGTTAAAGTCGGCATCCTGGCTACAAGAAAAATGCGCTTACCGAACAACGGGACTCAGAGCAGGATCGCCCAGCTTGACTCTGGCATATAGCCACGTCTCGCAAGGGAATGCCCCAAATATTGATCTAAGGCAGCACAAGGTCGCTTCTATACGGGCTCCGTTTCAGGTGAACCGTTTAGCAGACTTCAAAGTCCAATACCTTCTGTTCTACCTTCTATAATTCTGGTGTGCATGCGCCAACAGCAAGCCTGATGTCTGGGCTTAGTATTGAACCGGCACAACCCACACAGCGGTGTATCCTGCATGCCCGATATAGGATTCAATCATCCAATCCGCAAAGATCCGCAAAGAGCGATACCATGAATGATGGACCCTCTAAGCAATTGTCTCTTAACAACTGAGCTTGACAGCTATGCCTTGACAGCTATGCCATGCTGGAAAGGCTTACATGGGTGTATATCCAGGATGTCCGATTGATTCCAGAAGGACCCCCAACAAACATGTCTGAGGGCTGAGGGATCCAATTCCTTTTGGAACTATTTATGACTGTCAGTCGTTGACGTCTTGATGCCATCTCCACTGGATGCGAGTTTAAAAGACAAACCAAGCACTTGCACAGCTGATCGAACACCCATTCAGTTTCCTTTGCAACAATGGCCCGAGATGTATTTCTCCTCCTTCTGACCCCTGAAAGCGAAACTATCCAGTTGCTTAAGTCCATAGAAAAACAGGAGTCCAGTTGTGATAGATTCCCTTTAAAAGCAACAGGGGAAGTATAACATATTCTCAAGCAAATGGAATAATATGTCAGATGTGCAGGTTATGTTCAAAGTTTGCTGTTTTGTTGTTAACATACCCGGGCAATATTAGGAGTGTCACTTGTCCAATCTGCAAACTTCGCGTTCTCACCACCTCCCTCGAACAAAAGAAGCATGACCAGCCTCAGCCACAGCCGCATGGCCAGCATGGCTTGCACCGGTGCGCACTTGTGTGTTGCTCCCAAATCAAAAGGGCTTGCCTCGGGACAAGAACAACGCTCTGAGGTCCGGGAGTTCTGAATCTCACGTGGAAGGATGCGGATCAAGGATCGGCACCACAGCAATCTCCTGAAGCAAAGCGCGGGGCGAAAACCGCGTTGCCGGCGACACCTTCATGACCTCTGCCGATGTCTGAAAATTGCTTGACGGCACGAAAATGCAGCGGTCCGTTGCTTGGCATGTCGGGCTTCTCTGAGTTTCATATGGTCGTCTGAGCCCTAACTGCGGAGAAGTCGCGATGCAAATCGTACTTGGAGATGCCCTTGGCTTCCACTGCTGCATATGTTTCTGTGGATGTGAGAAATAACCCGAAATCTGTGATACCAAAGAGGGATCCCCATCCCCATGACGTGCTGGGGGGATTCTCCGACATAGAAGGCTCCCCTACAAACAAAGAAAAACTCTATATAGTGATATCCCAGCAGAACCCACGGAACTCTTCCGAAACCCTACCCCGCAGCCGCTCCAAACCACTCCGGAGCCTATCTTGGCAAAGATTTCAAATCTCGAAGATAGCACAAACAACTCTCTTGGGAATGTTGGATCCAGGCCAAGCCAGAACACTTTAAATCTCTTAGACAAACCGCAAACTTTGTCTGGGCTGGATCCAAGAACCAAGATTGCGCAAAACATGTTTATTGGGAATCTTGGACCTTGGATCCCCCCAAAAAATTAAAGCTTTTCCGAACACTTTTAAGCTTGCTGGGGAATTGCTGGATGCAAGATTCCCACGAAACTTTCCTGTGCAATCTTGGATATTGGAGCCATCCCAAAAGACTTCAAAGTCTCTCCAATAACTTTCAAGTTGCTTTTCACAGGCCCTTCTTGTTCGATCTACGTGCCCAGTTTGACCCGGCAAAATGGAGGGGTAAAACAAAGGAGCACAAATGCGCACAAACACCTTGTCTTTGGCTGTATTGTTTGACTAGGTGCAGGTCCGTGTGTGTGGGAAAATATGGTACAGCGTTGCCACCCCCCCCCCCCCCCGCACCCACCACCCAATGGTCATGGGTCAGACAAGTACCCCCCCCCCCCTTGTGGTTGTGGTCCTGTGGTTGGGTTGTGGTGGTTTAGGGTTGGTTTAGGATTGGTTTAGGGTGTATTTATGGTTAGTTTACGGTTAGGTAAGGGTTGGTTTATGTTGATTTAGGATGGGTGTAGGGTTGGTTTAGGTTTAGGGTTTATGGTTTAGGGTTTGGTTTAGGGTGTATTTAGGGTTGGTCTAGGGTTGGTTTATGTTGACTTAGGATTGGTTTAGGTTTAGGGTTTATTGTTTAGGGTTTGGTTTAGGGTGTAGTTAGGGTTAGTTTACGGTTGGTTTAGGGTTGGTTTATGTTGATTTAGGGTTGGTCTAGGGTTGGCTTAGGGCTGGTTTTGGTTTGGAGGTTTACGGTTTAGGGTTTGGTATAGGGTGTTGGTTTAGGGTTAGTTTAGGGTTGGTTTATGGTTGGTTGCGAGTCGGCTTGGCCGGGGTGTCGGGGTGCGTAGGGTCGGGGCGGGGGTGGGACCGTAGGTGCCAGGATCTGGGGGCTCGGGGTCTTGGGCCGAGGGGGGGGGAGGGTCCTGGTGGACCTATACATCTATACCTATATATAGATATATGCATATTGCCAGCATGTTTTTTGTGCACCTGTTTGCAACATTGCTGTCAACGTCCGATTCGAGTAATTATCATGACCGTACTCAAAGTTCTGGCATGTATAAATCCCACGCAAGTGTCATTGACCCTGGCAGAACAAATTAGAACCCCTTTTGAGGTGATTCCATATTTTGGGCCTCCCGAACCCAGCAAACAACGTGGGATTCAGCAGGGCCCAGAACCCTGCTAAGCAACTGGAAAGAATATTGTTGGCAGCCAAACTATGGCGGAAACCCCTCTTCCACAGATGCAGCTTCCGCGGTTTCATCAACCAACGATCCCGAAAAAGGTGGCACCTCCAAAAAGGCGCTGTTGAAACATTGTTGGACGGGACTGAAGACGTCACCAAGCAATGGGATCCGGGTCCGAGTGCGGAAAACCGGGTGAAACCCGGGTCCTGTGCGGTTTCGGTTTCCGAGGAAAGCGACCAAGGGTGCCACTACTGTTGACTCATACCCTTGCGGTTGCTCATCTAGGAATGGGAATTGAACGCACAGGCCTGTGTTGCCTCGGGCCATTGCCATCAATTTAAGGATTGAAACTTTGCCGTTCCCGCTGTTTTGGGGCTCTTGCTTGACTTCAATCGCAGCCCCCAGCACAACCTTCTGGGCCCCTGGAGCTATTGAAACAAAAAACACTTGCCGCCATGTGCCATGTCCCATCCTCAATTGGTCCGTTCAAATAAAAGGAAGGACACGGGAGGCGAATGGGCACCCCAAATGGAGGCCTCCTTTTGGTCCTCACAAAAAACAGAAACTCATGTAGGTGTAGGTGTAGGTGTAGGTGTGTCTGTGCCTGTGCCTGTGTCTGTCCGTCCGTTCGTCTGTCTGCCTGTTTGTTAGTTTGTTTTCTTCCGTGAACACCCCCAAGTCTTTGAGGATCACAGACATTAAAACCACCCGCGCACTTCCCTGAGAATCTGCTCTCAAATCGAGTCGAGTTTGCATCTGGGCATCTACTCCGCTGTTGATTCCGTAAACATCGCAAACACTGCGCGAACTCATGTGAATCCTAGAAAGTGCCAGGCCTTCTGGTTGCTGTACCTGCTGAGAATGTAGGGAATCATCCCGTGGAAGGATTGCAAACAAACGAACAAGACTAGGTCCTCCGGTAGAGAGGTTAGAATAAGGGCACCCTTTTTTCTGTAGTCTATTTTAGTAGGGGAACCCTCCCCGCAAAAAGGGTAAAAGGGCACCACTGGGGGACCTAGAAGAGTGGCGCTCCACTTTTTCTCCTTCAACCTCACCTCAAGCCGACCATAGCTTGAACTTGCCCTCGTTGAACTTCTCCAGTGGGTAGAAAGCAGCGCAAACCTCGCAGACATCTTGGGCTGGGCGAGCTGTGTTGAGAAGGAACGGACACATACGGGGCGATTCCAAAAGCAGAGCCAACATGAACTGGAATACACACGTATGGATTCGTGTACATAAAATTTAATACGTCTACATATATATATATATATATGTAGGCACACAGGCACACATATATATGTAGGCACACAGGCACACAAACACACAGACAAGCACACAAACGTATGGTACAGTATATGGGGTCTGTTTTGCTATCTGGGTTGCAGCACGCACCCCAGCGGAAAATATGCATCCCTTGATTGTCCAGCCCACGACACTATGGACTGCACCCATCCATGTCACTGGCTTTCTGTCTCTCAGCATACTCAACCTTGATCCACTTCCTAGCCCTATGGCAGGTCTGCGCAGACCTACCAAACAAGCTTGATCAAGAACGCAAGAATACCGCAACTCAGAAAATTTACAAGGACCTGCCGACCGAAACGCCGAACAAACAAACAGAGCAGACAGCCACGCAGCCACTCGGTTCTCAAACTTCCTGCCGTTGGCATCCATTTGGAACTTCCGGGCTGCTGTCAAGTCCTCGCAGTCGGCCCTCCAAATCCGTTGCATCGTATCCACCCGAAAGGCAACTTTGCAAGAAACTCCGCAGCACTATACGCATCAAAGGAAAGCCCCTTTAAACCAATGTGTTTTCCCAGTGCCGCAACCCTTTTCATTTTTCCAGCAGGATTATGAACAAGCGGACATAGACATGGATACCAAATGCAAGTCGCTGGACGACCATGGACCTTCCGGTGGGTTCCACGTTTGTCGGATACGTGAAACATGGGAATTCCTGAGATTCAGTAAACAAGAAAAAACACGTCAGCTCCCAGGAAAAGCTACCGGCAGCTTCTGTTTGCATGTGCAAATGCGACGTCCTCTTTGAACAATATCTGGACACCCAACAAAGCTGGTGTTGGCTACATGGGTGTATCTTTTTTAGGGAAAGCCTTTTGCGGATGGTTTTCAAGGGAAACCCAAAGAAAACAACCTCTTTTGGGGGGTTCCCATGGTTCCCCCAAAACACGCGCACACACACACACACACCTACATTTACATTTGGTAGTGGGACTCGAAGATTGGACAACCGAAAACAATGGATCTAAGGCGAGAGAGGGGGCCTGTTTTATCTCAGCTCGTTATGCCCAAATGGTTCTTAAAACAATAAGGGGCCCGCGCAACTTGTTGGACTTCCTGTTGGTTTCGCATGGTTAAACCCAACCGAAAGGGGGTTGCCCAAAAAGAGACACCCCCAAATACAACAAGCCAGGTGCCTCCCGTGCCAGTGGAAACATAGCTCGCTACTGCAAACATTCAGCGCCAATGTAGCTCGGCAAATCAGATTAATCACATTCACGCACTGCTTAAACCCACGATCCAAACGTCAATGGTTCAACTGTCCAATGTTGGCGGCATGCTGGCCACTAACTGTCCTAGCTCAACACAGTCACACGCTCAGACACCCGAAGACACATGATTCTGAGAGTCAAGAACCTTTCCAGGCGAAAATGTTCCTTTTGGTTTCTCTCCTGTAGTCAATTGAACCTCAAACCCCCATTGATCGATCCCCCTTTCGGCTTCAACCTCTTTTTTTTCCGGGAAGTGTCCTTTAAAACCATCTAACAGTAGCTTCCATGAATTTGTCTCTAAGTCCTGTTTTTCCTTCACCAACCAAAACTGGTACTACAAGGGCCTACATAATCAGTGTGTTGTGTGGGGAGCTGTAAAACCAAACTGGAACCAAATTAAGCCGTGATCATACCATACTGCACTTGGTGTATTCATTCGGCACCTTGTATGCTACCTTATATTTCCTCAAAAAGCACATCGCTGGCGTCTGCCGCAGACTGTCCGTGAAGGCTACAAAGATCTTGCCCACACCATCCACGTACGTGCCGTCCTGCCGCTTGCGTGGAACAACAGTCAGAGAAAGCGAAACGAAACCGGGTTTAACATGAAGGGTCTGGAATTACCGGCCCCTTTACTTCCGCCTCCATTCATAGTCAGCTACAGTCGACTGTAATGTCGACACTGTGCGTCTTTGTGTGTGTGTGTGCGCGTGTCGAAATTGGTCACGATGGAGATTTGGGTGGGTGTGATACTGATTACCCTGCCTTTGAAGGCTGTCCTTAAGATGAGGCCGTTTTGTGAACGTCTACAGTTTGATGAACGTAGATGGCACAAATCCAACACATTTGGGCTTAGTCATCCCTTTACCAAACAAAACAACACTATGCCATCTACTTTCACACTATTAAATAAGACCCTCAAGAAACACGGTTTTCATACAAGGTGTGCCCCAAACTGGAAATCGAGATCCGAGTAAGCAACACATGGGTGTGGCGTTTGTTGCGGAGCCTTTCTAGCTTTGCTTTCTTCTTCTATTGAAACGTCTGTCTATGGACTAGCCCCATCCCGAGGCTGTCACAATAATTTCACAATGTGAAGTGAGACCAAATCATATACAAAGTGAAAGCGCGGCCCCAAAAAAAAAGGAACCATGGCCGCGTTGGGGAGGTGTCGTCGATGCACGCCGACGCATTTGAGCCCGTAAACCAATTCCACTATTCCAAAATAACATCCCAAGGCCGCGTTGCTCGCATGAGATAGGGCCTGAAGCTTGCAATGCCGAGCGCTTACCAAGTTGGGCCCGCAGTTCGTCTTGTCGGTGCATGTGACAATGCCTGAGCTATAAAACCGCTGCGCCTCTCCTGGGCACTGTAAGCCTTGAGGTTTAGGGAGCACAAGGACCTACCCTCCCCCAGACTAACATGGAAGCTCCCAGGACCCCTTTGGAAGACTTGGTTCCATTTATAGATGCCTTGTGGAAGCTTCCATGTTAGTCTGAGGGAGTGTATTCTCCCGGATGTTCAGCTGGAAACTGCCACGAATGATTGCCATCACTTCCTTGATGAAGGCTTTGTCGTCGGTCTTCTCGTGGTTTGGGTGGCAGCAATGGTCCGAATAATTACCAACTTCGGTCAGTCTGACCCTCCAAGTCCAACCCTGCCGAAAAACGGATACCCAACCCAACTTTGTTTCTTATGCAGTCTCCGTGCCAAACGGCACGAAGCATCCTGGCCCTTCCCATGCAACATCAAGATGAGCCCCTGCTGTATGGATGTGTCGGGGTTCTCGATTTAGATCTTGTAGATGCGGGGGAAAAAAGAAACGAACCAACCACAACATTGTGCTCAAGCCCTACGCCCAAGTCGCCAAGCGCCGAGCTTCCGGAATCTTCGAGACAATACTTCTGCGTCACAGGGGCGACCCAGCCCTTGGGAAACTCGAAGATGCGTTCCAGACTTCAGGGGGAAAGCTTCCAACAAGTGGAGAAGTGGCCAAGCATCCCAAACATCGCGAATCGCGCGGGGATGGATCAAGCATTTCTAGGTTTGCTTTGAGAGGAAACAACAGGGAACCACCTAGCATGGGCGTGCCGCCGTTTGGAGACAAATCCACCTGTCAACACCTTGGGGGGCCTCTCTGGTGTCACCTGTAAGCGGTGACAATGATTTCCCTCGGAAAGAATCACGTCTGATTCATGACGATGTGCCAACAAGCAATGGTGCTCGTTTGGCTGGCAACAAAACACATTTTGGGAGATAGACTTGAGTCATGCCAACCCCAGTGCCTCTCTTGTCCAAGACAGAAGCGTTTGTCCCCCGCACCTCCAAACCAAATTTGCTTCTGGTCCGTATTTTCCTTTCTGGACAAAACAACTGAGCCCCGCTTGTTGGACCTCCGTGTGGCCGGAGGGGCATACCAACAGCACCCCGGATTTGGGTGTTTCTCAAAAAATTAAAAGCAGGGACCCCTCCAGGTGGTGTGCTTTTGCTTCCCCTTGACCCATCCAAAAAGGGGGTCCCCTATTTTCAGCAGCCAAGCCCCGGCATCGCCTTTGCCGGCTTGGGGATGACCACCCGCATCACGGTGCCGTGCTTTGAGGCCTCGCGATCTGACCGGGAATCGGTCCGAATGCCACACTGGAAGCCACTGGTGGGGATGTCTCACATGTTGACACCAACACAGATAATATGCATTGTTGGACTTCCCTCGACAACTTAAAAAAAAGAAAAAGTTCCAACAAACACATGCAGATAAGGTTTCGGATTGATGTGCCATGATGGGTCCCACTAAAAACAAGCCAGACATGTCTTTCTATGGCTCTTGCCTTTGTTTTCAAATCTTTTGGGTGTCAGCTTGTTCCTTGCCAAGAAAATTGAACAAAGGATTCCGACAAGATCCCACTGAGTTCATGCAAGGGTTGTGTTCTACTACGTTATAGTTGTGGGATAAGAAGCGCTGTGATGAAACTGAGCTCCAACCTGCCGTAGCCTCAGCGTGCTGCAAGATATATTCCTATCCCTTCATCATTGCAAGCCAATTCGCAAACATTGCAACAGCTGCCTGCACAAACAAACCGCTTGCAATCGTCCATGATCAGTGACTCGGGTAGTACTCTTATTATTCTATTCAACAACCTCAGTCCCTGGACGTTGCCAAGTGCGACACGGGCCTGCAAGACTGACTTTGATAGCCATGACATAATGTCATCGACACGAGGTAAGTAGCATGCTTGCATCCAAATCAGGCGCTTTTGAGCACACACAATTCAGCGTTTACGTTGGCACTGGTGCCCAATCAACACACAAGCGTCTATGTGAGGCTCCATGTGGGATTGATTAAATCCATGGAACTTACAGCTTCATGAACCACACATACACTCATACGTACTTTGCAAAATCTCTAAGAGCTCATTCACGGCCTCTGCGTGAACTTCGGCAGTGATGTCGTCGTAGTCTTGATCATCCATCAAGTCCTATTTGCATCTCACCGGCCAAGCGAAGTCTTGCTACTCGCTTTCTTGGTAATTACTTGCCAATTTAGGCAGCGCGTCAAACAAACACAAGTTTGGCGGTGTCCCTTCCATAGTGTGGATGGACGAATCCTGCACCACTTTGAAACCAGGGGAAACCATTTTGTGTTGGTATTGACAGGGGAATCATCATTCTAGGACTTCTTGGGTGGTGCAGGATTTCGTCCACCCACAGTAGGTCCAGTGTACCCAAGTGGAAAAAACATCGCGCTTGGCAGATATTTGCTTGCCAGAGGTGTCCAATCGCCGAACCCACGCGGCTGCTTTGCTGGGGGCAAGAAAGCGGGGGATGGCCATGTTGTAACCCGAAAAAATGCAATTGGAGCTTTCCCAGCACCAGCCAGTTGAGGCCGGTGAAGAGTCTGCAGAGCTTTGCTAATGCCTCACTTGCGTGTCTTGGAGGCAATAGGGAGGGGAAGCCTGTCTTGTTTGGATGTGCTTTGTGCTAAGACCTTTGCTTTGAGACCCTTCGGTTCTTTCTCAAGCCTTGAATCTCGGGATACCGTCACTGATGGAGAGACAGAACTCCGCATTGACCGGCCTTGAAGGGACTCAGTAGGTGCCTAAAATAGTTGTTTCCTGTTGGTCTCCCTCTACAGCTTCCCGTTTTCTGGCAGCACCGGATCAAAACTATGTGGCTATTGCCCCCTGCACAAATTCAGTTTTTGCCAGTTCGTGGGGAAGCACACATGTCCACCCAAAAAAAAGAAGCTGAAGGTTTCAGATCCCTCACCGTCGCTGTCGCTCGAGTGTCGCGAGGCTCCTCCTGGTACACAGCATTCATAAGCTGCACCACCGTGCTCGGCCGAGACCCAATCTTGCCGGCTGTCGCGGAAGAATAAACCCAAAAAAATCCATGTGAACAGCGACCAAAACCTGTTGACTTTGGGTCGTACAAAACGGATAAATACGTAGATATATACATGCACGCCTTGCTACATGAGGCTGGTACCTTGGCCCCTGAATGACCCGATAAATGCTCAAAGACTCCAAGATTGTACTCACATAGATCCTCAGGGAAAGGTCTTCGCCCAGTCGCAGCTTTTGTTTGGGAAGGCCGGGCTGAGGGAGAAACAACGCGGGCCAAGACGCTTTCCTGATATATAGATATATAGTAGATATAGATATGATATAATACATATATATATATGTATGATATGTCTATATATATATAGGGGTGCTGGTATGGAACGAACTTCCAGGTGTCGGGCCCACTGTTGCTTGGTGTCGCCCTCTGCATCTACCGGCACGACCCTTTGCCAGATTTCCCAAGTTCAACTTGCTTGTTCAACCTCGACGGGCCTAGTCTCCAAATGTGGTGGATGCACGAGCGTTTCCCCCAAAAAAAAAGCATGGTTGCACGAAGTAGCAGGATTGAGCGCTGCCTGCTTCCATGGTAAGCGCAAAGTCTGCAGACCAGAAACCAAACGAGCAGTGCGCAAAACCCGGCGACTTGTTCTTCTACTCAGGTTCTCAATGTTAAAGCAAGTTTCTATCACAAAAGGCACTTGGCCCGAGCCCAGCTTTTGGGACCAGAACCCCTGCGGCCTATGGGGGGACCCCGCCTCTCGGCCCTGCTTCACCTGCATGGCCAGCACTGGGTTCTTCACGATCTTCTGCGTCATCGAGTTGGGCATCGCCTCACGCCGCAAATCGACACGGAGAGAAAAAGAGCCCTGCAGTTGCCGGTACCTTGAGTCTCCTTCTGACCCTTTAAAAATGGGGTCATTGCCCTACATTCTGGGGTATGGACCTTTTCTTAAAGGGTCATGGAGACTCCAGCCAAAAAAGGATCGCCCCAAAAGGATACCCAGCGAGTGGCAAGGTGATCTTCAAAACCAGCGGGAAATACAGGGTTCTCCACGGGCACGCTGGGTGGCCTCAAATTCCTGTGCTCCCCACAGTGTGGGGATGAGTAGATGAGTAGATGAGTAGACTGGCAGTAAGTTTGTCACTTTTCTGGATGTCACACTCTTGCCGCACATCTTTGTCCTGCTCTTGCAGAATAAACAAATCCACAGGGGTTGGCAGAACCTTTTGCCTGAAAACATGGCTGAGGCTTGAGGTGTGTTCCTCTTTGGAAGCTCAGTGCTTCCAGTCGCGAGCCATAGATAGAATACTGGTAAAATTTACCATAGGGCTTGCCTGAAAGCATTGGGATAGATGTTAATGCAAATATTGCTGGAAGCCACGATTCGCGGAGGATGTGTGGATGCTGCAGTTGACTCTGGCTTTTCTCAACTCATTTGGGACTGGGGATTCGGCATCCAAAAAGAACACTTAAAACTTAGCCAAAAAGAAAACAAAGGCGTGAATATCTTTGCGGGTAATCCTTGAGGGTATTCCTTGGGCATACAGTTGGGGGAAACGTAGATAGCACAATTCCCCCGTTTGGGTCTCTTATCATCCCCCTAATTTCATCTAGTTTCACCTTGGTGCTAATCCATTTGTCTTTTTCCGTCGGTTGTTGTCACTCCTCCCTTTCACAAAATATTCAATATGGATGTTGTGTATAAATAGCTTGTCTTTTGTTTGCCCAAGTTCATTGTTCCTCCATTTGCCTAAGCCCGCTAAACAAAATTCAGGGCTAGGTTAGCTTAAAAACCGACGGGTGAAAATAACAACGTAGTCTTACGCACATGGAAGAGATGCCCTCCAAAATGGTGGTTTTCCTTTAAGACCGACAAAAACAGGGGGGGGTCCAAAAATAAGACAGACCCAAACGTTTTATGAGCAAACTACCAACAGGTCCAGGTGAAAATAACAACCTATTCTTAGGCAAACGGACGCGTTGCACCTGATTTTTGGTCAGGGGGAGGGAGCCCAAATAAGCCCTTATGAATTCTTTGAGGCCTTATATATTTGGGCTCCCTCCCCCCTCCCAGCCCCCATGAGAAGTCCCACGCAAGCGGCCAAGGGGCCGTGGCCGCCACCGGCTGCGGCTTGGTGGTGGCCGCCGTGGACTGCTGACCTCAGAAATTGGCACCGTAGGGAGGAGTGTCTTTCTCCATGGCTTGGACACGTATGTCGTATTATCAATATCTTCATGTATATGTACATTAAAAAAAAAATGTGTATGTGCACATAAATAAATATATATATATATATATACATATATATATATATGTTAGACATATGCATATCAATATGTATATGTATTATATATAATATATATATATATATGATCATTTTGTCAACGCTTGCGTCTAAGTTCAAAGGGAAACCATTCCCCGAAACAGATTGATCTACCGATTCTCCTGGGGCATGGGCCCAGCTTCTGTACCCGGATGACGTTCTGACCGCACACAAAGCCGTTGAGCGCCACAATGGCCAAGTCCACGTCGTTGGGGTTGTCGTACCTCGCCGCATGCCGTGGCTTTGGAGAAAAAAACGGAACAGGTTGGGGTTGAAGGTTGGAGAAGAAAAGGAACCTTCATTTGGGCGTGGATTCATGACCCGCAAAAAGCGCCCAAGTGGCGGAACTTCAGAAGGGCATCCCCCGAAAGCATCACAAGGATTGCCTTTCCACTTAGATTGGCCCCTTTAAAGGCGATGTTGCGATCCGTCCCACCAAAAACCGGCCACTTAAACCAAAAGGGGAAGGAGAGAGCCCGAGTCAGCGGGCAGACCGCGCACGCACCATGTCTGTACCCCAAGGGCAAGAGGCACTCAAAGAGTGAAGGGACAGACGTGTGTCCTTGCACACCTACTATTTGTTGAGTGGGATGGCGCCAGTCCCGACAAATGTCACAAAATCGAACCGACGAAATGGAGTGTGTAACCAAAAAGGTGTCCTGGTAACAACCCACAAAGGGTACAGAGCCTCAACAAACAAGTCAGAGGCATAGAGGGGGAGCAATGGGAAGGGAATAAATAGCCGTGGGATCTTGCCGGCCCTTAGTAACTATGGTGGCTAGTGGCTCTAGCTGCACTTCCCCAAATCTTCTGGGGATCCTTCTTCTCCGACAGTTGCACGCAACTCTTCGTGGGCTCTCGAAAGAACGAGTTACATGGCCATGGGTCAAAATCCTGTACCCCCAGTGAACATCCCAATCCCCACTAAAATAGGTTCTAGAATGGGCGGTGAATTCACCTTCCCCAAAATGGTAGCCCATTGGTTTTGACCCACAGCCACAATTTGTTGGTTGGGGCAGCGATGGTCACCGGGCCGCCGCTATTTCCGCCTGAAAAAGAGGCACGCGGCCAAGGACTGAAGTGTGTGCCAAAGCCAGAGCCTCGACGGATGCCAAAGGACACATTTTAAACGCACCATCTGTGGCCAAGCGAAAATAAGAACATGGACCGCCAAGAAAGGAACATTTACTTTGGGTGACGGTGCAACCCCCCCCCCCTTCAGCAATGTGCATGGCCAGTTTTCATTGCCCCAAAGGTGGCCTGGCGAGAAGTCTTGCTTGGCCAAGCCATGAGCCGATAGTCAAACTTGTACATGAAGTCCGTCACCCTTGGCCACAAAGGGGAAATTGCAGAAAGGTATATAGAAGACTTTGGGGTGGTCCCATGGAAGAAATTGTTGATTCCCGAGGTGACCGTGTTACCCGCTTACTTGCCGCGTGCCAATAGAGACACCTTGATGAAAAACGATCGAACAGTTTCCGATCGAAGAAAAGACGACATGGCGCACTCGAAGATCCCATAGCCCTTGATCTTTCCGGTCCCGAGATCTCGGATCAGACTCAACATCCTGCGCGACCAGCCGAGCTCTCAGCGGGGGGGCGCTGGGATGAATCGAGTGTGGGGCTCTGGGGCTGCTGGGTTGTGGTTTGTCATGAGAAACTCTTCCAACAATCAGGGGCTGCCCTTGATGTGACACACTCCTACATGAAAGTTCTATACTCACTTACCGATGCCCCAAGAAGGTGGTGATAAACACAACTTTTCGGGGGATTCACCACTTGTGAGGTGGTTCCCTATTAAAGCTCATGGCCAGTCAAGAGTGCCTTTTGACATGTGAACAAATGGGGGTTAATCAATATTCATGGCCCCCAACACGACCATGGGCAATCAACTTTTCCCACGTGGTGACAGTCATCTCGCCTCTTTTTGGGTGGTTTCGGCTTCCCAATTTTTGGTCCTCATGCTTCCCGGACTCTTTTGGTCTGAATGCCAAGTGGCCATGGGGCATAACCTATGGCTCTATGTTGGGGGTGGATGAACATCTATTTGCCACCTATTTTGACGTTCACCAAGGGTACAGGGTTTTGACCCACAGCCAAGTGGCCAAAGCCGTCAAGAAAAAGACTCGCGCGCCTGAGCTTCCCGAACTGACTCAAGAGATCTCTGCAGATCTGCTCTGTCATGGCCTCAGTCATGTTGACCCGGGATTAATAAACCCGTCCCATTATCAGGGGGATGTTCCCTCCACCAGTGATGAACCCCCACATCAACCAGGGGGGTATTAATCCGGGGTTAACGTTGGTCTTAAGAGACACCGAAAGGAGCCCTGGTCCAAGGGCTCAAGCCACGAAGTCTGAAACTCAGGGAATGTAGCAAATGGGTCCGGGTCAAGCCCACCTTTTGGTTCTTTCCCCGTTTTACGAAAGGAATCTGCGGGGTCGGGGGGTACCAGGGCTCTGACCCACAGCCAAAAGGAAACCACCATTTTTGTTGGTCGAGGGGTCACCCAGTTTCCAAATGAAAAGCGCTCAGTTTGGGCGGCTCAACAATGAGTTGGAAGGACTTCACTCCTGAGATACAATTCTTACCCCCTTGCACATTACATAATATGGAACTGTAACAAACCACCAATGGTAGAGGAGTCTCCATTTGGGAGTGTCTTTTTTGAAGCTACCCCTTTTTGTTTGTTTTTCAAGGGAAACCAAGAACAACGCCTCCATTTGCGGGGATTACCTAAAAACGCCCCCCCCTTCCACCGAAGGAACCCCTTAATTAGTGCTAATCTGCAGAGGTTCATGTGGCTTTCTTTCGGAGGGCCTTCCATTTTCCAGAACGGCACTCGATCAGTCTGAGGTGAAATATGGCCATGGGTCAAAACCAATTCCGAACCCCCAGTGAACATCCCAATCCAACCACTACAAATAGACTAAAATGGGTGGTGCACCTACCCCAGAATGGTACAATTGGTGCTGACCCACGGCCATATGTTGAACATCAGCAGTCATGGTAAGCGGACCATTTCGGCCTTTCCAAAGAGGATAATCTTCAAAACTTTTCTTTTGCACTTCCATGATAGAGGGGAGGGGGAGGGGAGGGCCCCAAATATCGGCTTTTTTGGGCTCCCCCCTTCCCCTCCCTCCCCCCAACCCCAATGACTGTAGGGAAGGGGTCCCTTCTTCCATTTTGGTCTTTTGGAGGTGAAGCACGGACAATTTGGTTTCCAAAGGTTCTATGTTTGCACCGGAGTTCTCCAAGTGCGTAGGTGGCATGGACGCCCATGTCACTATCACGTTTGAGCCCATTACATTGGAGTTTCCTCTGAGTGGAGGATTCTACATGCTCGGCTGCTTGAGATGGGACAAGCCTCATCTGCAATCGCTAGCTGCACAGGAATAAGGATTGATCCGGAACAAGCCAGCAGAGCCATTATGTTGGGATGACCTATACTGACAAACGACAAGCGGGACATCATCAGCCACGCCTACAGATCATCTCATCCGCAAAATCTGTAGTTCCTAAACAAAAATACAGATCCCCCAGAAGGACCAGGGCCCTTTGTTTTGCGTTTCACCATCCCCCTAGTCAGCTTGCCATACACCGGGCGACGAATTACATGTCTCCCTCTCTCTCGGCTGACTGGCCCAAATTATTCAAGTGACTTCCTCGAAATGACTCCCTGAACGGCGGAAGGACAATCGCCGCATATGGTCTCCTGCCAATTCCGACAGGTCATTCCGAAAGGAGATGATTCCAAAGGCCTCTTGGTTCTGTAGTCTAATTTTGACCACCCCCCCTCACCCAGATACCGGGATCCTTTCCGCAAACCACTTGGCGGTGTCTTCTGCTGGGGGCCCCAAGATTGTGGCGCCGCCAAACCCTGAAGAACGACACACCCACTTTTGGCACCCCACCCAAGTTCTCAGCGACACCCCCGCATCAACAAGCTGAGGCCAGCGCATCCGGCAGGTTGAAGATGGAAAGCTTGGGCGAGGGGCCCTGGCGCCCCGCTTCCGATGGGTTTCGAATTCGATTTCCGGAATGGAGTAAAAGACAACTCCCAGCATTTGTTTCATAAAGTCAGATACCCTTTTTTTGGGTCACCCCCCCTTTGGTTTGGTCCGTTTGACAAAAGGAATCTGCGGGGTAGGGTGGTATCAGGGTTTTGACCCACAGCCAACAGGAAACCACACGTTTGTGTTGGTCAAGGTCACCCAGTTTTCACATGAAAAGCACTCAGTTTGGTCGGCTCAAGAATGAGATGGAAGGACTACACTCCTGGGATGCAACTCTTCCCCCCCTGCTCTTTGTCATACAACATGGAACCCAAGAAACCAGTTGTAGAGGATTCTCCATTTGGGGTTGGCTTTTTGGAGGCTACCTTTTCTTTGTGGTTTTGAAGGGAAGCCAAAAAACAAGCCACTTTTTTAGGGGGCCCCTGAAAAACCACAGAGCCAAATAAAAAGACTCTGATTGTTCAGGACTATCCGATATGAAATGAAGATTACCAAAGGTTCGCACTGGATCCCTCGAGGGATATGCAACACATCCGCCTTTGGATGGCCTCTCTCCCAGCCGAGTGAGTCTGGCAACAAACCTCAGTGGCCTTTAACGGGTTTGAAACCCCTAGACGCCACCGAACACCTGGCCATGCTTGGAATAGCAGTCAACCATGAAGTCTGTGGTACATGTCAAGGGCCCTACATTAGCGGCCAATTCACCCAGTATGCAGTCACAACTCCCCCTTGTGTCATTCCTTAGCCACATCTTTTGGGAATGGTGCCATCCACTTGAGCCCATGTGTCGTCTCTAACTTTCACACATTATGTCTCATGACTCAAATCAAATCGGTGAAAAAGTACCCTAAAATATCCCGTGATCTGGCTTGCAAGATAGCTTGCCAGGGGCACTGGCTGTCCTCAGATCCCGTGCTAAAAGTTTAACTTTTAGTCGGCTAACTGGGAACCCCGACTAAACCAAATAAGAAGCCACCAAGCAAATACCCCCTGGTACTTTCCAATGCAAACTCTCTGAGGCCTCCCGCAATACACACACAAAGTACCCACATAATTTCAAGGATCACTGGATCTCCCATCAAAAGTTGATCAAAAGATAGTTCCATTGAAACGATCCCCACTTTTGGAGAAAAACAAAAAGGGAAATGGCTTGGCAACCCTGCTACCTCCTGTAATTGATAGTGACCCCGTGAAGCCCCCTTCTGAGGTTGGTGTTAAATGGAAACCACACCGAAACCGAAGAAAGCCTCAAAAACAAAGTGGTCTTCCTCTTGTTTCTTCCCTTCAAAACAACCCCAATGAAAAAGGTACCAACTCAAAAAATGACAGACCCATTTCCCATTTAACATGGTGTTGCGGGGTTGGTGTAAGTGTAAGGAAACCACACCATTTTGGGGGGGCTCCGCCTATTTTGACGCAAACCCAAGTAGCGATCATGGGGAAAAACGTGTTTTGCCCGTAAAGCGACTCAAAAGGCCTGCGCCATTGGCATGCCCCGGCTGTCGGTGGCGCCACCGATCATCTTGGCCATGGACCTCTCCGAAACGAAAAGCCGGGGTGCCGTAAACGCGGGGAAAAGGGTTGCAATTGTTTTCAGCCAAGTCCTCCAGTGGAGAGATTAGAATAAGGGTATCCGTTTTTCTGTAGTCGATTTTAGTATTTTAGCAGTGGAACCCTTCTGCAAGAAAGGGGTAAGAAACGGCACTGCTTGGGGACCTAGTCGTTGGAAAACTGGAAAACCACAAATTTGTGGTGTTCGGTCCGATTCCTAAAAAGACAAAGACAAAGACGCACACGGATTAAACACGCACACACACACACACACTCACAAACCCAAATGGAGGAACCAATTCAAATAGGTGTGTCCAACAACAGATGAGTTTGTCTTGAACAGGATTTGACACAATGACTTCCCCGCAGACAAAGTAACAATGCTTCCAGGTAACATTTCCTCAGGATATGTTTTGCGGGAAATGGTTTTTTGCCTTGAAATCTTGACATTCTCCTGGACATCCCCCCTCCAAGGCAAACTCGCCCATGAGCCCTTACAAGGTGACATTTTAGAAAACAAAAATAGACATGAAGGGATCCCCCCTTCCCAACAGTAGACTACCGATATATGATTGCCAGTCACTTGGATGTGTTGCGCATGGCAGCGATTCTGAGCGCGGATCATTTCGTGCAAGTTGATTCGCACTGACGGATCCTGCAAGCTGGGGCGGTGCATGAAACACAGAACCACAACTCCACTGCAAAATGACATGGAGCCCCAAAGCCTGCTGTTTTTTAGAGTGAATCAACTGGACTTTGGGCGATGAACCTGGAGCTTTCCCGAGCACGAGGAGGCTTGCCAGGGTCATTCCTTCATTTCCTCCTGAGAACCAGCCAGACATGTGGGTCTATTAAACCTTTTTCGGCGCTTGCCGACCAACGGCATATGTGTTATCGCGGTCCAATCTTAGTGAGCCTCAAAATGAAGTATGATTCCAAAAGAGATATCAGCAAACGCGATCCCCCGAAAAAATGATGGACATTTGACTTTCAAGCAGGCGCAAAGAAAAGCTTTTCGTTTACGATTCTGTACAAGCCCATCACTGGGCAAACTTTTACCAATCTATGGAGAGAGAGTAGGCGCAAGAGCCGGAGAATATGATTAAAGAGTAGGCGCGGGAGACGGAGAGTATGAAGAGAGAGTAGGCGCAAAAGCCGAGGAATATGATTCAAGAGGAGGCGCAGGAGCCGGAGAACATGAAGAAAGAGAAGGTGCAGCAGCCGGAGAGTATGCTGAAGGGGGAGAACATGAAGAAAGAGTAGGCGCAGGAGCCGGGAATGTGAAGAAGAGTAGGCGCAGGAGCCGGATAATATGAAGAGAGAGTAGGCGCAGAAGCCGGAGAATATCAAGAAAGAGTAAGCGCACAAGCCAGAGAATATGAAGAAGGAGTAGGCGCGGAAGCTGGAGAATATGAAAAGAGCAGGCGCAGGAGCCGGAGAATGAAGAAAAAGTAGGCGCAGGAGCCGGAGAATATGAAGAAAGAGTAGGCGCAGGAGCAGGAGGCGCGGAAGCCAGCGGTTAGGCGATTGGTTTTCAGCACAAACTTGTTCAGAACCTTGAAGGCCGTGTTCTGCTGTGCATGTCCTCAATCATCAACGGGCGCACAATGGCAAATGTGTGAATTAGGATCTGGGTTCGGTTGGGGCAATGACATGAATCAAAGCGGCAGTGCGGTCCACAAAACTGGGCCCCTCGCACGTTGCATCCAACGAAGGTAGGCACATGTAGGCACGCAGGGTGCTTCTTGCAGTCGCCACTTTCTGAACTTGAGCAGGCACTCAAGCACTACCGCCAGTTGAGGCTCGATCTGTTCAGTCTGGCTCAAGCTAATTAATCGTATCTTTCTTGCCCGCACGCATGTCTTCATTCATGGCGCGCAAACATCACACTTGTTGGGAAGCAACCGCAACACCAGAGCCCTCGAATACACACTTCGGGTTGTAGGGGCTCAAGGCCGAGAAACTCATGACACCCGCTTACATCTTCCACAAGCTTGCACTCACCTGATTTCTCCTGTGTGCTTCCTGCCGCCCTCGTAAGGTTGTTGGGTTGGGCTGGTTTTAACATCCCTTTTCAGCGGAGCCTATCACTCCAGAGCCTACCCGGTCAAAGACCCCAAGGCTTCAAGCTGTTGGAGGTAATTAAAAGAGATGTTGTTTAGAAAGGAAGCTGGGAAACCCCTAAATGAAAACCACTCGTGTCGGGAATACGGGTTGAGGATGAGTTTTGAACAACCCGTGTCAAAACAGCATGGCAGTGGGAGCCGCTCATTTCAATCGCAAAGTGGGAGCCGCTCTCAATCGCGAAAGCAGCCGCGCACTTCACGCCTACCAGCTGCTGCCTGGCAGCAGTGTGCAATGACAACTGTCAAAGCAGCTTGAAGGGTCCGGAGTTTGTGAGCTTCCATCGCTGCCGCTTCAGCTGGTAGATCCCATACCCTTGTGGCCGGAGAAAAGCCGAGCATTCAAAATGCCTGCCGCCCTCCACACGCAGCAAATCCTGGAGGCGCTGCAGGGCTGCTTGTTGTGGTTCCTGAGGCTGTCAGAAACCAAACTGGGTTGATCAAAATGAGGGATCCCGAATCCGTGATCCTAAGTGGGGAAACCCTTCAAAAAGACAAACAAGGGGGTTGCAAGGATGCGGGGTTGGTGTTGAACAACCCAGCCAAACCATCACTCACAGCAACGCCCTCTGCTGGCCGAGCATTCTTGGCGCTTGGCCGCTCCCAGCCAATCGCGGCGCCAACCTCCCGAAATGGCCGGCCAGTTAAGCAAACCAGACAGAACCAGACAGAACCAGACAGCACCAGACAGAATCAGACAGAACCAGACAGAATCAGACAGAACCAGACAGAACAGAACCGCCCCCTTCCCGGCAAACCTCTTAAGGATTCGCGCTTGCCAAACAAACCCCGAACAAGGCGTCATTCAAGTCGCTCAAGTCCCTGTCCAAAGATACCTGGTATGACCACCCCCTTTCAGCTTCTCGAAGGCCTTGCGCTCGCTTTGCCGGCGTAAGTTGGTTCTCGCACTACATGGCCATGCTACGTAACCAACGCAAACTGACTTTGCAAACAGCCGCAAATTTCTGGTTGCCGCACCCTCCAGGTCGAACTTCCCGAGGCAGAAGTGGCTGACGCCAGACAACTGCTGGAGACGCAGGTCGGCGCCTGCAAAGGTTGCGGGCACCCTGGTTCGGCTGGCGACCACCCTCATCTTTGGGCAAAGCAAAAAGGATCCCCCAGGATTATCGCACAGGGAGGCTTCGCGCTAAGCAATTGTTGAATGATAAACTACCCCTAAATAAAGCTTTAAACGAATCCTCTAAATAATTTTCTGCCCATCCCCGAACCCTATTTTTCCAGCCCTTCCAACCTGGCTGGTCATGACTGCCCGTATGTTGCAGATGCGCTACTGGGCGTTGGTGCGAAAGGCACGTCAGTGGGTTTGTTGGCAGGACTCTGTGCCTCTGACGATTTGAGATCCAGCCTGGCTCACCATGAGCCGAGGTGCAATCTCCTCGAACTGCGTGTTGACGCCGCCACAAGCCATTGCCCACGTGCGGTAGAAGTCTGCTTGCACGTCGGGCTTGGCAATGCGGGACACCCAACACATTCCCGGTGTGGTTGCTAAGCAAGCTGCCTCAAAAAGTGGAATGTTGTGTTGTTGCTTTCTCCAATGGTGAAAATTGCCGATATTGCCATCAATCGCCCTGGAGATTGCCTTTCCGTACCAAGACAGTACCTTGTACTGTTCCTCTTGTGAGGCCTTGCTATCATTCAATCCCGAACGATGAGGGACTTGCGGCTGAAGAAGAAGGTGGGAGTTCAGGGTGAGCCGGCCGTTGTTCAACAGTCTCCCATGGCTTTACTTTCTACACGGGTACACAAATCGTGCAACACTTGCTTGGCGGCCACTACGCGAGGGTAGGCCAAAGCGTCGTGCAACAAAGAAGGCAGTTCGCTGCACGCGCTACGGGCTTCTTTGCGCACATTGTGTTAACCACATTCAGCATGAAATTGCCGTTGCTCAATATGGAGGCGCGCTTGTCGCAGAATGTCTGGACACCCCAATCCGATAGATTGAGTTGTTTTCAACAGCACGGCTCGGCCTCACCACACCCCTCTGGCAACCTGAATTATACAACAACAGACACGCACACGCGCACGCACACGCACACACGCAAAACACACACTCGCAGGCCTCAAGTGACATCTCCGACAGCCCCGGTGCGTTCTGGCCGGCTTTGGCAGCCACTTATGGCATCCTTGAGGAACTTCGCCGCTGCTCTGCGCGTCTCAGAGCCCAAATAGGTTGGCGGCTATCTTGCGGCTGGTTTTCACCCCGGCAAGCACTCACTCAACAAAACATTCGAATGAAACACACAGAACAAAACCGTGCCCAACAAAGCAGCGCCGTTCTACAGCGCGCCCGACAGAACAGGGAGGTGCCCTTCACGCCGAGACGTCAGTGCCATGCCAGCTGCCCTCAAACCTCGTGCTAGATTGTAGGCCGAACCAAAAATCAAACTGCCAAGTGTGAATGTTTACTGGAGCAAGCTGCGCTGAAGTAGGTGTACTTCTTCTGGAAGTACACCGCCCAGAGACCGGCAACACGGTGGATGGACCCGTCCTTTGCGCAAGAAAAAAGCAACTATCGCCGCATATGTACAACAAAAGCAACTATGATTTGGCTGAGCCTGGGCGCGGCGCTTCACCTTTGGGCAAGCTGATCAAACCGGCGCAGGCCCTCCCTTTTCAGGTTTAAAGGACACCCTGAAGAAGGGGAAGCATGGAAATCGACATGAATTCTGGGGTCGAGAAGCTTCTTCCCCAAACACATCGATTTGCTTGATTTTCGTCAGAAACAGAGCCCAAGGTTCGGCAAGTCGCCTTCAGCGGTGACTTGATCACCTCGAGCAGCGCTCCCATCGCCCGCTGTACTCCTCCACGGCGAGGCATCGATGCCTCTTGGCGCAGCGTCGTGCAATACTGCAAAAAAAGGCTGGACAAAAAAACAGTTTGCCGTCGAGCTTGGATCGGGTCAATACTTGTTGCCAATCCTTAAACTCTTGAGGTAATTGTCATTTTAATACATGCTTGTTGACCAAACATACTCCAATTACAAGCGACAGCATGTGCGCACCAACAATGAAACAGACTCAAGCAGTTGCGGACAAGGTGCAGGGCAAATGTTGTAGGATAATATGAAGAGAATATTATGAAAGAGTAGGCGCAGGAGACGGAGAATGTGAAGGAAGAGTAGGCGCAGGAGCCGGAGAATATGAAGAAAAAGTAGGCGCAGGAGCCGGAGAATATGAAGAAAGAGTAGGCGACTAGAAAGAAAGAGTAGGCGCAAAAGCCGGGGAATATTTATTAAAGAGTGGGCGCAGGAGCCGGAGAATATGAAGAAAGAGCCTCGCAGAGCCGGAGAATATAAAGAAAGGGTAGGCGCAGGAGCCGGAGAATATGAAAAAAAACAGGCGCAGGAGCCGGAGAATATGAAGAAAGAGTAGGCGCAGGAGCCGGAGAATATGAAGAAAGAGAAGGTGCAGCAGCCGGAGAAGGTGCAGAAAGAGTATATGAAGAACAAGTAGGCGCGGGAGCCGGAGAATATGAAGAAAGAGTAGGCGCAGAAGCCGGAGAATATGCTGAAAGAGTAGGCGCAGGAGCCCGAGAATATGAAGAAAGAGAAGGTGCAGCAGCCGGAGAATATGCAGAAAGAGTAGGCGCAGGAGCCGGAGAATACAAACATAAATTTATGCCGCAATTCAACAAAGGCGCCTTTTTGGATTTGCGGCATTTCTTCCTGATTCGCAGCGCTTTTTTAATTGAATTGCGGGAGAACTTGCTTTTTCACATCCGCTCGCCTCGGCTAACAGGACAACAACTTGCACGACTTCGCCCTTGTGATATTTGGCTCAAATCAGGTTATGCGAGCCTTTGCGCGTGAGGTTCACCTAGGAAGATGAGGTGAAACCTGCAAAGCTGGACCGGTATGCAATTTTCTCAAAGGCGCTGCTCCTTCGTTCAAGGAGCTCTTGCTTCCGCAAAAGGAGTGCAAAAAGCCCACTCAGCCGAAATCGTCCCAAATCGACGAAATCAACCCGTTACTGCCTGTGGTGTTTTTCCCGCTTTTGTTCAGTTTATTTCAGTTTGTTCCACCCCCGGTTTGCGGCGGAAATCGGCGGGAATGCGGCAAGAATCGGCGGGAATGCGGCGGAAATCGGCGGGAAAGCGGTGGAAATTCCCGCAGAGAACAAAAGTGGTCCCTGATCTCCTCGGCTTGCATCTGCAAAGTTTGGGATCAACTTGCAACACAAGTGGAGCTAGCTGAAAAGATCATCATCAAATCGACTCGTCTTGGCCCCAACGATCTTTGACGAATTGAGAGATCGAGGTAGCAAAGCTGTCCTCCATGATAGTACTCTTGCCGTGAAACATTGTTCGGAAAATGGAGTTGTAGAAAGAAGCGGCGTGTGCTCAGCATGTTTGCTTGCTGGGGGACACATGGGAACTTGTGGTGCTGTGCTTTTTGCTTTAGTTGCCGTCTTCTTTTTGCGGCTGATTTTCTGCTCTGCGGCTGGAATTTCCGCCGCAATGCGTTGCGGCAGACATGTCTGCCGCAAGACGTTCTAGGTATCTGGGCTCTCCTCAGATCCCCTGCTAACGCCCACGAAGCCCTAAGGAACCGGATGCCTGGGAGGCACCCAGCTAGCCTTCTGCGCAAGCCTAGTGGGTGTTTCAATGAAAATTCGGGACCTATTCCTGCTGCTTGGCTTGCTTTTGATTTCCCCAACCGTCCAAAAAGGCTTGACCGATTCCTTTAAGAACCAGCCTTGTAATGTGGAGGTGGGCTTCCTTTTGGGCTGCCCGAAAAAAAGAAGAAGAAAAAAGCGCACAAGGGGAACCCCGTGAATTGAGGGCTCCTGGCCATCTGCTGGCTTGGTGAAGGCATCTGGTCTCTTCACAGTCACCTCGCCGCGCGATTTGGCGAAATGGGCGACGTCTCGCGGCGTCAAAGCCGCGAACGTGGGTTACACCCCCGGAGAAAAGGGACAACACCCAGGGCTACAGGGCACCTCGTGAGTTGCGTGTGTTTTTGGAGGGGATGCCCCCACAATCAAAAAGTCAACCAGTTTTATGAAAGGGGAATCGCTTCAAGCGTTAAGCGGATTGCAGGGGAGTGGGAGTGAAGGTATTAAGAGGAGAAGGATAATTCCCCCAACACCAAGAATATGTAATTGCTTAATATTGATTTTCCCGCAAAGCGAAAGGTTATTTTCACATTGGTCAGCCTTAAAACGCCAGCAGAAAAACCGAATCTCTTTTTTTTTTGGGGGGGGGGGGGGTATCTCCTTGGGTATTTTTTGTATGGTTTTCCTACCCTTTGGGCTGATCACAATCAACCATTCATCCAAAACCCACCCATCTTCTTGCCGGTGCTCAGCAGGCATGAGGAAATGACCACTAAAAACCAATCCTATGGTTTCCTTTATTCGGGAACCCCCCAAACAGTTCATTCCCAACACCCGGACTCAGTCATTCCCTACCCAGGCTGTTCAATATGAAGGATTGGCCAATCCTAATTCCATGATCCTGATAGGGAAGCCACTAAAAAGTTTGTACCCCTTGCGTGACCCAAGGTCAATCGCCACTTCTCGCACCAGCGAGAACGCGCGAAGGCACGCCTTGTGGCCCTTGTACTCGATGCCGTTTAGCTTCATGCCCACCGACGCCCCGTCCGGCGTCCGGAACTTCAGCTCCGCCATCTTCCTCCCACCCATTTTTTTCGGCTGACTGGGGAACCGACTTAGGGAATCCCATTGTTTTGTGGTTTTCAAGGGAAACCAACTTAGGGGAACCCAACTTTTGTGGTTTTTACAGGCACCCCAACTTAGGGGATAGATTACATATATAGATAGATCATTTACCGGTCGGTTGACATTGCTATCGATCTATCTATCTATATATATATGTGTGATTTATTTATTTCTTTCTTTCGTTCTTTCTTTCTGTCTTTCTTTCTTTCTTTCTTTTGTTCTTTCGTTCTTTCTTTCTTTCTGTTTTTCGTTCTTTCTTTCTTTCTTTCTTTATTTCTTTCATTCTTTATTTCTTTCTTTCTTTCTGTCTTTCTATTCATCTATCTACATATATCCATCGTTCTATCTACCGTTCTATCAATCTGTCTATATCTCGACCTTTTTATCTATTTATCTATTTGTCCCTCTGTCTGTCTGTCCGTCTATCTAACTACCTGTTGTTCTATCTATCTGTCTGTCTGTATGTCTGTCAGTCTGTCTACCTATCTATCTATCTATCTGTCTATCCATGTATCCATCCATCCATCCATCCATCCATCCATCCATCCCTCCATCCCTCCATCCGTCCATCCGTCCATCCGTCCATCCGTCCATCCGTCCATCCGTCTATCTGTCTATCTGTCTATCTATCTACCTATCTATCTATCTATCTATCTGTTTGTCTATCTATCTGCCTATCCATCTATCCATCCATTCATCCATCCATCCATCCATCCATCCATCCATGGTAGCATTGGGTAATGAATCTGCATTCCGGTTCGTTGTGTCTATCAGGTTCTGTGGTTTGAAAGGGAAACCAAAAGGAAACCAACCTATTGAGGAGGCCACCATTTTGAGAAACCCAAATGGACACCATTGGGACCATGCACCAAAGCTAAGGATCATTGTAAAACCGGGTTCCAACCAACAACAAGCCACTCTGACAATTGGTCCCTGAAATCGCTCGATTGAACCAGGAACAAAGGGGCTGATGGTGGAAATTGACTCGGCCGAGAACTCCTGAACATAGAAATGCTTGCGTTGCTCAACTTGCTTTTGATTTAGTGGTGACGAAATGAAAGGCCACAGCTCAAGAATCTCTCTCGCAAACTAAAAATAAGAAGGCTGGGTTACTTGCAAAAAAACGGATTCATGATTCTAGGAGCTCAATTTGCATAATGATTTAGTCCCTCATATTACTGCTTTGTCATAAATTCCTAGGAGTATTCATGTTAGGCCCTTCTTTGAGTCACAATCAAACCTGTGTTGTGGCAAGCCTCCAGCTACCCGAACCAATGAAAAAAACCGCCGAAATCCCCTCCCAGGTACAGTTGGGACTCTCCCTCCTAACCTGAAACTACCCGAGTCATCATCATCTTAATTGTGGCTCTTATTCTCGTCTCAGACCAACCTGCCAACTCCGGTCTACGGCAAGTCTACCCATGGGTTTTCTTGTGGAGCTAAATGGCTGTGGCTCAAAAGGGGTTACGCGGGTTTTGGTCCATGTTTCCATCTACCAAGGTTCCATTTTGGTACATGTTTTTTGAGCCAAAGCCACATGGACAATCCCCTCCATACCTGCCCATCTGCCGTCCTCTTGCTGCTGGCACGGTCTTCCTCCGTGATGGTGCACGCAAACACCGGCGACATGTTCCTGTTTGCCGCCTGCAAGGGGCGCGCACAAGGGCACCTGGGGTCTCCATCTGACAAGGTGCATGAGCAACTGCAGGGAATCTATTTGGCAAAGATAGGTGGTTGAAAGCAAGCAACTGCAGGGAATTTATGTGGCAAAGTTCAGTGATCGAAAGCAATGTGGTTGGTTGCCTTTTGGTTTCTCCACCCAACACAGGACCCTAGAAATACCAAATCTCTGATTTTGTTTGTGGGGATCGGAGTTCAATCCATGAGCTTGCTGTCAACACCAAAAAGCGGTATGGCCGGCAGCAGTGGGTTCTTGGTTGAAAGGTGTTCTACCATATTCCCTGGGTACCAAATTTCGGGGGTCTCCAGACTCCTACAAACTGCTGATGTTTGCAGGCGTTGCAGAATGGGATTCGGAACCCCTTTTGGTTGATGTTGAAAGGGAAGCCAGAAGGAATGGAACTTGTGTTGGTATTTGAAGGGAAACCATAAGGAAACCGCTGTTGGAACTTTGGTTGGTACTTTAAAGGGGAAACCATAAGGACGCCGAGCTAGACAAACGGTGACCGATTCTCTCTTTTTTTTGAGGACCGACATCGCCAGGAGGAACTTCCGCAGCCTGGTGCACTGCATTGCCCGTCACGGCCAAAATGGCGCCGTTGAAGAACTCGATGAGCTCCTGAAAAAAAAACAAGCAACAAATGTTCTGCCTCTGTGTCATACCTAAGCTTACAAATTAAAATAAACTCGTTTTGGAGGAGAGCCCCCTTGTTTCAAAGGTGAGATATCTGTTCTAGTGGCCATGGGTCAAAATCCAAATCGGACCCCCAGTGAACATCCCAATCCAACCACTAAAATAGGTTCTAAAATGGGTGGTACACCTACCCCAAAATGGGATCCCATGGGTTTTGACCTGCAGCCAAATCCCATTTTCTAGTCTTGCCAGTCTTGCCAACGAAAGGGAAATGGACATGGACATGGTATTCCGGGACAAATCCCCAAGTAAACAGCCAATCTTGCCGAGCTATGCTTTACAGCAACCTTCCTGAAAGAAGGGACACGGAACTCTGAACGGAATTCCAGGAAAATGGAATTTCAGGAGTCACCGCCCTCACCAACTTCTAGTTGGAAGGGTGTCGTGATGATGTGATACAAACCTCCGCTAGCAAATCAATCAAAACAAATCAAATCAAAAAAATCAAGTCAATCAAATAATCAAATCAAATCAAATCAAATCAATCAATCAACCAATCAATCAATCAATCAATCAATCAAATCAATTCAATTCAGCTCATATCAAATCAACTCAAATGAATCAATCAATCAATCAATAAATCAATCAAACAATCAAACAATCAATCAAATCAAATGAAATGAAATGCCGTGAAATCAATCGATCGATCGATCGATCGATCGATCAATCAATCAATCAATCAATCAATCAATCAATCAATCAATCAATCAATCACTCAATCAATGAATCAATGAATCAATGAATCAGTCAATCAATCAAACCAATCAAATCAATCCAACAAGCAAGCAAACAAAACTAACAAAAAAAGAAAAAAACTAACACACCAACAAACAAGAAACACAAACGAACAAAAACAAACACACAAACAAGCAAGCAAGAAAGCAAGGAAACAAACAAACAAGCAAACAAACAAAGAAGAAACAACAACAACCAAAACAAGACATACACAAATACATAAAACACCAAATACACAAACAGACATAAAAGCAATCAAACGAAACAAACAATCAACCAGAGATACAATTAAACACAGACACACAGAAATGAATCAGTAAGAACAAACAATCAGTAAGAACAAACAACCACACACGCAAACAAACAAACAAACAAACAAACAAACAAACAAACACACAAACAAACAAACGAACAAACAAACAAACAAACAAACAAACAAACAAACAAACAAACACACAAACAAACAAACAAGCAAGCAAACAAACATACAAACAAGCAAAGAAACAAACAGACAAACAAACAAAACAACACACATACAAACAAAGGCACCATCAATCAATCGATCGATCGATCAATCACTGTCAATCACAAACAATCAAACAAGCAAGTACACAAACAAGCAAACAAACACATAAGCAAACAAACAAAAAAACATAAAAACAAAGAAACGAATAACCAACACAGCAAAGAAACAAAGAAACAAAACAACAAATAAAGAAACACAATCACAACCCACACCGGAAAACGTAAACACAACACAACGACACAAAGACCAAGAAGCAAACAAGCAAATAAACAAACAAACAAGACCATGAACACCAACATCATAATGATCAAATAAACAAACAAGAAAACAACAAAACAAACAAACAAACAAACATGCAAGCAAGCAGCCAAACAAGCAAATACGAGAAACAAAAAAAACTAAAGAAATAAATAACAAAAGGGAGAAAGAGAAAGAACACCCGAACAAAGAAAACGGAAGAAAGAAAGAAAGAAAGAAATACTGAAATAAACAAACAAATCAAGGCAACACGGAACAACACAAACACAACATAACAAAGCACAACAGACAAACAACGCAAAACAAAGCAAAAACAAAATAGAACACAAAGAAACATACTATTGACTTGACACGAACTGTTTTTGACCCTGTCCTGGCCAGTGCAGCTAAGAGACCTTGGCTCAAGAGGGAACCAGCCATGGGAAAAAACATATTACGATGTATGGGTGGATCATCATTGTTGTAGTTGGTGCAAACCTCTTTTGTGGTAAAACGAAGCAAAAGGAAAACAAAAGTAATTGTGGGGGTCCAAAAAGACGCCCCCAGAAGGATGATGTTTTAATCAGGGACTTTTTGGTGGACATTGTTTCGGGAAAATTTACGTCCAGCACTTGTGAGGGGATAACTCTTTAAAGTCATAGCCATATTAAATGAGACGGCAACCACGTCTCCGAGACTCAGGTGTCCAAATATATGATCGGTTCCCAACCCGCCGTCCCCAGTTACCCAGTGGCCCTGGCCAATAAAGAAACCCTTTTCTGGGGTTGATCGTTTCAACGGTGAAAGAGGGATGCGCTGAAGAAATCGGCATGTCCGCGGCGCACAAGACTTTTTTTCTTTGCGGCCAACTATGGACGGAACCCAACGTCATGGCTCGCTTGCTGCAACTGTTCAACCCTTGGTATGGCAGTGAAAAAACTTGCTTTTCCTGCAGCCCCCTACCAAAGTTGACCAGTGCCCCAAAACCCAAACAACATGCCAACAGTGAAACCAACCAAAAAACAATCATTGTGAGTGAGACAGGTTTCAATCCCAAAGCCTGAGGTCGAACACGTTGCCCTTCGCTGGCGCATTGGGTGGGGCGATCCCTAGGATTCCGCTGGATCTCTTTCAACCACACCCCGGAAAATGGACGCTATGCTCTCAAGAAGCGCCATGCCCATATGGGGGTGTCACATAGACAAGGGCCACCTTTTTTTTCTTTTTTTCCAGGGGCCCTCGAATCATGGAAGCTGATTGGAGAGTTTTGGAATACGACTCTTCCTTTTGAAAAGGCCAATCAAAACCTCCACTCTCTGTCTCTGTATCTTCCCTTTGTTACCTGAAAGCACCGTTTCTGGTGCAAATGTAAGGGAAACCTCGACTTCCACGCCTGGAAGGCAAACCATTTTAACAAGAAAAGCGGTACACCGCTTGTCGCCAGGTCACAAATTCTCGAGGACCAGCGACCGTTGGACCATCTCCTCATCCGAGAATCTCGGCCTCGGCATGGGGCGAAGCCATGGCTCCGAGTCTGTGAAACGCGTGGCGAAGCCAATCAACAGTAGAGTGGTCTTTTTCAAACCAATGAACCCCAATCAGAATCCAAATCATGGCTCAATCAACCCCAACTCCTCCCGAAAAAGTGCGCAAAACCTATGGACGCTTGGGTCCAAAAGGATACAAAGATTCGTATCGGCCTGGCTCACTATCCCCCAACCAGGCAGTAGAATGGTGCTTTGTAGGGCTTTGGCACCGCTCGACCAATCAAAGCAGTCCTTCCTTGGCTTCAACAGAGACGGGCTAGACTCAGAATGTTGACACCATATTCAGCAACCCCTACTTATTCATATGGGGGTGTTCCTCTCCAAAAGTCATGATTCCCCACTAAACCCAGGGACACCCCCATATCCCATCTCAATAAGCAGGGGTTGATTAATATGGGGTCAGCATTCGGTTGATCTCAAGTCACAAAATGACCTGAGCCAGGGGGAAATGTCAATTTCGGATTAATCCAGACCCTCGTCAAAGGACCCCCCGACATAAAAATACAGGATTTCCTTGCTGAAGGGGGAACCACCCCGGACTCTACCCTCCTCCGGAAAGCAAAAACACGAGATTGACATTCATTGTCTTACAGCATCCACAAAGTGGTGTCACCTGAAACTTCTTGTGACCAGTCAAGAAAATTGAGGTTGCTTTCCTCACGTGGATGAAACGTCGGGTGTCAAGTCATACTCATTACGTCATTCGTGAAAAACGACTCTGTCTTTTTGCAAGACACCAACGAACCACTCAGCCAGTTTGTGCAACTGACTCCAAACGACTGCTTTACACGTGAATGACGCCCATGCTAAACTGTTTAGACAACGGAGTGTTGGGGAAATGTCATGGAACATTCAGTTCAAGCGACCACGAGATACTGCCACCATTCAACAGTATCCATCCTGTGGCCGCCCTGGGAATCCGTTTTGGAAGAAAAGCTTGCATTGGTAAATACTGCGAACCGAACTCTGTACATTCACTGAAACCATCAAACATTGTTTGTTCGACCAATCTGAAACCAGACAAGACACCTATGGTTGAAATCAATCCACTTCGGAGGTTCTGAGAGCTCCGGTCGTTTGGACTCCAAAGTTATATGACATGAGATCCCAGGCAAGCTACTATATAGGTGGGTCTGTCTTGTTTTTCGGGTACAGGTACGTAACCACTCGTGTTCCTTGTGTTAAGTGTAAACGGAATTGCTGGGTAATTACGGACACAGGGACACGGGGACATGAAATTAGTGGGTATGAATTGTAATGGTTGGAATCCCCATGATGTCGTGCCAACATTCCGTAATTCAACTTCACACCCAAAAGTAAATAGGGAGTCTCGTTCTGGATCGCTATTGGCAGGAATCCAACCAAATGCCATCCACCATCTCCAGTTCCTACATGTTGAGACATACTCAGCAACCAGCACAGGTGTTCGTTTAGGATATTTAATATATAATCAACCCCTGGCGGATTTCATGTCAACCATCAGGATCAAAAGCCCGGATATCAGCATATATCAGCACCCCATTTTGGCTGGGACCTGTCCCTAGGTGTCCCTAGGTGTCCTTTTGGAAAAATAGATGGCCCTGGTAAATGGAGCAAAACCCATCTAAACCGGTGGGACCCATCTATTTCTACCCAAACTGACCGATAAAAAGGCCGCCTATGGACCTGTCCCTAGTCACCATGCCCGGCGCCGTGCCGTGGCTCCAGGCATCAGCTCGTCCGCCTCTGCCGCAGGCAGGAGCCCTGAGCGTCCGCCAGGGATGGCAGACATGGAGAAGCCCCCCTGGCGAGGAAAGGATTCGCACCGCGAAGTATGAGGTGAACCAAACCAAAGAGGAAAACATGGTTGGGGAACAGGGAAATATGGTAGGAGGAAACCAAATTGGAGAATAGGGTAGGGGGAAAAGAAAAATAAGATAGGGGGAAACCAAACCCAAAAAGAAGATACTGTCAGTGGAAAAACAACTAAGATAATAAGGCAGGGGAAACCAACACGAAAAGAAAAAAAAGCTATCAGGAAACCACACCAAATAGGAAAATAAGATAGGAAAAACCAAACCAACAAAGGCAACCAAGGTAGGTGGAAACAACTGGAAAATGCTGTAGGGGAAACCAAGCAAAATGGGGAAAATCGCTGGAACTAGGGGAAGCGTGGTTTACAAACGAGGCATCTAAGCAGCACCGGATATCTCGGGAAGTACACCCCACTATTAACCAAAGACTCGGAAGAAAACCTGATTAAGGCGATGGTAGTCCTTTGGAACGTTGGATGAGTTTGCTGACGTGGTCTCCCACTTCCTGGACTACCCCTCTCTCGCAGATTGACTTTTTTTTTGTTGGGGCAGCAAGCCTTTTGTTGAAATGGCTCGGCCGAAAGTGGCAAAACAAGGCGATGTTGCGACCAGTTCGGAAGTCAGGGAAGACACTTTGGCAAGATCCTTTTTTTGACAATGGCCACGGTGTTCCTTTTGGTTTCCCTTTTAAGCCACCAAAAAAGGGGTACCCTAAAAAACAACCCCAAAATGGTATCCCAAACGGTTTTGACCACAGCCATACTCGGAGAGGGGAATTTCAAGATGTCAATGTCGGCAAGCAGGCCAGGCAGGCTGTATCAGGACCCCACTTGGACTTTCGCTTTCGGGTGCCACCGGGCGACTCCGACTTCTTTCGCTTCTTGTCCTGTGGTTCAACAAAATTCGGAATCAAACGGGTCAACCCAAACACATGGCCATGGATTTTCATGAGGAATACATGGTGTGTTAAAGGAGTTTTAAAGAACAAATGTACAACAACCAGTCGTAGTCGTCTGCCTCATTCAAAACACACACACACATTGTTAACCGGCTCATCTTGCCGTCAGTTCGGGTCCTTTTTCTTCTCATCACCATCGGCTTTCTCTTTCTTGATCTTGTCCTTCACAGGCACACGCAGTAAGTGCAAGCACGCGCTAGCATGCGCCACTCTGCTGCTGTCCTTCTTCTTCTTCTTTTTGGATCTCGACCTTAGTGTGTTGGCACACGAATCCGCTCCTCATCTAAGGAGAGTATTTCAGTTTGCGGGGAAACGCAAAGGGAGGGGGGCCGGATTCAGATGATTTACAGTGGCCCGCTGGGCTTGTTGCTTTGCCGGCTTTCTTTTGCTTGCCATACCCAGTGCCTTCAGTATACCCACAGAACCACAAGAAACCATCAATTGAAAGTCGTTGCCACATTGTAGAGGCAAAGTTGAGCCGCCTGCACGCTATCCATGCATGATGAAAAGCAAGCAGCTTCGACTCTTTTTCGGAGTCAATGACTCAAACACCATACTCTGTGCTCTCGCAGATCGAACAATTGGACAAATTCGGACCAGATGCCATTCACCAACGCTGTCCAGTCATTCCCTTCTGAACCCCCAAAAGAAAAGCGGAACATTTGTCGCCAAGATGGGACGTGAAACCCCCACCCTTTTTTGGTTGCGAAATGCCTTGGGTCCTGCTTCCTCCGTTGATTCTCTGCAGGCTGGATCGTATGTCATTGCCAAATTCTGCACCATGCAAGAAAAGGCCCTCCTGCACTGCCACCTGAAACTGCAATGATTGATCCTTCAAACAGAAACACTTGTTCGGACCCCTGCTCTTTCGCATGTCTGGCACGAGAATGCCACCAGGAGAATGATCCTTCAAACAATTGGCCATGGGTCAAAATCCCGTACCCCCAGTGAACATCCCAATCCCCAATAAAGTAGGCTCTAAACTGGGTGGTGCACCCACCCCAAAATGGTACCATTGGTCTTGACCCACAGCCAATTAGCATCAATTAGCCCTCGTTGCACAGTATTTCGTCGCGGGACTCTGGGCTCCGCACCTTTCCCTCTTGGACTCGCCCTTGACACCCTCGCCCTTCATCTCGCCCTTGGTCTCCCCCTTCACCTCACCCTTGGTGGCCTTGCAATGTGGACCCACGCGGCCAGAGTGACCAAGGGCTACCTGGAGTCTCCATGACCCTTCAAAAAGGGGGGTACCGGGGTCATGGGCCCATTTTTAAAGGGTCATGGAGACTCCATGTAAGTGTGGTCGCACTCCGAAGCCGAACCCTTCAGAACGCGCTATCTCACCAGGCACGCTTCCTTTGGCTCGCCCAAACACCCTCGTGTTTACCTCGATTTTTCAAGACGTGCCGGGCTTCCCCTGATCTCACCGCGGGATCATAGCAGTGTCTACTTTTTGACCTGCTGGACCACAAAGGGAGCTCCTAGTGCAAGAATTGGCCCCTTTATTTCCTTATAATAAGCTTGGATCCTGCGATGCAAGCGGCTACAATCAGGAAGGGTTTGTACGTGAGCCAACCTGCACAGAACAGCCATCCTTAGGGTAAAAATCACCCGCTGAAGCCCTCAAAACCTTGTTGGAACCCGATGATTGCAAAACCAATGGCCCAATGGCCCTGTGAAGCAGAACGAGGGGAAAACGCGGCGATGTCGTCAAACTTTCGCACGCCTCACCCTTGGCCAAGGCGTAGAAGTCTTCTCTCTTCGCTCCTTCTCCCTTCATCATCTCGTTCTTCACCTCAAAGGCAACGAACGCAGTGGACATGCTGCTACATGCGGAATCTGGGGCATGCTGCCAAATACGTGGATGTTGGTATGAATGGTGAGTGGGTCGGTCCTTTTGAAAGGGAACGAGGTTCCTCTACGGTAGCGCCCAAGCTAACCCGCAGTACCACCAGCCCGAAGCGGGTTTTGGAAACTAGAAAAAGACACCATCAGGCCCCGACATGCGCCAGAAAGGCTCAACAGCTTCTCTTCTGCCCCAGTTTCACTTCAATGTGTCATCTGTCGATGCCCGCTAGTGGGGATCCTATCCTGCAGGTTTCTCTGAAATAGCGGCGGGGGTTGCCCTAATTTTTTCGGAAACACCTATGCCCCGAGCTGCTCTTGTTGCCCTGGGCAGAATTGTGACAATGGTTGTTGCTGTGTTGAAACTGCATGCTACACCAACAGAAGACCCCTGTTTCAGTGATTCACAGCCTTTGCGGGATCTTGAGGCAACTTGCGTTAATGCAAGACGGAAATTCAGGATGCAAAAGCAAACAGTTCACGATATGTTGCGTGTCTGTGCTCCCGTAAAACTAGCCACAACGGCAGCAGAAGCACGTCGAATTTTGGCAAGTCAAACGCTGGCTCCTCTTTGCGGGCGCAGTGAATTGGACAGTTCAACATCCGGTGCGGTGCCAAACTTGGGGAGTTGTTGTTGATGCCTTGGGACGACCCCAGCGCTTCGGATCCGTGGCAAGTTGGATTCCAGAGGGCGAACCGGCGAACCATCCAAGACGTGGGAAACTCGGAGGTTGTCCCCTTGGCTTTTGCGGACGTTTGGGCTGTCCCCTGCCAGCTGCACTCATCTTGGGTCGGATGCTGTGGCCATGAGACAAAGACTTGGAGATCATGGGAGTTATGCTGAAGCATTTGAAGACCGTGTTCCTTTGTGAACATGTCTAGGGGGTCCAACAGTGTCCGCCCCAAAAAGAATTCGCAAGAGTTGGGCTTCCTAACTCAAGCCGCTTACGAAACGGTGAGATCAACTAGTAGCCGTGTTGGCCGAATCGTCAAGTGCAGAGCCGGGAAGCTACTCAGTTCTACCAGTCCCGAAAAAGAAGACCTTCAGTTTGGCAACCTGCCATGAGACGACTTTGAGCTTGGAACGTCTTCCTCTGTACGCTTCTCAAGCTTCACGTTGCCTGGCACGTAAGTGTCATCAGGGCCTCTCTTCCTATGTATGGCACACATCTTGCGCAGTTCAAGTGTGATGGGAATCCCGTCACCAACCAGGGTCACAAAAAGGACACCTCTTGCTTCCCCGCCTACATGCACAAAGTTGTGGATTCACATCGCATAACCCGAACGCTAACCTTCCGCGATTCAACTATTGTGATTGCGGCCAATGCCAACACATGGAAGCGGTCTCCATGTCTCAAGCAATCATTGTTGCCGGTGAAAAAGGACACATGCTTGATTACCCACATTGACTTATCAGGAAATGTGTTTGAAGGGTTCTTTGCATCAGGCCTTAATCTTGCTTTGTTGGCCTGTCGTGCTTCGATACCCTGACTGCTGCTATGCTGACGAGAGAAGTGCCGGGCCTTCTTGCTTGACACCTTCCCCCTTGACTCCTTCACCCTTCACGCTGTCCATCTTGACATCCTGCGCTCGACTGCCAAGACCACAAGCCTGATCCATCTGTTCTAGGCTGGAAATAGGACCTCAGCACAAAAAAACAGTTTTTTGCCTGGTTAGTGGAAAACAAACGGACCCCCCCAAAAAAAAGAAAAACACAAAACAACAACAAAAGGGGAGCTAATTCTGGGGAAGCGTTGTGGGGAGAATCCAAGCCCTGGTTGGCCATTTGCACTCCAAGCAAAGCTTCGTAACTCGGACACGTTCGCATGTCATGGCCTGCGTGCACGTGCGACCCAGTGCACGTGCAAGCCATCGTTCTTTGAACAACATCTTGTGGTTTCGTTTCTTTACTCACCTCCTGAGTGGATTGGCCAACAAAAAGTGTGAACACATTTTGTGTACAAAGTTGGCCTTCCCCAAAAGTGTCAAAAAGTCCAGGGACTCAGGAGTTACCTTAGGGGGACTTGGTTTCACAGCTCAATGGTCACGATCCCGGGCCAATGGAACACCGCCCGCCGGTAGGCGGCCAGAGACACACACCTTTCCCCAAATCGATTGCCTGAAGCAAACCAACCAGCCTGCAGGCCCTGGCCCCATCATTTGTGAAAATCCCAAGCATCGGAAGAATATGGCACGGGTTTGGACTTACTCTACCAGACGGTAGAGAGTCATATGGGAAGTGTTGTCTAATCCCCAACAGTTATCCCGGCCAGGCCCCAGTTTGCACCCAAATTGGCACCAGCCTGAAGGTTCCCATATGTTCCCATTGAACAGCCAGGGAATTCGAACCCTGAAAGCCAAGTTCCCTCAACAGTAGGAATTTGATGCAAGCATCAATACTGCATAAGGTATTTGTTTCGAGAGTGAAACAAACAATCACGCTGAGCCCTAGACAAGTCTAAATAATGATGGCTGTTTACCTGGGCCAGAATACTTTTGTTTGGTCGGAACAAACAAACAGTCATCCAAAAATCCATCAAAGGTGGTTGCCCGAATTGAAACAATGGCCGAACCGTCCCCCGGATCAAATGTAACCCACAAGCATACATCAACTCAGATGCTCAGTGGATTTCCAATGGAAAAAATAATGGGCATCCTTTTTTTTGTTGGTTGACTTGAAAAGGAATCGGAACCCTTCCCCAAAAAGAGTTGAGACAACGGCACCACTGCTTTAAAGGAATCGGAACCCTGCCAAAAAAAAGTTGAAAAAAGGAAGCAACCCACGGGGTAACTGGGTCAAGGTTCCACTTGCATTCGAAAACTTCAAATCTGCATGGCCTGCATGGCCTTCGAAGCTGGGCGAGCCTCGCGTTTGCACTCAAAACTGCTTGGCCTGCAGTCCAATCTGCCCGCGGTTTCGGCGGTTTCAACGAAAAATCAGGGGCAGCCGATTGGAAAACCAATGAAAGCTATGCCAAAACCAGCTTTACAAGCAAACTAAAGGCAGCTAATTGGGATACCAGATTGAAGGCTTTGTTCGAAAGGAGTCTTAGAGGCAAGATATAAAGGCAAACAATTGGAAAGAGAAGGAACCAAAGCCGGCCCAGCCGGGGGGTCGAATTGGGTACTGTGACTGTTCGGGGGGGGGGGAGAGGAAAACATTCAACATCTAATTTGTTCACCCTGGCTGTCTAGCTCCATGTTTTCATGACTTTTCCATCCTCATGAGGTACTGTAACATTGTGTACAAGCAGTGATCACGAGGTTTGTTCAGCGGTAACTTCTTGCATTCGAGGTTTCGCACATGGCGCTGGCACGGGCTCGGTTCCTCGCTTGGGTTTCGGTCCTTCTCCTCCTCCTTCTTTTCTTGCTTGACCTTGAACTTGCAGCTGGGATGACAACTGGAAAAGTCGAGTATGTGTCAAAGGGGGAACCCCGAAACAGGCCCTCTTCACCAAGATGATCTTCCCAACTTTGAAATTGAGACTATTGCGGGGACGGGTCTGTGTTTTTGAGGCTACCCCTTTTGAACATGGGGATAAAGGGGAACCAAGGGAAACCGAGCATTTTGGGGATCCCCTATGTTAACACATCCGCACGAACGCTCGCAAGTGACGTCATGGGCCAACCAATTGCACACATGATCCCCATATGTTGATGTGGTTGCACCCCATTGCGACAAGTGGTGTATTCGGAGCTCGTGAGAGTCAGGCACAACCAGACATCGGCCATAGCAGTAACTTGGCGAAACCTGGTCATAATTTCAAGCTCATGCTTTTGGCATTGATGGGAACACAACCTCAAATGGTGGGTCGACAAATGGTTAATGGCAAAAACTGTCTTTTGATTGATGTTTGAATCAGGGTTTTGCAGAACGATGGCAACCATAGGTGTCCTCTTAGGATAAATAGATGGCCCAGGGCCATTTATTTTTCTACATCTATGATGGCAACCTGCAAGCTGCCAAAACGGGGGGGGAGGGTCCGAAAATTCGGCCCAAAGACCCCAACTGGGGCGCGAAATCCCAAGAACTTGCAGGCCAACAGCGTCCCACCCTCCCGCGTTCTCTCGAGACCTGAAGCCCGGGAACGGCCATTCCCGGGACTGGGCAGCTGGATCTGCAAAGTCAACCTGCAACCTCTAAGACCTGAAAGGGATGAAGTAACGGAGCTGCAAATGCCTTTCTTTGGGCTCCAAGACCCCTCAGTTGCTGGGACCTGGAAATGAAAAGGTGATCACCCTTTCGGGAAATGACGAAACATGGACCATGATCACCCTTTCAGGAAAGGAAACATATACCAAAAAGGGGAAACCAAAATGGTGAAAAGGTGGATTCGCTTTGGGCCAGTGAGCATAGGCAGATGTTTTGGGAGAGACAAACCTTCGCAAAGTCTCTCGCCTTGGCGTCTAAGTCCTCCTTCTTGATGGTCGTGCCATCCTGGCACGAAAGCAGCCAGCCTCTCTCTCTCGCGAGGGAGAACCCCCTTTTTACAAAAAAAAACACTGGGATTTCTTGGCCATCGCCTGTAGACCACTGTTTGGAGGTCATTTGTTCTAGAAAAATAACGCTTGGTTTCCCAAGCAGCCGCAAGAAGCAAGACCTCAAAGATCAAACGCAGGAACAACACGAGAACGGAATAGTCAAACATAAGCGGAAAAGCCAAGGGTAGACCCGATTCAGTCATATACTCAGGCCTGAAGTTCAGACCGAGACGTCGCCAATGCTTCAGCTTGTGTCAGGACAGTTGTTTCTGTGCAGGTCACGTTAGGGGACAACGTATGCCACCAACATGGTCACACTACCTTTCCAAGCGCCAACTTCATGGCAAAAGCTAGCTTGTGCAAATTCCCGATTCGTTTTGGGAGGTTTACGTTGAGATTGTGTGAGGATCCAAGAATCACTCCCTCACAAGGACCACTCACGCCGCTGAAACGTCCGACGTCCCTTCCGCACGGGAAAGTGAGAGACCAGGAAGTACGTTCTTGCACAGGAATCAGAGCACTTTCGCACCTGCCTGTGCGGCACATCTCCAGGGCATCTTTGTTTGGGGGAGGGCTGCAATACTTTCTGTTAGCACCTTACCGAGTCCGAATGACGCTGTTTTGGGGATTCCCAAAGGAAACCGTAGGATGGGATGGCTATTCTTGCGAGTCATTCCATTTTCTATTCCCTGCCTATCGAACCAGCAAGTCATAGGGCTTTCACTCCGGTAGATCAGAGTATTGGCGCACTTGTCAGGGCAGTTGGGCACGCTTGCAAACATCAAGCCCATGCTTTGCAGAATTGTTCTACCTCTTTTCCCAGGCTCGGCAAGTCAGATGTGCCACTCACCCGCGAGAATTGCCCTACCGGGCCTCGATCTTGACACTGCCGGTCAAGAAGCCGGAAGGGTCAGTGAAGACCTCGACGCGCCAGTGGATCCCGGCTTTAGGTTCATAGCGCCAGACACCAGTGTTGACTTCTGGCTCTGACGTGGCTATAAAGGTCTCTAGAGACAAAACACAACCAACCCCGGGAAAGGGGGTTTATAGAACCACCTACTAAAATGGCCAATGGGGACTTGGGGCGGTGCTGTTTTTTTGTGCTGACGAGCGGTGAGGAATGTAACAAGTCGCGTCATGTTGATTCAAGGCTCTGGGATTCAACATGTGGGTGTTGATCAAAAGGTCCGATGGACATAGGATGATTGGTTGGAAAACCGCTTTTCAGATGATATGTCAACCACCAAATCGGAAAAGTTACCCATGCTCATTTGGAGGCCCAACTAAATGTTGATCAACCCTCATGTAGGCACAACTCCTGTTTCATGTCGGCGCCCTTTTCCGGGTCTGAGATTCCCCCAATCCCAATGACATGGGTGTAGTATGCTCACTATAGAGCGCATTCAATGCATCATGATGCTTACAACACTCCAGTCTGAACAAATTATTGTTGAACAAATGGAAACTGTAAATTCCCAATAAGAAACAGGTGCCAGGGTGTTTTTGTTTCTCCCCATGTGAGAATGATTTTATATTTATCTTATTTGCTGGACGACATTCTTCAACCTTCCACGCACCCTTCCACCACATTTCCGCAGAGTGAGCCAATGCTTCTGCGGACATGTACTTGTTGCAACTGCTTCTGCGGGCATGTTTTGGTTATACTTTTGCTTCCGCGGCTCTTCTGTTGAAGCCATGACATAATCCTTCCGCGAAGCTTCCTCGAGGCAAACCTTGCGCAAGCCTTCGGCAAAACCTTCCGCGACTTGAAGTCCCAAGCACATTCTGCAAGAATGATGTCCAGCCGCTTTCTTGTACATGTACCAGGTAGAAACAAACGAAGCTCATGTGAGCTCGTCATGTTTTGTCCAGATTGAAGGCATGCGCGACATCCACCAACAGGTGCATCTTGAACCAAAATCAGAAATCACATCCAAGCATGATCAAGCAGCTCTTTGAAAAGGCTTGCGATTGACAAGATAGCTCGGAACGCCTGTGTTTGTGCCTACCGCTGCTGGACAGACTCGTATGAGCGTCTTTTTAAGGACCCCTTTTTGGGGTTGGGGGGAGACCAAGCGGCAACCCCCCCAATTACCGCTCCCAGTCTAAGACACAGCCATATCATATGGCCCTTTGCACATTTCAAGTTGGAAGCTGCCATGCTTGGAATGGACGAGTTTCTCAAATAACAAGGCATTTGCTGAAGCTTGTAAACAAAATACCTGTCCCAGTTGCCCAGTGAACCTCGTAGAACAAGGAACGCCTTTTGCCTTGACCATTCTCTTTGGGGAGCTGGCTGAACGAAAAGGGTGGCATTCATCAACTGGGCTGGTGTTCCAGTAGCTACCTAAAAAAGTTGGAAAGATTGGGCCACTACTAAACTGGGCTGTCCTCAGATCCCTGGCTAAAAACAAATCTTTTAGTCGATTAAATGGAAACCCCCACTAAAACCTAAAAAGCTAAAGGCTAAGCGCATGGCTGAGAGCCACCAAGTAAACTGATAAACAAACTATAACAAACCCTGGCACATGCCAACTCTACTTGCTCCCAGATTGAAAACTCTGCGCTTCCCGGCCTCATCGCCCTCTGGTGCCTTCTCTGTCTTCACCTCCAAGGCGAACGGCCGCGAAAGTGTTGCCGACAAGGAACATCCAAGCCCACCAGAGATGATTCGGGAGCTGACAAAATTACTCAGGTCCTCCGGTAGAGAGGTTAGAATAAGGGTACCCTTTCTTTGCAGTCTATTTTAGTAGGGGAACCCTCCCCCAAAAAAGGGCAAAAGGGCACTACTTGGGGGACCTTGTGCCCAAAGTCTCGACTTTCCAGATGAAACCTTACAATGTTGGAGCATGTTTGGCGACTTTCCAATGCAATCCAAGGGTGCAACATAAACCCTCTTAGAAACCAGCCATTTTGTTTGGTCGCTTTTTGATCGTTGCCGCAACTTTCAAATGCTCAATAAGTCAACCTTGTGGAAATTCATCCTCAAATAAGCATCAACCTTTGGATGTGCAGGGCCTCTAAGTCCAACCCATTCTTCTGAAAAAGTAGGGGAGAGAAGGACAATTGTAATTCTTCAATTTGAAGCACTGTGGTTTTGCACAAAGTTGGGGATGAGCGAAAAGACAAGGCGAAAGGAGTTTGTCAGGCTTCAGCGTGTGGGACAGCTCATCACGTGCGGGCGGAAGTTTGGGTTCCGAGCCACAAGTGGATTATGGATCAATCCCCAGTAGAAATTTGGCTTGTCATTGTTCCTTTGGTTTCCTTTGGTTTCCTTTGGCTTCCCTTTCTTTGGGTTTCCTTTGGTTTCCCTTTGCAGGGTTGCCATTCCCTAGCCTCGTTCGGGCTTCCCTGTGCCTTGCCACGCAAATTGCCCCCCCAAAAAGTATGTCCGGGATGTCCTATCGCTTGGCAGCCTCTGGTTTCCTTTGCGTTTCAATATATATATATATATATATATAACCCTCTCCCAGATTGGACAGCATCCTGTCTTGTTTGTTCAGGATACCCAAAAACCGGGGGGGGGGGGGGAGAAAAGGAAGTGCAAGGGAACCTGCGACCATTTTGCGGGGGGTGTATTCGGACACCCCCATGACTTTCAACTCATTTGCTATCAGTAAAACAGCGACACCCGAACTTTTCTCGGCAAGCTTTGCTAGAACCCTTAGTCAAGGCTCATGGAAGGTGCTACCACCACATGAGCTTCTGACAATTTGCGCAGCACGATTTCAACCCCAAAAGGGCCCTCAAATCTCATGTCCAAGCTCCGAGCTCAGGACATGGGTGGCTCGCCATTTTTTGGAGGGCACGCTGTCTGGGGTTGGTTTCAAGGGGAAGCCAAAAGGGATGGATCCCCTCACAAAAAGACACACCCAAATGGGCATGGGTCAAAATCCAAATCGTACCCCCAGTGAACATCCCAATCCCCACTTAACATAGGTTCTAAAATGGGTGCTGAATTCACCCACCAAAATGGGATCCCCTTGAACGGTTTTGACAACAGCCATTTCAACGAGAAGCCAAAAGGGAAGGCGCCATTTTGGGCGGATCCCCCGCAGAAAAGACGCACGGGTCGCGTCTTATTCTCGCGCCTTCACCTCGGCGCTCGGGTCCACGGTGGCATCCGCCATGGCCGCCGAAACTTTTGAGCCGGCGGAGCCGCGTTTCGGGCGCTGCTGCGACGCGTTTCTGCCGCGTTTGGGGCGGAAAAAGAAGAACAACTAGGTCCTCCGGTAGAGAGGTTAGAATAAGTTGGTACCCGTGTTTTTTCCTTTTTCTGTAGTCTATTTTAGTAGGGGAATCCTCCCCCAATAAAGGGAAGAAAAAGGCACTACTGACTGGGGGGACCTAGACAAACACCAGGGGGGACAAGGGGTTTTTTGGGGCGGAGTTCACACTCTCCTTTGCATGGTGCGCAGGAAGAAAGACGCACACATCCTTGGTTTTCTGAGATCGGGTTCTTTGGGGAAGAGCCTTAGGGAAATGGCCAGTAGAGACAGACACATCAGGCGAATTCGTGAGTTGTGGCGACATCTCGGGTGAGCCAAAGAAACACAAGGCAAAACGGGGAAGCCCGAGACGCCATCTCTGCTCTCGCACTGATTCAAACATGGGAATGTCAATGTGCTTGTGAGGGCATCCAATTGGGCTTTGCTTGAAGACAAACCCATCTCTCTCAGCCTTCCTGTTTCGCGCCACGAATGGTCCATGTTGTTGGCTCGCCATGGAACGGCAGAAGGAAGTTGTGAGACGTCAATTGTAGGTCTGGTCCCCCTTTTGGAACCCTCGCGTACAGCGCCTGTTTTACATCTCGTCCAGCCAAAGGCCCGAGGCCTGTTTCACCAACTCCATGTCCAAACGGGTTGCTAGTGTGAAACCCCAATGCCTTGATGTTCCAACTCAAGTCGTTTCAGGGTCAAGAAATGCGGCTCCACTTTCAGGCAATACCCAAAACGATGCTCCGTGCATCACACGCCGTCCGAGCTTCTGGGTTACCATCTCACCCAATGGTGTCCCAGCTGCGTTTGCCTCCAATTTAAGGAGACCCGAGAACACGCACACACACACACACACACACACCCTGGATGACTGTCCAGTAATTCCAGACAATGGCAAGGGGACACCATGAGGAACGAATCCCGAAGGGTTACTACCGAAGGGTTACTTCACTGGGTATGATGAAACACAACAGCCATACGTGTGTGTGTGTGTGTGCTTTTGTTGTAGTGGGTCCCCCTTTAGGTTGGTTTGAAGGGAAACCCAAAACGAAAACCATCCATCCAAATCCCGATAAGCATTTCCTGGTGGCCGGGAGTGCGCTTTTTTGCACAATGGAATCTCATGGGGCACGACGCATCAGCGGCGCAGCCTCGATACGAAAAGCGCGTCTCATGACCGCGTGGACTGAGTTTGAAGATGGATAAGATGGCTCTGGGTCAAACATAGGCTAGGTCCTCCAGCAGAGAGGTTAGAATAAGAGCACCCTTTTTTCTGTGGTCTATTTTAGTAGGGGAGCCCTCCCAAAAAACAAAGTAAAAGGGCACTACTGGGGGGCCTAGTAGGTATCCAAAATCGAACCCTGGTCAATGTAAACATGGACAAAAACCTGGGGTCCCTGGTTTAGCTTTGGCCCAAAAGCGCAACATCGAACACCTCACCAGCCGAAAATTAGACATGGCCCCCCAAAAAGGAACCCAGAAAGATGGTGCCGAACCGCTTCCACCGAAAGGAAGACGCCGTACAAGGCACTTTGCAGCCTCAAGACAAGGGATAGATGCCTGATTTCAGCTTCGGGTATGGGTTTGGGGGTAGTGGAAGCCGAAGTACCACCGAGGCATGACCAGCTCCGAAGCGGAGCTTAACCCCAGGCCTGTATCGACAGCAAGTCAACAAGTCATACTTCCGGGACACAACAGACTTTTCTGCACAAGGAGCATGCTTGATCTAACTGCACACGCCCAGGAAAAACACACACAATCGGGGGGCATGTTTGGCTTTGGTTGGAGCATTTGGAAAATCGCAATCCACCATCCAGAAACAAGGGTCCTCTACGAAAGGAGCTTTCATTGTATGTGAAGCTAATTTGCCCAAATGATTAGATTTGAGCCCCCAACCCCCCCCCCCCCAAATCCCCCCTCCCCACCCGTGGAATGGTGGGTGGGGCTGGCTGAGATAGTTCAGGGTTGGTTTCAGGCTCGGTTTAGGATGGTTTAGGGTTGATTTACGGCTCAGGGTTGGCTTGGGCAATCTTGAAAGGGTTGATTTGGGCGTTTGGGAACAGTGCGGTCGTGGTGAGGTGGCTTGCTCATCAAAGGAAGTTTAGAAGGAACTTCCGCGGTGCGGAAACTAATTGAAAGCTAGTTCTCTGGCAAGACAAGAGAAGATTAAGCATGCACGAGAAACAAATCGAGAGCGTGTGGCGGGGAATAGTCACAATCGTGAAACAAACTCGAGCTGTTGACGGTCGACCAAGCAAAAGTGTTGGGGGGGGGGGGAAGGGTAGGAGTGCGGAGGACGGTACCATATATACATCGGGCAATAACTGTCACACGTGCAATAAGTGAAACTGCCGTCCATCAGACTTGACTCATTTGGCTAACCCAACAAATGATGGTCCTTTTGTGTTCCTTTATGCGAAGGCAACAAGCAAAAGGGCACCCTCAAATGCACACGCAAACACACAAACACACAAACACGAGACGACACCACAACACAACGACACAACCACACAAATGCAAAATAAATCTAACACACAAACACAAATACAAACACACAAGCACAAACACCCACACACACACAACTCAGACACTCAGACACTCACAGACGCACAGACACTCACAGACACACGCACACACACACACACAAAAACATTTACATACACTCACACACACACAAAGACACAAATACACACAAACACAAGCACGCAATCACGCAAACAAGCAAACACACAGACAGACACACAAACACAGAACACACAGACACGCACAAACAATCAAACAAAATCAACCAACCAACCAACCAAACAAGCAAGCAAACAAACAAACACACAAACACAAATGTCCGCAAATATCCTGAATATGCCTAGCGCTGTGAGTCAAGCGGCGTTTTGCCCCATCTAGACCGACAGGGGGGTTGGTTGTACTTTGTTCTGTTGCAACCTGCAAGTTGGCGGCCCATTCAGACCACCGAGGGGAACTGCGAGAGAAGTAACCAAGCGGCATCCCTTTAAATCAACCCCCTAAACTAAGGGAGCAAGACCCAAATGGCTTGCTATGTGCCCCCGAGAGTCGGCATCCCGACTCCAGGAACATCCAGAATTCTGTTTCTATGGGCAAGGACTTTGGGCTGGTTGGTTCGAACAAAAGAAAGGAACTACATGATTTTGATTGGGGGGTGTGGGGGCTGTCCTGGTGCCCCCCCCCCGAAAAGTGGACTCCCTTCAGGCCACTTTTGAGGAGGCCGCCTAATCTCTGAAAAGGGGCGGGTTCTACTTAAACCCGGCGTCAACCGAGGTCAGCCTCGAGGTCCTGCAGGAAAGAAGTCCTTTCGCCGTGCCCGTGAACCTGCACGCTGCCATCCCATCCCTTGGCAGGGTTCTCAAACAAAAAAAAGATTGGTGCCGCTACATGGCGACAGTGTCCTTTGGGCTTCTCAACGAAAACAAATCCAGAGGTGGTTGGTTTGCGTTCTTCCCTGAAATGAAAAACCAAGCAGTGGGCCAGAGCCATTCCGGTTGAACCACTCAAGTGGCTTGGTGGAATTCAGGTTGGGATTCCCATTTACGGGCTTCAAATCCGCAAAAGGCAGCCAAAAAAAGGTTGTCGTTTACATGAGCTGGGCGGTGTCACCTTTGGAGGAAGCCAAGCGGTTTATGGGCTGGAATCCTGACGTGAGAAAACACTACATAACACGTGTTTTGCAACAATGACACCGAAAACTCATTGGGTCCTTTTGGTATCCCGGTAAGAAAACCCAAGAAAGGGGTCCTTCTTTTCCTTGCAAACGCCAAATCAGCCGGCCTTCGGGTTGGCACCGGCCTTGGCCTTTGCAAAGCCGATTTTGGCCTCAGCGATTGCGCCGGATGCTGGCGAGTTTCAGAGGGTCCAGTGGCCGCTAGACAAAGGACGCGTTTTCGTATTTGGGGGTTGATCAAAAGATCCACGCGGGAAACCAGGGAGCACCCACCAGGATGATGTTTCCAACTACATGGGAAAGGTTACCCCTGATTGCATGATCATTTGGATCCAGGAGCATTGATCAACCCCGAGATCGGAACATTCACTCCAAAAAACCTTCAGAGCTCTGGGCACCACTGAAGCCCTGACAAACGTCAGGGTTCCCCTCAATTGGTGGTTGGGATTGCTGCTTTAGGTATATGGATTTGAACACAAGGCTGTACGAATCTTCAAACCACCGGGCTCCAACCACAAGCTGAAAATTGGCCTGACTGTGAACAGAGAGAAACGTGTTCTCAAGGTGTAAGGGCCAAGTATACTGCGAGAAAGCAACAAATGATGTGCGCCCCTCGACGCAAACAAACACGAAACGGCCTAGCAACGAAGAGTTGCATGTTTGCCAACTCAACAGGTAAAGTGACTTTGCTGATTGACAACTAAAACCCAGGCGGCCTCGAATTCGAGAGGACAAAATTTAAGGCGCACATCCGTTCCCCTCAAAGGAATCAGAAGGCGACGTGGCTATAAGCAGGGACCGCACCAAGGTCTCTGGCTTCACTTGGGCCTTTCCTCTGGCTTGCTCTTGTCCAAGTGCCGCTCCATTTCTGCCTTCTCTTCTTTGCAAAGTAGCTAGGCGGATGGCAAACGCTTCTCCCACTTCCCCGATCGCAAACGCCTCCTGCCTGCTCTGGGCATCTCTGGAAACCAGGCTTTGAAGGGCAGAGGGAAACCAAAACAACACCAAGCAGCGCCAGGTCCCTTAATGTTGAGAAACTCCGTCTTTCTAGGCGGCCATTCGAACCTATACAGTACATGGTGCTAGTAAAATAATTGAACCAAACTGAAACCAGTCGAAACCATAGGTCAACCAAACTGAAACGAGAAAGGTTCCCTGAACTACTAGCAAGTGAACCAGCGAACTATTCGCATCCAACCACAAAAACCTGATCCATTCAACGCAGCAAACAACTGGTTCGATCTGCAGGGAAATACGGAACCAAGGTAAATAGCCATCCATTGTTAGGGGAACTCCTCTTGGATATCAGACCCATGTGGTCCTTCGGCGAATTTCAAGTGGAGTATGCCCCATCTCCGGACCTATGTCCACACGGAAATGGATTTTGACCATCTTGAGAACTGGACATCTGAAAGCTCGCCGTTGCCGCGACTGAACACGGTGAAGAAGTGGCGCATGAAGACCTGAAGGAAAGGTCAGGGCCCAGTGGGAAGGGTCGGGACGTGAAAGGGCGTGCGGGGCTAAAGTGGAAACAAAGAATGCCATGTGGCGCAACAACGCTGTCAGCTTGGCTACCACCCGCATTCCGCTCCAAGAACGCTGTGGAACTAGACCCACACAATCCCAATGCCCTGCTGATGTGAAAGGTGAGGCAACGCGATCGCTTCTGGAACAACATGCATGCGCAATCAACGCTAACACATTTGTATGCGTCGCTGCTGAGCGGTTGAAAGCGAAGGAGCTGCACCGGAAAGGAGCCTGAGTAATGCTCTGGCAGTTCATCCAGCCCCTCCCAAGTCGGGTAGTCGGGTTGGGTTTTCTGACCCAAGAACGGGGAGGGGGGGGGGCTGCGGGCCCCAACAAATTATAGTGCGCGAATGACGTCTTTTTCTGGTCTCTTTCAAACAATAACTCTCTCGGAGGCGGCATCAAGGAAGCCCAACGCTGCGCCAAGTAACGCATGACACATGGAGTCGTCCCCGATGTAACCGAATCTCGCGGAGGTTCGCACGGGCCAATGCATCCCAGTCAAGCCGAGCCAACCTGAAAGAAATGGGAGTATCTCCTTTTGGAGGGAGTTGGAACCCCCGTGTTTGTGGTTTTGAAGGAACGCCCAAAGGAAGAAAAAACACGTGCGCCACTTTGAGCCGAGCCGATTCCGAGGCACAAAAAAGACGAGCCCAGCGAGCCTCAAGAAAGGGCCCGACCCGATGGACCAAAGGGCGGCCCCGAAGCGGTCGGTTGAAGGAAACAACCCAAGGTTCTGACTTTGACCCCCAGAAGAGGCTCAAAAAACAGAAGTTGACACCAGTGGTGTTTTTGAAAACGACCCAAGGCCTCAAAAAGGCGCTCAATGTGTGACTTCACCAGGCAAATGAGCCATTGTTGCCCGCCTCGCCCAGGATCATTGCAGGGCCATACCTGAAGGGGCAAAGCTCGAACCGATCAGATCGGGGCCGATGTTTGCTTGGGAATCGACAAACCTCCAGTGGAACAACTCGGGGAGTGCAAAAAAGGCGCACATGCTCTCCCACCCAACTAGGGGAGCCAGGCAGCCCGAAAAAGGCATTTTACTCACGGCGTGTTCTTTATCCTGGCAACCCAAGCAATGCATTGGGTTGGTCTGAACAATGAGAAGACCCCCTGCAACTTTGCATGGACTTCTGGTTGGGGTCCCTTAAAGGGGAGTCCGAAACGGATTGTGTCTTGGGTCCAGTGCCAACCTACAGAAGTGCATGTGGGTCTGTCTTTTTTTGGGGTAGTTGTTCTTTTGTGTGCGTGTGGATTTTTAAGGGAAACCACAAGGAAAAAACACCACTTTGGAGGGGTCCCCCACAAAAGAACACACCCACGTGTTGGTGATCAAGGCAAAACCAGGCGGCACAAATGTTGAAAGGGCTCAGTTGCCCACGCGGTCGAACTTTGCCTTTGTCCGGTTTTGTCCATTCGGGAAGGCCGATCCATAAACCCACATGACACCTCCTATTGCTTGGGGATGCTCATGTCGATAGACCACCGGTGAGGATTGTCTTTATTTGCTGAAGCCGCCCACAGCATGACGTGCTTACCACCAAAACCGTCCCCCCCCCCCGCCCAGATATGAAAATGGACGGAACCCGTATCGGCATCTGACGTGCTATCCCACATTCTCTTCAATCCAAAGGCCATCTTCGCCTCCCGAAATCAAAGGGATACCCTCCCTCCCACGTTGCCATAGCACCTCACAGGGGGCTCCTTCAAGAGGAAACTGATCTTCCAGGTGCTCCACAGGAGCTAGCTTGTTGGAGGAAGGATAATTCATGGCTTTGAGCGAGTTCTCAAGCTCCTTGTCCTCGGATGCTCAGCCAAGGGACCCCTTCTTGATATCCAGCTTCATGAAGGCTGGCAGGCAGGAGTTGGAGTCATCCCCCACCATGTACCTGTGCTGCATGCAAACTGAGCCTTTCAATTGAATTGCGCAATGAACAGCGCAAGCTTCGCGCAATCCAGCCAGCCTTTCCAAGAAACATGGAGGACAAGCACGGTCAAGCTGCACATATGCGATTTCCATGTTGCATCAGAGTCTTCCTTTGCCGGGGTGGATCGTGGGAAATCAGTCACGCCCCAAACCAACAAGCTCATACAATGAGGCATCCTTCACGAGCAGGGAGCGGCAGTAACCGCAAAACAATCACATCATACCACTCGATGAGTTCAGCTCGGAGATGATCGTCCTTTCTGACGCTGAATCAATCCAACAGCTTGCGAATTGATGTATGACGTGGCTATCGGTATGAGTAGAAGTGTCTATTGGTGACCTTTGGTTGTCATTAGGGGGCAAGTCCAGCAAGCCAATGCCGACTGAAATTCATAGCCAGATGCCAAGGTGCACAATGATCCCAAGACCTCGTCCCAAATCTTGCTGGTGCTCACTAGGGAATTAAGAGGGGGCTTGGGAATGAACCTAGGGATGCCCTTAATGGAAACCACAAGGAATGGTTTACAGGGTCCATTCCATTTCTCACTCCCTGCTGAACGCACCTGCCAGAAATTACATGATGCATTCCACGCGGAAGAGTGCCTGTCGCTCTGGATGAACTGGGCCCGTTATCTGAGTCTTGCTACAAAAGCAACAAAGATCCAACTATATTGGTGACCCTGGTGCCCTTTCATTTTCCAAGGGGGTGAAACAAGGTCCCAGAAAGAAAGCACCGCCTGCGCTACCTCTGAAAGCAATCGATTTCAATCACATCCATCTCGCAGAACAGAGTCGCCCTTTTTTGCCCATGAATGAACCAATATTGTTTCAAGCCGATTCAATATTGACTCAAACTTGCCAAGATTTCGAGCCCTGGAAGTCACTCTGGACGGCAGGTTGGCGCGTTGCAGGCGCACGTCTCCTGCGTGACTTGCAAGTGGTAGTCCTCGTGCTTGCCACCTGGGGGTGTCCACGGGTTAAGTCAACTTCGATTTGGGCGGCCACCAAAGAAAACTCTGAACCCCCGCACTGCAAAATCGAATTGGGCCCAAAAAGGTGCACGAAATAGATGGCAACAACAGTGGCCTATCAGTGCCACGATTCATCAGTCATGACAGTCAGGTCGTACCGCCCGGAAACGGACAAGACGGGCACCCTGGGTGTCAAGTAGGTCTAGAACAAATGCAAGCACATACTGGGGATCCTTGTCTACCTCAGCTCAACCAAAAGGACATGTTTGATCCTGGCCCATGAATATTGAAGCATACCATGACTTCTCAAGGAATTCGTTGTGAGACCTGTAGCACCCGCTGGTTTTCTCGAAGCGAGATTCACCAACTCAGGCTTAGGGCTTCCGAAACTGGCCATCACGAGCCGCGGCTTCCACAAAGCCGTCGACGGATCAATCAACCTGGCAGAGGGGGGGTGTTCCCTCCCAACGAAAGCAGAGGACTCCTTCTAGTGGAACCCCCCCAAGTTAATTCACCATCAGGTTGATCCTAGGTTCTCATCCATGCACAGGGGGTTGTGTTTACTTTGCTTAGGTTAGTTGCCAATCGATTTCTTTGGGGGATCAACCATGCCTGTAAAGGAACCCGTTTTGCGCCCCTATCCTATGGCAAATAAGCCTTGCTGTGATGCCAATGTGGGCTATCCCCACTATCCCAATGATTACTTGGTCGCTTGAAAAGGACCTCCCCAAGGGCACGGTCGATGCCGACTCAATGTTGCAAGGAACAAGTTGGAAAGCCTGTACATAAAAGCCATAGCTCGTGGTTGGTTTACTTTGGTTGGTTTACTTGCCACTGCCACATGGCAGGGACATCCACCTAAAAAATAAACCATTCAACATGAAGCAACTGTCCACCTGCTCCCTGGGAGAGAGAAAGTCATTCTCTGAGGGCCCAAGCGCAGCACATAGGTGAGAGGCTGGTAGGAGCTCACCCGCGAGCAGGAAGCCTGGGAAAAAAGAAGTGTGCCCTTTTTGAGGCTAACTTCTGGGCTGTTCTTGAAGAAGAACACCAACAAAAACACGACATTGTTTCTGGGCCCCCTATTTGTTAAGACTAAGTTAAGGCACACCCATGTGTGTGTGTACATATGAGCCAGCGTCAAAATTACTTGTCTCATGGGTATTCATTCCGACGTTGGGACTCCCCGTATCGTTTTGCAGGATTGTTTTCTGGGGCATCTGTTGTTTGAAGATCACGGTTCGTTGTTCGAGAAAAGAAACAACACGTGCATGAAACACTCCTACATAAAGTAATTGACGGAAATTGTGAAGTCAAGCGAGCTGCTCAGCTATTCAGCTACCAAGCTCCACCTACCTGTTCGATTTTCATGGTGGCTCATGTTCATTGCATATTTCACGCATGTACGTGCCGATGTCAAAATAAATACTGGCTCGGGTACTTTAACCCCAAGTTGAGTCATGATCGTAGGAATAGCATGTCAGTATTAACTTAGTCCCTTAAGAAGGACTATAGGTCAGTGGCCAACCAGTGGCTAAGAACTGCTCAACGAGCATTCAGTCAAACAAGCCAACTGGAAGGCTACACCCCACCCGAAGCCCTGTCAGAAAATTGGTGAGTCTTTTTTGGAGTTGGCACCCCGTGTTTGGTGGATTTCAAGGACACCTGGAAAGGAAAACCATCATTTTTGGATGTCCAATTCCAAAATAAGACATGCCCAAATGGCAGCCAAGGGGCCACGATTCCTTTCCGGGCCTGTTTTGTGCGAGGGAAACGCGCAACCGTGTTCCTTTTATGTTTCCCTTTGAAACCACCAAACAAGAAAGTTGCCAACTCAAGAAAGCCACACCTACGTGAGGACTCCAATGCCTAGCACAAAAACTCCAGCACTGAACTTTTGTATGTTCCAGGCCGGGGCCCCAGCTTGACTTCTGCATGTTCCCAAGCAAGCACTCCTTTTAGCTTATCCCTAAAACACGGACGGCCGCTCCTGGCCCAACAAAAACCAACGGTCCAGTCCTTTGGGAAATGACCACTTCTATGATACAACAACAAGGGCTTCTCGAAGACATAGCCTTCCCCCAAATTAAGTGTGAGATTCCCTTGTATCACAGAAGGTGGGATAAACCCCGTGATCCCACAACCCTGACTAAGGGGCCCGAAATGGGTCTAAAACCCCCAAACCGCAGACCGCCTCGGGAAAGGCATCCATGATCACCTCATAGATGGAGCCAGGAGCCGTGAAGTAGGTTGTGCCTGCAGTCGACTGGTCCACACGCATGCGGCATCCTAGGCCTGGCGCAGTGGAATGGGTGGCTGAATGCTTTCGGAGTAAGTCATAAAACAAGGTGAAGTCCCAAATCCTCACAAGAAAACATCCCAACTTTTGATCACCAGTGGTGTGGGAATCCGGGGTCAAATTGAAGTGCTTCTTCCGGTCCTGGCACTGATGTTCAACATAGCATGAACTTTCGCTGAGCCGCACATGTTCAGGAAACCCTAGTCTTGACTTTGGGCGATGCGCAAGTGGTTGACATTGCCCACCGTGATACCCTTGGAAGGCATTGCCACCAACAAACTTGCCAACCGGGCTTGTGTGTGTGTGTGCGGTGTGTTATTGCCTGGCACTCTTTTAACGTGGGTCTGAAGGGATTCAAAAGGAAACCACCTTTCTTGGCGTCCCCCAATTCTGACACCCAAATGACCACACACTCATACTCCCACATTCTCGCGACTTTGCAACATTACATTAGACCAGTTTGGGCGCCCTCCATAGTTTGTTAAAAGAGGCACTACGGCCCGCATAATTGAACATCGCGCGATTTGGGGTACTCTAAAACCAAATTGTGCTAACAACGCGAAATAAGATAGTACTCTTCAGTCCCTGAAATTGGTCTGAAAGGACACGTTCTCTTTGGCGTCGAGTCTGTTGGTTGCGATGGTAAAGTTCAACAAGTCAATGCCAGTCAACCAAGCATGACGTCTTGCTTGATCTCCCTGAGAGCTTGCAGTTACAACATTGTCCCGATCAGCCCCCCCCCCCGGCCGGCCTGTGTCGACAATCAAATACTTGGTCTTCATGTGCTCCTCGTCCTCTATCAGCGAACGGTTCCCTATCCTGGCGATCAAGTTGAGCTCCACTCGGCGTGCTGAGTCATGATCCCCTTGCCTTCCCCTTCCGGTTGTCGTGTGCTTCAGTTAAAGCCAAAACCGACACCGTGACGAACCAAAAAGGGGGCCCGGCGCCGGGAAACTGATCCAAGGACGGGCCCACTGGCTTCAACCTGTTTGTTTTGGGTGTTCCCCCTACAAACACGGGATTCCCTCTGAAACGTGTTGCACACGCCAATAAATACGAGGGATCTTGTTGAATCAACTGGGTTGGAGGGTCTGCTCGCAACTGAAGCCAACCGGCCTTAGGGAAACGATCAAGCCTAAGGATCTACGCAAGCATCGGTGCATGGCCATCTGCGTGGGAACACCCCAACAATAACATGGTGGTTGTCCTTTGGGTTTGCCTTGAAGGAAAAATACTAGGTTTGTGGGAGCTGCATATTTTTGGGAAGCAGCCCCATATTTCGGCTTAACACTCTCCTTTGTGTTTCCGATCAATCATTTTCCCATATCCTTACTACTATCAGTTCATCTGGACTCCTCCGTTTTTTCGGTGGGAAAAGTTAAACACCCACAGCAGCATGGGCTGCTCCGCCCATCTTAGCGAACCCGAAATCACCCGTGTCTGCATTCAAAACGACACGAGGCCGGGGACGCCGTGCAGGGAAATCAGCCTGAACCAAGCCATGCGGACAAGTTGCAGTGACACGGTTGTCCTCAATCGCATCGTTGGGTTCAGTTCAAGCAGGTTTCCTTGTAAAAACGACACACAGTGTGCCCAAAACGTTGGGTCCAGAACAAGAGCCACTGTTTTTCTCACAAGCAAACCCATTGCTCATTTCGCAAACAAGTCTGGGTGCGCATTGGATGGGGCGCCCTTAAACCAGTAACGTGTATTTGAGTGGCACAAAGGTTCTCTCAACAAATCAAGAACGTGCAACAAAGTCGCTTTCTTGGACCCACAAATATGGTCAGACACGCATTTTTTGTAGATCCAGCACCTCCAACTGCAAGGACCAAGGTGCCATCCAGAAGCCGCATTCCTGTAGATGATGCCCAGAAAACCTGCGCCTGTAAGTTTTCAAGGGAGCATACAGGCTCTTCAAAAAGTTGTTTCCCGCTCCAAACCGCGCCGAAGCGGACGGTCCTTATCTTTTGGAAGCAGCATGCGTATGTCATAACGACCAACAAGCCAAAGAGCGAAACGTGTGTTTGCAGCCTGCGCTTCAAAATGAACAGAACCCCCCTACAAAACAAAATGATATGTAATAAGTGCGTGTATATAAATATGTATATACATATATACACATATACACATACAAGTTACATATTTACACATGTGTTCCATATACTATATATATACACATCCGCAGCCCCAACGACGTACGGACAACACCCTACACACACCAACGACACAAAGCAACATGACCAGTGAAGTTTGGGGGTTTGTATAAGATGGTGTCCTTACTACCTGAGTGAGATGGCAACAACCTTTTCTCACTTCCCGAGTGGATGGCCCAACAAAAGTCCAAACTTTTTATTTACTACTAATGTGGTTTCTCAAAACAGTTAAATGTTCAGGAACTCATGGAGTGAGTTTTGGTTTACCCCTCAAATAATCTTGCCAACAAAACGAGGCCACGAGACTTGGCTAGTGAGTTTCCACCAGCGCCCCGCCTGAAGTCTACGAGCTCAAGGGCCCAGTAGTGAGGCTTCGCCACCGGAAACATCACGATGTCCCCATCGTAGAGGTCCTCACTGGGAAACTTGCTGGTGCGATAGGCAGGGAATGAGAAATGCAATGACCCCGAGAAAAACCATCCCTTGTGAGTTCCTTTCTTTGGGGATCCCCAGGTTCATTCCATTTCTCATTCCCTGCCTATCGCACCAAGGAAACCCATCCGAACCCCCCGGATTTGGCCATGTTTGCGACTCAAAAACGGTGTTGGCATGCTAAAGCGCAGGGGTCTTAGATTTAGTCAATATGCTCAAAGACCACTTTGTCCGCTACCAGGGCTTCTTTCGAATGATTCAGCTTCGGGAACTGACACAGCTCTGGGTTTGTTTGAACCAAGTCCCAAAGCCAAAACTGAAAGTGTCTATCGTGTCATTTGAATCGACCTGGGGACCCTAGTCATTTTGAGTGGAGCTTATAAAAGCCCTTCCCACAATACTTACATCTTTTGATTCTTCAAATAATCGGCCCTCCTAGCAATTGGTCAGGCGAATCACTTTTTCCGAGAGGAAAGCCGTCTTCCCGACCAGGGTGAGTGTTCCGTACCTATATGCTTGTTTGTCTGTGCTCCAAAAGAAGGGTGAGAGCTCCAAGGCTCCAAACATCAAGGCCTTCAGGGTCCTGTTAACCCACGTGGGAAAAGAAGTAGTTGCCGAAAGATCTACCTGCCTCAATCTTCCGATGAGCGTTATTTTATGCTAGATTACCGCGCGTTTATCTGAAAAGCGCTCGGTTCAAGAAAAAACGCTCGGATGCGGATATCGGAAAAGAAGAAACTGTTCAGCGTGTGGGCTCAGTCTTTCTGCTACTCATGTGCAAGATTTGCAGCGGGCACCGAACGTGGCAAAACTAACACTTTTTGAAGTGCGCTCGTGTGGCGGGAAATTGCACTTTTGTAGCGGGAATGTGCGCTCGTTGTGCGGCCTGGCCCGTTTTATCGGGGAAAGCTGCTGGGTTCAAAACTTTGACCGCATTGCGCAACGTGTTCTCCAACGGAGCCTCAATTCCTTTGCGAAGCAGCCTTCCAGTTGGCTCAGTTAACGCTCGAAGACTAAATAGCACTCGTTTGCCCAAAAAACGCTCGCGAGCACAAAAAGCGTATCGAATAGCAGCTTGAGCAGAAAATAACGCTCGTTGGAAGATACAGGTGTCTTGGAATTTGAAGGAAAACCCACATAGGCGGTACGGGGGTTGAAGCTAAATCCCCTTTGAACAGATATTCGATCTGGGCGTAACATGCTATACTTTAGCAAGTGAATTCACGTGAATCCGAAGGACCTGAGTCATGGCGTGCTTGCGACCAGCTGCGCAGAACAGAACTTGCACGGACGGCCCTTCCGAAAGGTCGCTTGTGGATGTTTTGCTAAAGGTAGCCTCCCTGGATTGCCCAAGAACGCTGAGCGCGATTGAAACACCGGCCCAAGAAAAGGGCGGCTTCACCCAACAAAAGGAATGAACCTCCACTTTTGCAAGAGGACACCCCCTATTCATCAAGCAGGATATTAAGTTATTTTGGGTTAACATCAATGGCGAGGGCATCCCCAGTCCTCATCCGTTTCTGCTTGCGAACCCGAAGCCACTCCTTTGCAATAACAGGTGATCGCCTTTTGTGGCCACTAAAACTGGACCAACTTTGGGGCAAGTGAGAATCTGGCAGCAGGGTTCAGGATTGACTTACCCACTTCGAAGTGAAACCGGTTCTGGTTTTGGATTCGTGGCCCACCCCAGCCTCCACATGAGCCCCAAACCACCAGCCGCAACAATCGACGCCCGGAAGCGATCGACGTCCTTGTCCACGCCTCCCCATAGCAGGGCACTGGGCTTCGAACCTGAGAAACAGCCCCTTGTGATACTGCTTCACGGGGATTCCGTTGATATGCCTGGAAACCCAATCTGCGCTTTTAACCATGGGCAGGCACTATCCGCGTGACCATAGGCAGCTACTACAAGGGCCTGAGCGATATGGAGTGGTAGGTTCAGGGGAAACCACCAAGAAACAGTCACAATAATCACACCAGGGCCCAGGCCCGGTCTAAACACTTCTTCGGTTTGGGTTGTCCCCAAACCAAACAGCTGCTGCTGCGCGCTCCCGGGACAACCACCCTGAGCGATTTACAGGGTTACTACTGAGCGCACACCAAACCGACAGTAGACTACCTTTTTGGTTTCCCCTTGCATCACCGTGCTGCGCAGTGCCCTGCATAAATGCGTGACACTGGCAAATAAAACAGTAGACTACCAATCATTACATTGTCAATTACTCGTATATGCCTGGAGCACCCTTCGTTACATAAATTTCTGCCCTTAGCCCAAACGTATTGCAAAACCAGGGGTCGTCACCAAATATGGTAAACGTACACTTTTTCCTGCTTCGAGCGTTTTTCCCAAAACCGGGCTGGTCGGTCCTCCAAGATGATCGGTCCCTGAATATTCAAAAGGAGCGAGCAGAAATCAACGTGCAAAACGAGCGCACATATCCGCAAAACGTGCGCAAATATCCGCAAACGAGTGCATTTTTTTTTGTTTAACGTAACAATCCCGCCTTCCTCTGGATGGAAGAAGGGGATGTGGTCGAGCGTTTTTTTTTGGGGGGGGGCGAGCGTTTTTTTGGGGGGTCGAGCAGAAATCGGTAATTCGAGTGTTTTTTTCTCGTACCTAAACAAAAGGGCACGTTGGGTGCCTCAGGTGTGAAGCCATGGCCAGTTTGGACCCCTTCTATCCTTCTGGTGGCTTGCCCGGAGTCGAGCGCCATAGTAAACAGTGAATTAACAAATCAACTACGGTCCATACTAGGAGTTCAAACGGACAAATACATTCAGCCTTGATTAAGGGCAAGGGAGGCATGGAATTGTCCAGCCGCAAATAAAACCGACCAACCGAATCCAAAAAGGGGCGCTCTCAACACTTAAGGCCTGGATGTGTCGTCTTATTCGATCTTGTTTTCCTTTTTGTTTCAGGGTGCCCTGATAGGGGTAGTGTTGAATAGGCAAGCCAATGGGAACTCACCCACACATTTTGAGGGTTCCCTAAGACAAACCAGCAGCATCAATAGTTACTTCTATCCAATCCAACTGGTTGAACGAAAACTGACAAGCTGTAACCAAGCAACAATGACACACGTCAACCATTCTGACTCGGGGACCAACGTATTAAGTCTATCAGGATAGAAAGTTGGTCTCAGGGAAGGCCCTGGTGGCTTCAATTGCTTGAGTCGAAGGTCAGAGCAACCCTGGCAAGCCAACCACAAATGGTAAATGTCGGAATCTTCCGTATTCCTAGTTGCAATATGGATGTAACTCAGGGAAATGAAAAGCCAGAACCCGACTGACGCAACCATCCAACGCGAAGTCGGGACAATGGTCGCTCGCCGTAGTGGGAGGGTGATCTCAAGATCGCAGGCTTACTCCCCTTCCTCTCCAGATCAAGCAACTCAAGAAACCTATTTTTATTTTATGGGTTCCATGTATTACGAGGACATATTTGGATATCATATTCGGGTTCAGGTATCCCAGAAATCCGCTTGCGAGCTCTCATTTGGTTCTTCCCCCTGCTCTCAGTGACAAGAAGTGTACTTGGACGTGCCAGTCTTGTTGGAAATCGATCTTGCTTGCCAGCCTTGTCCACCGTTTTCCATTTGGATGAAGGACGATGCAAACAATAAAAATGGTCCATTCCACAAGTACGTGGAGAAAGGCAAGTCCGCCAAGAAAGACATGTCCCGGCTTTGAGATTATGAGTTTGTACACCCGAAAACCATATTAAGGAATCACACAAGTGATCCACGTTCGTTTGTAGGAGTAAGCATTCAGCTGGTTCGAACTCTTCACGCTCTAGCTTCCCTTCGGTTCGGCTTTCGTTTGGTTGGCATTTCAGGACGGCGCTGTCGGTGTTCAGGAAAAAGGCGAACTCGTTCCGCTTCAGCAGCCTGGCGTCGTTTCTCGCTCGCGGCAAGTGTCACGCTGCGGGGCTCCGATTATTCAGCACCCGCCAGGCGAAAACTCATGCTGTGACCAAATGCTTCACCTGTTGAAACGAATCGATTCAGCTGGTGAAGGACATAAGGTGATCCACAAAGCAAAAGCTTGTGTTCAGCTCACCCAAACGGAGAAACATCACGATCCCTCCACCACCACTGTTTGCAGGGCAGAAAACGATTCCGCAGATATAAACATGAACCAGCAACAGTACAGGGACCTAGTACTCGGTGATTTGGCCGAGTCGGAGTCGGGCCAGAACTCGAAGGCCCGTCCCCAAACTTCAAATCATGGCGTGCTTGTCCAGAGGACACTTCTTTATAACAAGCAGCAGCCACGGGGGGGTTGCCTAATTTTACAACAATTGATAAACAAACAAAAAAAGGAGCCCAACTGTGTGTCCTTTGCTAAGTACAAGTTCTTCAAAACGAGCCAAAGTTGCAAACCCCCAAGTGCGGTGGCTTCCTTTTCCCCTTTAACACGTACAAAAAGGCGACCCGGCAGAACTTGCGTCAGGCAGGCTTCTTCTTGATGACACGCTCCTTGGCAAACGTCACTGCCTGGGGCCTTTTCAAGAGGGGACCAAAATCTTGCTGGAAAGAGGATAACGGGTGTGTTTTTCTAGGTGAAGACCAACCAAAAAAAATGTACTCTCAAAAAAAGGACCTACCCAGAAGATACCCAGAGGTTTCAACCCACAGTTTACCCTTAGTTGCCTCCATCTTCCGTAAAATAGAGGGTTCACATAAACGGAATGAGCAAACTGGCCGGGGGATGGATGAAACCCTGACCCAGCAACAGGTGTTTTTTTCTTGGATGGACCAACTCCCGTTGGGAAAGAACAGAGAAACTCAGTCGGGGATAGGATCAGCACAAAAACAGAGCCTGGTTGCTGGACTGGTTGGACAAAACCGGATGCATTTTGAAAACGGCCGAGGTGCAAAGAACGGCTCGATGCCACCGAAGGACAGCGAGGGGAAAGCCAGGCCCAAGATGCCTCGACGCGTGCGCCGCTTCTTTTCTGGCGATGGATGGATTTCCGAGTCCGGGTGGGAATGAACCGTTTGGGGATTCCCGAAAGGAAAGCAGAGGGGATTCTTTATTTCAGGGAAATGTTTTTATCATTCCCAGCTGAGAACCAGCAAGCCCTTGAAAAAAAAACATACTGGAGTCTCCACGACCAAGCCTTTTCAAGGGGTGATGTGTGTGTATATACATATATGTGTGTACATATATATATATATATAATATATGTATGTATATATGTATAGTTGTTCAATATACAACCCTGTCACTGGTTGCACTCAACCATTGTCATTTGCGTGCGGGCAGAGCCTGCTCCTCCAAAACAAGACCTAAATCCTGTGTGGCCATTTCAAGATTGACTGGGTGTCGTGGCTTGACGTGCCAACAAAGCACGAGCAACGCTCATCGCACTTCCATGTGACTGGGACCCATTCAAATTCACAGGCAAGCCACACCTGTCACTCTCCGCAAGGGGTGAGCCTGTTCCAGGCCCTCCCAACGGCCGCGAAATGGCTCCCCGCCCAAAAAAGGTCATCTAGCATTTGACATAGGTCTTGGGAACCCCTTTGCACCACGGAGATCCGTTTCTTCGGGTTCCGACCGGGAATTCGGAAACGGCCAAGCATGTGGCTACGTTCTTGGGATGACTCCCACAACTGTCCACCGGCCGAATGCGCCTTCGAAGGGAAAGGAGGAGAACACCTCTCCGCTCATCTCCTCCCATTGGCAGCCCGTTGCATGGGCTCCAAATGGGTTCCGCGGTCGGGAGCCATTGGAACCCGTGTAGAAAAGGAACCCGTTTTGGGGACCGGGGAGACCTCAAAAAGGTCGAGCCGTTTCAGACAATGACCAAAAACATATCTGACTCAAAATAGAAAACCTGGAAACCCAAGCATTTCCTACCCCCCAGGAAAGGCTCTTAGCTTCGCAGGGTGCCTCGGAAACGAACCACACTTGCCTGCACCCAGTCAGCATTGTAGTCTGTAGCATAGGCAAGGGGGACCATCCTTGGTAAAACCTGGAGAACAAACTGTCTGGCTACCGCGTTTTAATTCCGGTGGCTTGCCTGGAATGGCTGAATTAAGGCAAGGGTCCTGTTCTGGTTAGCTACAGTTTCTGCAGAACGTAAAACGGTGAAACGGCTTTACCGTTTCTCCCCATAAAACTAAAACGGCAAACAAAACAAACTAAACAAAACAAAAACAAGGACGCGTGTGGAAATGTCTCGGAGCCGGCGAGCCAAGGCAACTTCAGGGTTTCATGATCCCTCCCAGGGAGCCGCATGCTTGGTTTTGCGGTGGTTTCACTCGACGCGGACCTGTTCGCACCCACCCCGCTGCTAAACCCAGCCCGCTGCTAAACCAGCCTTAGAGGGACTTGGTTATCCTCAAGCAAGGGCCCGTATTACCTTTCTTTCTACCCCATCATTGTTTGCTGGTCGGCAGGTTTCCCCATTAGCTTTTAGCCTACCATGAGCTTGCTGGTTGGGCTGCCATCCATTCAAACCTTATGGTCAAACGGTCTCTAGATTCTCCAAGAGGCGGATGAGCTTTCGAACTAGCCCTAAGTAGAGTGAATCATGCGCTTTGATCATATCACATGTTTGAGATCTGTCATAAACCTCCCATGGAAAATACCCCGAAAACACAAGGGATGGTACAGTGCATTTGGGGATGTTTCTATCTGACCTCAGAGCGTTTGGAGACAGAAGATGTAGCAGTGCGTGGTGTTCCTTTCAGCCTTGCCTCCCCCCAAATTGACGCCGAGCCCCCCCAAAAAAAGACCCACCCTGAGGTTTGTGAAATGTTGGGAAAGGGTTGTCTTCTGGCTGAAGAAAGCCCCTTTTGTGTGTTGGTGTTCAAGGTAACCCCTTCTGTTTCGGTAGGTGATGGCTTCACGCTTTTTTGGTTGACTCTCTCTCTCTCTATATATATATATACATATATGTAAGTTGGTACCATCCTCTGGGTTGGTTCAAAGAGAAGCCCTTCTGCAGCTAAGAGGGTAGCGGGATAACCTGGGCTTCATGGCCTAAGGAACAACCCCAAGAAACCCCGGACGTTTATCCATCCCCCCGCCCGAGTTCCAAAACCTGTGAGGTCTGCAAGCAATCGGTCTCCCCCCCAATTGGTGAAAAATTGAAGAAAAAAAAGCACCTGCGGTGTCCCAACGCCCAAAAAGGGTCGGACCCACTGATTGGGACATTGAAAAACCATCAGCTTCCCCACCCCCCGAAAAGGGTCATTACCCTCATCTCATTTCGGTTTTCATTTTGATTTGAGGTGCTCGCCTCGAGAAACCAACGGGCCCTAAGCGTCAAACGACTTCGGCTCGCCAACCGTCACTTCGGTTTCGGTCCCGGATCATCGCAAAGGGCTGCTGCTCCACTTTCATGGGGCCCACCCGGTAGGTGTCCACGTGCAAGGGCCCTGGCGAGCTCCAGTTGGTTGCGTTGAAAACCGCGCGGGGAAAAAAATTGATTCGCTGAGTGCCGAAGCGCTCGAATGCTGTGTGTTCTGAAGAGGGGCTTCAAATCGACGGCCCGTAGATAGCCTCGAGAGGCGCCATGCAGTTGGAGCAAGTTCCTTCTTTATAGGAGTTCTGGTTCCCCAAGGGCAACCATCCCCACGTGAAATGCGACGATGATGTGGTTGAAGACGTCCCTTTTGGGGCCTGTTTGCAAGGGAAGGAAACTTCAAACCGAAACATTGGGATGAGGAACTGAACGGTCAAGCCAGCCCAAGACAGCACAGCCAAATCCCCAATCTTTCAAGGGGAGTCAAACCTTTCTTGACTCATCCCCACAGTGAGCTTCATGAGCAAACCTTCCAGGGAGCAGAAAACCGGCCGGATAGATTGTTGTTTCACTACGAAAGCAGCAAACCAAGGACATTGGACAAGTCTGATTGAGCCCTTGATTTGGATCTTCCCTGAAAGTTGGAAACGGAACCCTCATCAGGCTAGTCTTGTTTGGGAGTCCGTTGGAAAGAGACACCTTCAATTGGACCACTTAATCATCTTAGCAACTCGTTTCTGGCTTCCCGGTTTGTAAAACCAAGGATTTTCCAAACTGGCAACTCACTTTGTCCAAACTGGAAATTTGCGGAATTCCTCCCTTCATGGGTGACATTGCAACCATTTTACTCCCAGAGCTGGGTAGTCTTTCCCCAGGCACAGACCGATTTTGATTTGGTTTCCTAGACCTTCCACGAGCGAAGCAGCATTCAGCTCAGGCCGCTTTTCTTCCGACCCAGGCACTGCACACCAATCTATGGTTACAATTCCGGTTGCCACTGACCAATCTGCCATCCAGACAAACCACTACAGGCAAACTCGAACTTCCGAAGTGGATTCGCCGAACAAATGCTGATCCTTCCGTAAATACTAAAATGGTCGTCCCATAAAGTATAAAGTCCAAACACTCACGGAGTGAGGATTTGGCAGTTGGGATCCGGCACCGTTATCAGCAATGGGGTAATCTGGCACTCAGTCGCGGAATGTATCAAAACGCAAAACAACCACCACAAAGAGATGCCCCTCCAGTCTGAAAAGCAACACCATGACTTAAGATCTTGTTGCCTCCTGTCCGACCAAGGCCCAGAGTAGTCTAGCGCTGGACCCACATATGCTGGCTGCCGGGTGTGCCCGGCAGAGGCATCACGTAGCGCCCGAAGATCTGCGGCGCTTGCGCCATCTGAGGAGCTTGCGCCATCTGCGGAGCCTGTGGTGCAGGGTTCGGGGAGTTATCCAAATCCCCTTTTGGACATGTTCAATCAGCGATTTCCTGAAAGTCCACCCCTTTCAAACAGCTACGCTGCAATCAACAGTATGTCAAGCGCTTGAAATGAATTTTGCCCGCTGCTTCTCGGCCTGTGGCCGGGCTGGGGACACCATGTGGTAGCGCGTCGGCGAGTACATCGCTGGGGCCTGGGGCGCTTCAAAGGTCCGGGAGAAAATGCGCAGGTTTGGTACCTACCGAGGATGGTCGTTGATGGGTTGAAAAGGGGTCAAGATACTTCCTCGTAAGGTACTTGGGTCTTGTGGATTGGTCTTTGACAAGAAAAGTAACGGAACTCGGAATCAATACCAGTTTTTTTTCCCTGATGGTTTTGTGATTTTTTGAGGTTCGCACAACCGGAACACGAATGGCACCAGAAGGCGCTGTGCAGATGTTGTCTTGGCTGTCTCTGGGCTCCCGAAGCACATCTTGGAAAGTGTGACAGCAACCAAAAGGCTGTGATTCAGGCATGAGCTATCTTTGGGCACCACGTTATGCTAGGATGATGACTTAACTTGGTAACACTGTCCCCATTGGCTTCACCAACTCTGGGTTAATCATTGCAAATATGTGAGAGGAGTCGGTTTCCAATTTGGTCACCCCGAAAAGATGCAACGAGTGTTGAAAGGTCATCGCCCTGAGCGCTTGACAAAAGCAGGTATGTTCGCCGTGCATGGAGAAGTCTGTCATTTACATAACCCCAATATCAAAGCTGCTGCAACTTCTGATTCGTTTGTTCTCATTGCTTTAGTCGGGAGTAGAGTCTGTGTCTGAGAGCGTTCGGATGGGCAAACCCCAAGCGTCGAGGAAACCGGACAAAAAAAACAGAACACAATATGCAAGGTCGGGGCATGTCGGGGCAAACCATGCCTGGGATTCAGCAAACCCCCCAAATTGGATGGTTCGTTCTTTAGGTTTCCGGCACCATCCATGGCGGGCCGTTCTTTGCTTTCCAAGGGGATTGTTTGGTGTATCCGCGCTGACATGCCGCTTCTCCCAAGGCTTAAGGTTGGTTTGGTTTTCCATCCCAAGCGTGGCTGCTGATATGTTCCTCGAGGTTTTCCGGCGGTGTCTGAAATCCTTTGTTGCTCGTGTCTTCGGGGTTGTCACGGTTTGTTTGTTCATTGGTTTAACCTGTCCCAACACTAAGATTACTACGATGTGTGCAATGCAAGGTTGATCTTTCTTCAATTACGTCCGAGTTTTTCTTCCGGGAAAAACAAAAAACACATACCTGAAACTCATGCGTTAAGCTCCCCGGAACGCTCCGTGCCTGCGAGTAGGACATTTGCGCGAACGTCGCCGGCTTCCTCGGGGGGTGGGGGGGGGGGTGGGGAAAAAAAAACGACAGCAAACTTGCGGGGATGTCAAAGGGAATCCCAAAATTTGTGATTGGTCCTGGTTCCCTTGAAACTAACCAAGAGGCACAGGTCAACATCCCCCCTTTAAATGTTGAACCCAGATTAACAAAGTAACCGGTGGTTGCTGAATAGGGGGTGACCCTTTATAGTGGGGGTTCATCATGTTTGGAGGGATCACCCCCCTGATACACAGGATGGGATTGTTCATCGGGGATGACGGGAACCATCAGTAGCAACCCCAAGCTGCTTTGACCTTGGTTCACATTAAGGAGCTGAGCCCAAGCCAACAGGACAACATGGGCATGATGTTCCATCGGCTGGAGCTTGGGTGGAGATCAGTTACGCGTCCACCAACTTTTTGTTGAGGGTGTTTCGAACTTAAAGTTCATAGCTATGCGCTCCCTTCATCAGATACAGGGGTCAAATTTATCTGTTTGAAGCATTAAAACAACTCATCCCCAAAGACCAGGTACAACTTATTGGGCATCAAAACAAACTTTTGGTTTCCATTTTGGGGAAACCACAGTAACAACCTGCCAAAACCTGCGGCACCAAAAAGACTCATCAGGCATCAGAAGCCAAAGTGTCGGGCATGACTGGGGTTGCTTTGTTAAGCCCCAAAGTGTCGGGCATGACGGGGTTGCTTTGTTTAGAGTTTGGCTTGGGGATGGGCTTCGTGCGGTTTTGGGGGCAGGTTGGCGTGGGTTTCAGGCAGAGAACGAGCGACAATGAATGCAGCCCGATGCCGAAACCCGGCAGACGGGTTGGGTGCCGGTAGAACGACAGGCATGGAAAACAAGCGACAACATGAGTTGACGCCAAGAGCCCGGGGGTTGGGGAAGCCCCCCCCCCCCCGAGTAGAACAACGACAATGTAAGCCAACGCCCAAAACCACCCAGTAGCCAAAAACCACCCAATAGAACAACAGCCAACGAGAACGAGCGACAATGGACGACAGCGTAAGCCGACGCCAAAAAAAACACCCAGTAGAACAAGCGACAATGTAAGCCGAAACTCAGCGTTGAATGAGACCCCGCATTTTTACAGGTCAAACGGCAGGCTTTGTGACACCCCGCGAAAATTAGTGGCAGGGCCATTCAAATGTGCTGCGTGGTCAACCGTCCAATGGGGAGGGCTTCAAAAACACATTCGAGATGTGAATGTTGGTTAGGTTCAGCCGGCATTGTGTAGCTCACCCTGTTGTACATGCGTGTGAACGGCACACCTCGGCTCAAACTCAGAAGCCTCTGCGCAGCCAGCGGCTGAAAAAGGCATGTTTACCTGGCCAGAATGTGGCTTGGGGAACTTGACCCCTCCACAGTATGGCCTGCTTAAGCTTGTGCTTCTTGAAGCAAGCCTTCTCTAGTTAAATGGGCATTGCTTCCGAGGCATGGCGAGGTGGCTGGGGGGGGGTGCTTCCGAGGCATGGCGGGGCCCCTTCCTGCCTTCCTGCCCTCCTCCCTTCCTGCCCTCCTGCCTTCCTGCCTTCCTGCCTTCCTGCCTTCCTGCCTTCCTGCCTTCCGTCCTTCCGTCCTTCCGTCCTTCCTTCCTTCCTGCCTTCCTGCCTTCTTCCTGCCTTCCTGCCTTCCGTCCTTCCGTCCTTCCGTCCTTCCTTCCTTCCTGCCTTCCTGCCTTCTTCCTGCCTTCCGTCCTTCCGTCCTTCCGTCCTTCCGTCCGTCCTTCTTTCCTGCCTTCCTGCCTTCTTCCTGCCTTCCTGCCTTCCGTCCTTCCGTCCTTCCGTCCTTCCGTCCGTCCTTCCTTCCTTCCTCACTTCCTTATTTGCTTCCCTCCCTCCCTCCCTCTCTCCCTCCCTCCCTCCTTCCTTCAGTTTTCCTTCCTTCCACGCAGTTGCTTTGAGAATAGCGACTATCATGTTTCTTCTTGATGCCTAATAAGCTTCTGTTGATGTTTGTTGATACCTATCCCTCAAACTTCCCACCCCTACAAATTGTAAAGAAATGTCTTTTAATCAGGGCCACGCAGGGAAGTACGAAAACAACTTTTCCCAGGCCAGGCATAAGAAGGAGGAACCCCCCCTTCAAAACATAAAAGGGGCTAAACAAAGGTGCAATCCACTGGACACCTGGGAAGGTGCGCATGTGCTGCCTGGCTTCGGCGACATCTGCTGGGCAACTGGCTGCGGAGAGTAGGGATACTTCCGCACCGCGCTCGCTGTCGCATTCGTCACCACATTCGGCGGCTGCGTCGCCACGCTCGGCACGGAAGGCGTCAGCTCTAAGGAGGCGGCGCAGTGGGCACGGACCGTCATGGACCGGTCGGTTTGGTCGGATACGCAGGCGGACACGTACCTGGCATGTCCGAAAAATTGGGAGGAGCGTGGTCCGAATTGGAGTCTTTCTTTCAGGAACAACTAGGTGAAAGGAGGCAGGGAGGGGGGGTTAATATCAGGTGCCCTGCCACCATTGCAAACATGGCCTGGCGCACAAACCTCTGCCGGAAGACTATCTAAATTCGACAAGGGGGTTGACTGTCTCAAAAGAGGCCTGCGCTGCATGAGCAAAAGATGTGCCTGCTGCTGGGATAGCCGAATGACCAAAATTGGGGGCAATGCATGCAGGCATGGTGGTATGTAGTTGAAGCACTGCACATGGCAAGCAGCGAACACCTACACTCCTAAGCGATATCGTGTGGTAGTTCCTGTTCCAGTGCATGGCGCAAATTACATCCATCTCTCCAATGACTCAAAGCTGAGTATGCTGCGTGCATGAAGTGCTGCTGTTTGAGTCCGGCTTCGCGCCATAGATGAATCCGGCTTCGCCTCATAGATGAAGGGCAATGCTCCCCTTTGTGGGGGCACATACTCCCCTTTGTGGGGCGACGCCACAATTTCTAGCTGCAACAACCCTGTCCCGGCCGGAGAAATGGAGCATGCCAGTCCGGCTTTGCAAACATCCCGAGCTTGCGGTACCTGGGTTTGTCTTTTCTTTGAGGGTTTAAAGGGAAAAATCAAATGGAACCAACCATTTTGGGTGTACAATTTCCATGGGCCGCCAAAGCCCATCGGAACTCTCGAGAGCCTGAAAACGGACATGGGCTTCAGAAAGCAACTTGTGCGCTTTTTTGGCAACAACACATTAATCACTACCCTTTTCCTGGGCAATCTCCAGATGTGTCCTGACTGTACCTATGGTTGCCAACTGGCTGATACTCCTTGCGAGGTGGGCAGAAGCTGCAAGGGCGCAATGCGTTGCATTGACGTCTTGGCACCTCCTAAACCATCCACAACGAAGCAAACATTCCGGCTGGCTGACCTGGTCGTCCTGTCATACAGCTTCTCCCAACCTCACTTCCCAACTGGCAAAAAGGCCCAAACAACATCTAAACAACCAAGCACGCCACTAGAATGGTCTTCCCCAACAGCGACCAAAGTCCAGGACCTTGCGCAGTGAGCTATTTTAGGTTGACCATCGTTGACCCACCCAGATTCACAAGCTCCAAGAGTGGCAGTTGGCAAAAGCGCAACGGAGGCCCTACTCAACAAAAATACAATTTTGTCATGTCCTTTGGCAGAGTAATGCTTAAAGGGAAAAATAATCCTGACAAAGACCGTTCGGATTGTGCAGGTCAGCTGGGAAAAGGGTGCCTCTACAAGAACGGCTTCAAATGTCCAAAGCACAAAAATCCCACCACCAACTAAACCATTAAGGCTTACACGAGAGACACAAAGCGCAGGGAGCTCCTTGAAACGCAAAAAAACAACCCCGCCTGGTGACCACTTCTGCGCCCCGCTCCGTGCCTAGCGTGGCCATGGGATGATCATCAGCCATTGCAGTCCGGGAAACCTTCCCCAAAAACAAACAACATACTAAACGCAAACCTTCTCACCCGCCAATCGAGAAAAAACAACAACACAACTAACAACAAAATAGCTACAAAGGAACATCTTCCAACCCCCACCCATCCCCCTCCCGCCCCATCCCCCCCCAAAAAACAAACACCATCCAACCCCTCCCGCCCCCACCCCACACCAATGAAAACAACAACGCAACCCCCCCAATCCCCCCAACCCCCTCCCACCCCCCACCCCCCCCCACCCCCCCCGCCCAACACCCCAAACAAAAGAAAACAACAACGGTGCCACTGGCCACTTGGCTGCTCTTTGGCTCCGGCTGCGAGGCGTGGCGCTGCGGCGCCGAAATCGGCGACGCCAAAAGCGGCGACGCGGGAGTCGCGGCCTGCCGAGTTCTCGAGCGATGACCCGCCTACTAACGCAAGCCTCACAACCCCTTTGAGCATGGATCCCAGCAACATGTCCATCTGAACATATCTGAAATTGAACAAATGTGTTGCCCCTCCCCCGGAAAAACAAAAAAAGGCTCAGGTGATATCCCCAACAGCATGCGGTGCTCTTTTTAGTGCTCGAACCACCCCGCAGCCCTCGCAGAACCTCGTGGAACCCTCGTGAAACCTTGGTGGAACCCTGATGGAACCCTCGTGGAACCTTACTACCTCAGGGCCGCCCCAGACCACCCCGGAGCCTATCTGGGCTGAGACCCCAAAGCTTTCAGCGGTTGCGGAAAAACAAACACTGTTTTGCAACAGTGCATTTTTGGAATTGGCCTGGAACACCCGCTTGGCTTTACAAAAATCCGCCATTGGCTTGGCCGGCGCCATGTCGCGTTGACCAAAGGCAATGCAATGCAAAATGCGAGTCCCGGTAACCTAAATTCAGCTTGCCCCGAATTGGTGCTTTGGATTGGTGGACAAGACTCAGGGGTTCAAATCCCAAACAAACCACCAATCCAAACCATAAAAGAGGCGCAAGGAACCACTCGCGCTTGCACCGTCGGGCTTTCTGAAGGTCATGTTGCACACGCAACTGAGTTAACTGGGGGGGGGATGCAGAAGATGATGGTTCCCCCGGATGGCCCCTCTGATGGAATGGGCCAAACACGTTTTGTCACATCTTGCTTGCCCAAATGTCATGTATGATGTTGTCTGTAAGTGTAAATGTGTTGTATGTATGTATATATATATATATATTACATGTATATATATATATATGTATGTATGTCTACCTATTATATATACATATATATGTGTGTGTCCATGAAAATATATACATTGCACTACGTGTGTTTTAAACAAATATTTGTGTATACTACTGATATAAATATATATATATATATATATATATATGTATATCACATACAACATATGTATGCAGGGTCACAGCCACCGCAGGGCCGCCCTTCAGTATGAATACACTTGCTGCAGTTGATCGCATACTTGCGTGACTTTCACGGTTCTTGCAGTGTATTGAGTCGAAGTTTCCATGGAAACCACCAGTAAATTGCAACCTTTGAGAGGGAATTGGCTGTGGGTCAAAAATAGGAACCCAAAATGGAACCCTAGTACCTGGAACCAAACTAAAACCTGCAGTTTTCTGGTGGCTTCATTTTGACCCAAACCCAAATCTAGTGACCCCTGATTCACCAACCTGAAAAGGGTACCGTTTCAAGACGCAAACGAGACATGCCAAGCCTCTTCCCGAAGCCCCGAGACGGAGTGCACAGAGACGGAGTGCGCCGACTGCTTGCTGGAGCTCCTAAGGTCAAAGCTGAAAGATGTTTGTGCAAACATGTGCATGTCTAGCTTGTGGTTTGTGCATGGACATGAGATCCATGGAACCGCATGACGCAGGCGCTTTTGTGGCACAAAGGTGTGATTCACGTTGTGTGATTTGTTTTATGGTAGGTTCCTTTGGCGCCATAGCCCTTTTCCGCGGATAGCTGGTTGTACAAGACCTTGAAGGGGTTACACACATACCTTGCGGGGTTACAACGTTGAGCAGATACTTGCGGGTGTTTGCAGTGGCCCTGGAAAAATAAAACTATTTCCAGTAGTGATGGATTCCCTTTAAAACCAACAGGAGAAAATAAAAAAGGTCCTAACCAGGGCTGTGGGAAGTGACCACTTCTGTGATACAACAGAAAGGGCTTCCCCAAGACTATTTTCTTCATATAAAGGGGGATTCCCTTGTATCACAGAAGTGGGGAAAAACCCCTTGATCCCACAACCCTGGTCCTAACCAAATGGCAGGTACAGGGGATGACGAGAGCCCATGGGGGAGTCGAGCGCCACCCAAATGTACCCTACATTCTTCCTGATCCCGCTTCAAGGGCTCCATGTCCTTGTCGAAAACATCCCCGCAGAAAACGCCGGGACATCTCCGCTGTTTGCTGAGGGGCTTGCGGGCTCCGGAAGGCCTTCCGTGATAAGGATCACTGGCTGCCTTTTTCAGGATACATGTTGTTTCATAACATGGAGCTCCTTCCAGGAACCTGGATGTTCTCCACAAACTATCAGGATGTTCATGTTGGGAGGGTACAGTTGTGTGTTTCTGTCTTTTGACTTTGCTGCTGTTTGCTACTTGCTTTGATATTGGATGCATCAACTGCACGGCGAAACCCACGGGCGACACAATGTGTAGGCGTCTTTGTTGTTGCCGGCACGGAGGCTTGTTGACCAACATAGGCTTTCAGGTAGCACATTCCTTTAAAAGTGGAGTAGCTCAAAGCCTCCAACCTCATCTAAAACTAAACCCAAACCTGAAACTGTTGAAATTGATATCTTAAAGAAAACCTGAAACCAATGCTTGAACCCATACCTGAAAATTCATACCCGACATCCAGATCTGACAATTCATCCCTAAAACCCAAACCTGAAGCACATACCTACACCTCAGTTTTTACCCCCAACCTTTTTCTCCATACGGACTGAAATGGCCATGGGTCAAAATCCCGGTTGTGCCCCAGTGAAAATCCCAGTCCCCACTAAAATAGGTTCTAAAATGGGTAGTGAATTCATCTACCCACCAAGTTGGATCCCATTGGTTTTGACAACCCCAGCCAAATTCATACCCGAAACGATCCCCACTTTTCTGATCCCTGCCTGGTGTGCACCACAATCCTCCCCGAGGGCGAGGGCCATCGAGTGATCACCCGCCGCGGCGGCGCCGTGATGGACCTGCGCGAAGGGAGTTTTTCCGCAGGCCAGTCAGAATGAATCCTCACTTGAGTCACAATCAAAACCCGGTATTAACATGGTCGCCCCAGAATCATGTAACGAATTAAGAAGGCGGCCGCAGCTGTTTATGGTTGGGATTGTCCCTTACTAACCTTCATCTACCCGGGTCTTGATTGTGGCTCACTTGCCCTTTAGGGACCCAGAAATCAAAGGTGATCACCTTTTGGGGCCATGACAAAAAAATGGTTGCCAAAGAGGGAAAACCAAAAGACTACAAAAAAGGTCAGTTTTGGGCAGCTGAGAATCGGCTTCCCTCCACTTGGTGATTTGAAATGGAGGGGCTTCCCGTTTAACCTCAGGAAGCAGCTCAAATCCCAAACCAATCCAAACCACCAACTAAGGGTTACCTGAATCAATACAGGTTTTGGGTGAATTTGCTTGAGAAGGTGATCCTCCAAATTTGCTGGTTCAGCTGACTTTGTAGCTGGCCCTAGCGAGTCATCAAAGCCTCGTATTGAAACGGTCGACCCGAAACTGTTGGAAGAATCAAAAGGGCGAGTATCCACACCTATTCGGCAGGGGAGCTATCCCCTACTAACCTTGACTTATCTGGGTTTTGATTGTGGCTCAGGTGTTCTACCTCAGCTTAACCCCCCCCCATCCAAACAGTATGCTTGATTCTGCACATATTGCCTGGGCTACATTTTGTCGCATAAGTTTCAACATCAACCAACCGAAATCAGAAAAACTCGCTTTCAATTGGCCCAAGAGGTGATGTGTCAATCGCCCGAACAGGGAAGTAGAAAGACCCCTGTCAGCTGACAGGTGCCACAGATGTAGTTTTCTATAGCTGCCCCCAAAACACAACGAAGCCGAAGACTGAGAACGCGACCGGGCCCCGGAGGCCCGGAACCACCGTGGCACCCTCCAAGAACTGAATTGAACAGATGCGACTCCCCCCAAGAACATACACAAGGGAGCGAGAAATCAAACGAAAATTGGGTGGGAAAAAACAAAAAAACATGAAACAAGAAATGGCAAGCTGTTTGAACAAAACAGGTGGTATCGAGTATCCCCAACAAAGCCTCCGGAACCTTTCTGGAACCCGAGCCCGGACTCGTTACTGTAAAGGGGGAATGTCAAAATCAGGGACCCTTTTTGATGGAAACAGGCTGGTAAAAAAACAACATGGTACTTTTGGTGCTTTTCCTCCTGTTGGCCGTTTCAGGCTGTGATGTGTCGAGTTGCAGTTGTGAGCAGGGCTGAGGGAGGGCATGTTGCCGTCGTTATAAAAGGCATGTGCGCACAGGTTAACGCATAACCAATGTTGGCAAAAAGGATCTGGAGAGCACCATGTCCATCCCAGCAAACATGAATTCGCTAGAGTCTCTGTGATGAGGGAGCACGCAAACGGCTTGCTTCATAGTGTGGACTCAATGTATAGCCAGACGGTGGCAATCATTGCAAGACTATATTATACCACCGTTTGGAGGTATCAGCTTCCCTTGAGAAGGATTTCTGCCATGGCTGCAGTATGTTGATTCAGATTTTCGAGAAATTTAATTGCAACTATGCAACAAACATTGGGTGTTTGGCCATGTATGAAAAAAAGCAACGCTGTCCTAATTATCCTGTTCACTTCCAAGCATGCGCCAAAGACGACAAAATTTAGAAAAGCCATGCGAAGATACGCGTGATGCAGCTTTCACCCCCAGGTTTTTGTTAACAGCCTGTGACCTTTTTGGTATCCCCCCTCTACAACTTTTGGTGTGGTAGCAAAAACGACGTGTCTTGCACCCCCCCCCCCCCCACAGCAAAAATGAACAGAACCAAAATGCAAAACAAAAAACAACTTGCCAAGAACAGTGAAGCCCCTACAACAGGTGGAACAGAAATGGCGGCACCTGTAAGCGGTCCCTCCATAAAAGCTTTCATGGCCCCCGCAAAAAAAAAATGCACCCGCCTGGACGCTTGTCGGAGCTCCGGTGTCTCTGCTCGAACCTGGTATGGAATGGCCCAAAGAGCAAAAGGATGCCAACAAATTTGGGATGTTGACGTTTACGTTCACCCCCCCCACACCTAGGATTTTATTTTAAATGCCAAAGGTATTGGTCAACGTTCACCCCCACACCTAGGACTTTATTTGCTTTTCTGCTGCCAGTTTGGGAAAGGGCAAAGAAGGAGTACCAAGCGTTGACCCAGATTGGTCTGCTTTGGGGCTGAAGGGACACATAAAGGGCACTACCCCGTCTTGTAGGGTTTGACGCAAATACACACACAATACGGCCACGCATAGGGGCGGTTCCAAACATATGGATGGTTGCCCAATCCACGTCAGGCTCCTGGGACTCATGAAGCCCTATGAGCACTGCTTGAAACTGATGACTTACCCGGCAAACATCGGCAAGGCCTTTCAGGCCCATGGAACCCCGACCAATGTCAGGTTCCAACACGAGAATGCCGTCAGACCGGTGCGGACCTGCAAGTCGACAATTGGCGAGTGAGACCATTGTACCAAGGGAAACAAGAAGTCTGGCAGGTCATGTATACCTGGACCCCCCAAAAGCCATCTTTGCTGCATAAAAAAGGGGGCACAAAGGAAAAAACATGGGCCCACTTGAAGGTCCAGGAAGAGAACCACCCCCTTCCTCTTCAGCTCGAAAAGCAGGTCGTGCCTCTTCCCTCTCCGAGGCAGAGACGGTCTCCTCCCGCGAGTGCGCCGCACTGACCTGGGCGTTTTTTCCCACCGCAGGAAAGAAATACCTGAGCCACGACGTTCTAGGCGTTAATTCCTTTTCCATTCTTCTCAACCATCGTTCTGTTCAACCACCGGCTGTTTCCCCTTGAGTTTTTCATGGTTTCCTGGAAACCAAAGGGGGAAGGTAGCCCTAGAACCCTGGCTTGCCTGCACCGGGCGCGACTTCGGTCCGGAAACGGGGCCAAGTGACTTCGGTCTGCTCCGTGGTGTCCCTCTGGCTAAAGTTCGGGGACTCAACGGCTGCCTCCTCAGGCGGGTGCAAAGGGATGGAACCCCGGGGGGCGTCTTCTTTGAGGTTCCCCCCAAAATGTCTTCGGCGTTCCTTATGGTTTTCCCTTACCGCAAAAAAAGGTACCAACTCAAAGGACCTGTTGGCTCAGTCCGAAGAAGGGCAACTTCTGAATCCCTATGGGGCGATCGGATGTTTCTGTTCTCCTTGTTCTGGGTAAGCTGTTGATGCGAAACCATTTGTGGTTGCGCATCTGACCCGTGAAGTTTCCACGGGACCAGGGACACCTCGAGCCGCTCTCTGGCTTTTTACAAACCGCCGAACCTCCGGTCCTCGGTGCTGCCGCTATCAGACTCCACCTTCAGAGGCCGCCGCAGCACTTTCCGCAGGCACGCCACGAAGTGCGGATCCTGGCGAACGGACACGAAGTCGTTACCCCCAAAGGGGAAGGGGAAACTTCCGGAGGGACTGACAAGGGGCCCTCGGTAAACATTGCGAGTTCTCAAGACGGCTTGGGACTCGGGCGGTGTCACTTTAAAGCACCAGAGGGTATAAGTTTCAGGATTTGATGATGTCACTTTAATGGAGCCAGTGCTGTGCAACCGCCGGGGGGGGGGAACAAGAAAACAAGGGCACCCCATGCATCCCGACGTCGAAAGAAACTCTGCAGTAACCTTTGGGTAGATAGTCATTTCCGTGATACCAAGGCCGATCCCTTGCCTCAGTTAATCCCAGTAGTATAGAAAGTGGGCCTCAACCCTTCACTTCCTGAGTGGATTGGTCAGAAAAAGCAACCAAACTCGTTTACCACTAAAATGGTCAAAAAGAAAAAAAGGTGGCTAAGGTCCGAAACGGAACTCAGGGACTGAGAACCCATTTCCCTCAATGGCCGTCCTTGATCAGTTGCTTGCTGATCTCGCGCTGCCCTTTCTCCAGAAGCGCTCGCTTCTCTCGGCCGCCGCGTCGCGACACGCGCACCACCACCTCCTGTGCGTTCCCACACCTTCCCAAAATTCCTGAAATTGGACCTTCAAGTTGCTCGGCTTGCGTTTAGCCTCCCGTCAAACTGCGAACTCGCAAAACGAGCTGGAGTTCTCAGGCAGGATCTGTGCATTTGGGGTTTGATATGGGTGTGGGTCCCATTTAAACAGCTTGGGATTCGCAGGTTTTAGTCTGCCTTTCCATTTACCAGGGTTCCATTTTGGACCCCTATTCTTGAGCCACAGCCATATGTTCATCTGGGACTCTCTCTCCTTCCAGGCTCGTTCCATGATGGGCAGCGCAGCCTCCCGAGCCTCCAGCTTCACCTGCGAGTTGATAATATGATAAGTTCTGGCAAAAATCACCGGGTATCAAGCCCCATGGTGTGGTTGCAGGGTCCCTGAAGAGTTACGGAGTTGTGCGGAACTCTGAGCTGCTTCACTTTGTGCTTGGTGTTTTTTCATAAATTGCGACCAGCGTATTCGGCCCTATTCCAGGGTTCCGATGGATTTCTGAGTGACGTTGACTGGTTGGATTGGGTGTTTCTCGCGGGGATCCGCGGCGTTCACCGTTCAGAGCCGCAAGTGGAAGGATACCACCTGGGCTTCTTGGTTTCTTTTGTGCGATGGCAAGCCCAAGAACGGCAAAGAGAACCTTGGTAATGGGGCCCCGGCAACGGCGAAAAGGAAAACGAGTAAGGTGGAAAAGGCTAAGGAACCATCCCGAATCGACCCCTTTCTGCCTTTTGACATCCTTTTACCCAAAAAATGTGGTCGAAAAGGCAGAAGCAAAGGGTTTATTTGGGCCTCCCGGCAAAGATGCCAGCCAAAGTAACCTATTATATGGAAACGGTGAATATAACCTAAGGAAACTTGGAGGGACTTGGGGGGGACACGTAGAAATTTAAGGAACCTTTGTAAGGGTAAACCTAAGATAAACCCGCAGGATTCGCTCCTTAAAAGGGAAACCAACAGCCCCGTTTGGCTCCCATCCTTGGCGACGTGCTAAGCACTTGGAGGGAGGGGATGGTGGCCTTGCCTTAAAAGGGTTGGGCATTTTGGTGGATGGACAGGTTGGCTTTGGGGGCTGCGTGCTTGGCTGGGGGATTTGGAAGGCGGTTTCTGTGGCTGGAAACCGATCAGAACCACATCACCCTCCTGGCATAGTGCCGTGCCATAGTGCCGTGGGGTAACTCAAGACCTCACCAGGGCGCGCGCAGACTTGGAAAGTGCCAAGGCTTTGAAACACTCATCTGAGGCCAACAAATGCGGGGAAGACCGCATGACACGTCGTGGACTGGCCAAGCAAAAAGCCGTCCAAACGAAAATCCAAACTTTTCGTTTGCCACTAAAAAATGGTATTCCAAGAAAGCTTAAAGTCCATGAACTCAGGGAGTGAGGCGTGCATGGCATGAGACACGCACCGCAAACCTTTTTTTTGAGAATACCCATGACAGAGTGACAAGCATGACAAAAGCCCGAATAGAAGGCAATTCGAACCCAGGGTTGAGAAACCCCTGTCAGAGCAAAGGAATGTCTCAGATTAGAAAAGATCCCTTTTGTTGGAAGTTGACTCCTTCTCAATCCGCCAAGTTCTTGTTGACCCACCTGCTTTGGGGGCGCAGAACAAGAGGTCGACTACAAAGGAACAGGTGGGTTGGAAAAAGCTGTAAACCCCCTTCCCTTCTCCCGCACCTTCCTCTCCTCGATGTAAGCCTTCTCCTCCTGAACGTCTGTGGCTTGCTGCTCGGCCTCCTGCAAAGGGCGAGGCGAAAGCCCCACGTGAGTCATAATAAAAACCCGGTATTGAAATGGTCTACCCAGAACCATGTAAAGCATTACGAAGGCGGCCGGACCTTTGTGGTTGGGATTGTCCCTTACTAAGCTTCATCTACCGGGTTTTGATTGTGGCTCACATGGTTCTAATCGTGCCATGTTGCTGTCCAAAGCCCATTGACTTTGAAGATTCCGATTGAACCAGGTAAGCTCACGAAAATGGCAAATATGCGCTGCTCAGTTGGCAGTTGACCTCTAGTAAGTGAAACAGTTGAAACAAGAATGAACAAGGTGGCGCACAGGGGCTCCCTGGACACTCAAGATGAAAAATGCGTTGCACAGAGTTTATGTCCACCGATCATTTTTGAGAGACCCTATCACAAATCAAAGCCACAAATGGCACGATGGGATCAAGCCAAATGCACAAATTAATGTTCGAGGGAACAATGGAGCCCCAATATACATACGTCTATATATATATGTATATATTCTACATATATATATATACTAATATATTGTACATATTCTCCATAATATATATATATACATATATATATATGTACATATTCTCCATAATATATATATATATATATATTATTCTGGTGCAGGATTGTGTCCATCCACAGTATCCCCTTTTCCGCCGTAGAGCCTAAAATCAAAGCAGCCAGGCCCAAAGGACCCTGGAAAGGGCCCCCTGCCAAGTGGTCCAACTTGGTTTGATTGGATGTGGTACCTTCCGCTCTTCAAAAGCAACGGCTCTAAATCTTCAACCCGACCCAAACCGCCAATTCAGGGGCAACCTGCAGCCTCCGTCCAACACTCACGGAAGCTGACAGGACTTCGATTTTGACCTAAATCTCTGTTTTGGGGTCCTCCCCAAAACGTCCACGCCTCTTCTTGGATGGAGGGTCTTCCAAAACAAGGGCCCCCACGTCCTCCAGGGCGCGGCGGATCTGCGTCAAGTCGTTGCAGGTGCCCTCCGTGACGCGTGGTCATTGGTTTCATGAAAAATCAGACTCTGAATATAGGTGGTACCCAGCTATATTCATCATATTTTAAATCATCCGTTCCCCCTATTTATAAAATACAGGTCTCCCGTTTATTAAGGGGGGGGCGTCTCATTATTAGGGGGAGACCTTGATCTTCCAGGACCCTGGAAAGCAGGGTCCTCCGAACTTCCATTTGGCGCCAAGATCAAAATTTCTGGAAGGACCCTGGTTTTGTGGGTCCCAAGGGAAGACCCAGGTCATATTCTAAATATATTTTGAAGGTGGTACCCAGAATCGAACTGGTAGGGCTTTGGAGGGCGCTGAGGGAAATCCGACTGACGACTGGACGCTCTCTAGGTATTAAATCCAATTGGATGGGCCAAAACAAGTAACCGAAATGCGTGTTTACCACTAAAATGAGCAGACCCAAAAATTGACTGAAGTCTAGGAACTCGGGGGTTCTGGTGGTTTTGGCCAAAACATACCAAGTTGCTGGTCAGTATTCATGCCGATGGTTGCGAAATCCATCTTGCACGGTTCAGGAATCCAACTTCTGAAGGAGTCGATTCCTCAACGTAAATACCATTAAGCGTTGCGGTGTCAACCATGGCTTCAAAAGTGGTGCGAACGGATTTCGTCAATTGATCATCTTGGAAACCTAAAGTCGTCTTTCGTGACAAAGGTCGGTTTAGGGGAGGGGATGTGTATACATATTCTATATATATATACACATGACATTGTTGCCCAGGGTCCCGATTTTCGGGGATGAAGCAAAAAGAAGAAAGGTGAACCCCACCCGTTGGTGGGAATCTATGTTCAACAACAAATCCAAACTACGGGCCAAGCTTGGGACCCGCAGTCTCACTTCCTGAGTGGATTGGCCAAACAATTGTGAACTTTCTATTTACCACCAAAATGGGTGTTGGAAGACCCCAATGAAAGGACATTAAGGACTGGAAATTCTGGGACTGGAAAAGGCATCTGATCCAAATACCCACCGAACATGTACTAGAACGGGCTAAATAATCACACACACACATACACAATCCCTCTAAAATCAAGACTTAACTAATTTTCTTAAGTACCCCACCCCATTCTAAGCACAGCCCGGATGCCATAACCCCCAAGAAATCCACTTGCTCGTTTATATGTTCGGGTGCCCGCCTGTGTTACTCGGCGAGCACTGTGTTGCGAGTGCCAACCATGAGCAGATTTCCGCTGGGTATTGTTGCTTCACATGTACAATGTATACATCTACAAGAATCATGAAGCATGTCCAAGCATTGTGCATATGGGTGTGTATGTTTGCAGCGAACTCCCAAAAATGGCGGCCTTCCAAAGTTGGTTTCCCTTATTTCCCCTTGGTTTCCCTGATTTCACCACCCCAACAAGGTACCAACCAACCAAAAACACAGACCCATGGTATCAACTCAAAAAAAACAGCCAGGCCCAGGTTGGGTACCTTCCCAATTCCCTTTACAACCACCCCCAAAAAGGTACCCACTAAAAAAATGACACGCCCACTTTGGGTACCTTCCCATTTCCCTTTTTCACCCCCCCCCCCCAAAAAAAAAAGAGAGGTACCAACTCAAAAAACGACGGCATTTCCACTTTGTTTCACTACCCCAAACATTGGCACCAACTCAAAAAAAAGAAAGACAGAGACCCATGGAACGATTCCCTTTTTTCACCCCCCAAAAATAACACAAAAATAAAACAAACAATAAAAAAGCTACCAACTCAAAAACGAAGATGTACCTTCCCATTCCTTTTTCACCCCCAACAACTGGCACCAACTGGTACCAACTCAAACCAAAAAAGGGCACTCAACCCCAAAAAAAAAAAACGAAAGACAGAGACCCATGGCACCAAAAAGGGTCCTCCCCGCCTTGGACATGGACTGCAGCTGGCTCCTCAGCTTCTCCGCCTTCAGCAGCTCCGCCTCCCGCTGGTCCAGCGCCAGGTGCCGCGCCCGCGCCTCCTGAAGAATCGGTCGATGCGGCCAGCTGAGGCCAGGACTTTTGTCCTTGGACCCTCAAACGGGACGGAATGATGTACATATACATCCGGCGAGGGAGGCTTAGAGCACTAGGAAAAAAGAGATTTCACCCCAAAAGTTTGGTTCTTTGAGCCATGTTGGGGGGAAATGTCGAGGGTTCAGGTGTCCTTTTCTTTTGGTGGGTGAGGAATTCGCGTGTGCTTTGGAGGTCGAAAGCATAGTTCCAGGTTGCTTGACGAAAATAGATGGCCCGGGAATCGATGGTTCAGTCATGAGAAGAGTCCAAGTCTACCCTGCCACCTTTATTAACATGGAACCTGACAGGGGTCAGGTGCAAAGGAAAATTGGTCCGAACCCGGACCCCCCCGAACTCGTCCGGTTCCATGTTAATCGGTGGGAGGGTAGTCATAGGTGTCCTTTCAGGTGAGGTCGAAAATAGATGGCCCAGCAAAGAATGAGCCAAACATCAGGTAAGCCAGGGCCGTCCATTTTCCACACCATCCCAAAAGGACACCTACTACTTGTGTGGGTCCTGCAACTGGGGAAAGGGATGCGGGGCCACACCAAGCTCAGCAACAAAACACATGTCGCTGGAGCCTGACCAAATCTGCGTTGGGAAACCTCCCCCTGATATCATCTGTTTGGGCGCCGCTCAAGTGAGCGAAGAACAAAACACTGACCTATCGCCGTTTCGACTTCAGAGTTCCCGGGGTCCATGGTGCATCCCTGAAACAAGCCGGGGGAACTTGAGGACCCCCCCACACACAAAAAACGAAAAGGAACAGACAGTGCATATATGTGGGTGACCTTTACCTCAAAATGAACCGGGATGTCAACAGGCGTCTCAGTTTGTGTGAAATCTGCAGATTCTGCAACCAACAAAGGTGTACTATGAAAGGAATGTTCGTCAGTGGATGAAGAAGCATATGAGCAACTTGCAAAACCTCTTGAAAAGGAAAAGGACATGGGTGGCAGGTCTTGCTTTTTCCTTTTTTGTTGTTCTTGTTTTTGTTGTAACCTATCGTTTTACAGGGTGTTGTGCATTTTGCCACTTCACAAGAATAAGAAGTACACTTTGCCAGCTTGAAAGTCGCAACTTATCAGTACAAGTGTAGTAAAGGAAATACATTTTGGCGCGTTCTACTGCACATGTTGGTGTGTCATGTCCAGCCCTTTCCATATTGGTCTTCCAGAGGTTTTGCTGGGCGCTCATATGGAAACCCCATCAAACGAAGTGGCTAAATAAAAAAGTAAAACAATAACCCGTGCCACAGCCCAAACCCGGGAACCTCGTTTCGGGCTCGGACCCCAAGCCATACCGTAGGGTGCGAAGTCTCTGGCACAAAGAACACTTGACTCCGCTGCCCGGGTTTTGTCATCAGGCTCGGAACCCGAAAATACATGTACCTGGTTGACTGGGCTGATGAAAATGAAAACAGGCACTTCAAAGTCTTCAGAAGTCATGATCATAGGAGCACCCCCCCCATCAAAAGCGGCCAGGTTTCCCTTTGGTCTCGCTTCAGCAATTCAACAACGGAAATTCCTGAGCCTGAGCCTGAAGAAGCCAACCGGAAGCCACCTACCGGATCCAGGCTCAATGCATTCACCCATAGATGAACCCTTGGTATGAACCTCTGGTGTACTGCGCACTTCAGACACCCTGAATTAGAGCTGATATGCCTTTGGGAAACCAGGTAAAGAGGTCCAACAAGCCTGGGTTCACATGATGTAAACAAGCAATCTTCGATTGGAGGCCAGGGTCTCGCTCAGGACACAGCCAACAACACCCAATGATTTGCAAGGTCCTCTACATCATCTGGGGGTCTCAAAGTTGGGGGAAACCAAAAGGAAACCACCTACCTGGAGGAGTCCTAATTTTGAGAAACACCCATCTCTTGGTCCGCGCAACACAGTCACTAGATAGCAAGTCACCTGGTTTGGGTGTGTCTCTTTTCGAGGGTACCCCTTTTTGCACATGTTCAATGGAAACCAAAAAGGACCCCGCCACCACCATTTTCGCAGGGTACCCCTAAAAAAACGACGAGCCGCCTGAACCCTCAAACTACCCATCAAAATGGGCGTTGTAGCACCCCAACAAAATGTACGGTGGGCGGTGTCCCAATTTTCCAAGGGTACCTGGAGTCTCCATGACCCTTTAAAAATGGGTCCATGACTCCATTCTTTTGGGTAATGACCTGATTTTTTAAGGGTCAGAAGGAGACTCCAGGTACCCTTGGAAAATTGGGACACCGCCCACCATGCCATTTTTGGGGTGCCAATAATACTCCCATTTTTAATGAGAAATTAGTCCGAGGGTCCAGGCACCCACTTCCAAATTCCGAAGTCCACCGCGACTTCTCCTGCAAGGCCCGCTGCTCGGCGTCCGCCACCTGCGCCTGCGCCGACTTCAGCGCGCTCACCCGGACCTGCGTCGCGCGTGAAAGAAGGGCAACCAGTGACCGGGGCCTGGGTGAGTCCCAGAACTTCCGATGTGATGGTTGGCTCATCGATTTTTGAGTTGGCATGGTGTTTTTGTGGTTTACAGTGAAACCAACAAAAAACCGCAATTGACTTTGCCCCAAGCCCCGAAACGACACAAACCGGCAAACTCCCCTCAAAAACTCCCGCCACCCCACCACCCCACCACCCCACCACCCCACCACCCCACCACCCCACCACCCCACCACCCCACCACCCCACCACCCCACCACCCCACCACCCCACCACCCCACCACCCCACCAGGCCGTCTCACTCTGCTCGCGGAGGCGGTTGAGGCGACCCTGGGCATCCGAGGCCACCAGTGAGGCCTCCTGCACGCTGCAAGCCCGGCGGTCCAAGAATCGGCCCAGCGAGGCCTGCGCCTGAGATCGATCTCCCCCCGTCTCATCGAAGGGGCGAAGGCGGCCCAGGGGAAGGGGGTGGGAAGGCCATGGATGCTTCGGGTCTATTTTGATCTTCTTCCAATTCCCTCAAGGAGGAGGTTGCAAGATAGACCCCAAGTGTCCATCATACGGGGGGCGGGGGGCGTAAGAAGCTTATGTGTTGTCTTGGGGGTTTCCCATTGGGAATCACGGATGTCTTGGAACCTTTGGTTGATACAAAAGGAGCTGAGGGGGCCGAAAGACGCTTAAAGAGACCCCTTCTCCAAGTTGGCGGTATGCCAAGTCCAGAGGTCTTTTTCATGGGAACGCCGGATCCCCTGGTTGTTTAAAAGGGGGTGGCGCTCTTAGCGAGGGTTTATATTACTGTGCTTTTGGAGGAAACACCCCCGTGTTAGCAGGATCAATCCGGGGTCGACATCAACTGCGTTCGGACTTTGGAAAGCTTGGTATTTCAAAGAGACACCTTCAAATGTTCAAAACACCATCAGGAATCAAATGTTGTAGCTTTTGTTTGTTTGTTTTTATTTTCTCTCGAAAACAATTGTTGAAAAGAATGGGGAGTCAACCCCCAGACGCGTTGCTCCTCTGAAAATCCATGCGAAACCAGGCAACAGCAAACTCTTGTAGGCCAGGTAGATTTGGCAAACAAGTTTCCAAATCCGCGCCGATCGGCACGAATCGGCACCAGGGATGGATGCCACCCGATTTAAATGGAACAAGCTACCTGGTACACAATTTGGTCCGTCCAAATTATGGATTGTAACTGGAAGCACTCAGTTTACAAGTGGATCCCAGTTGTCAGTTTTGGACTGTTTGGTTTCTGACGGGTGGTTGCCTTGCTTAACAGGTAAACGGAATCATTGGGCCAATGAAAGGAATCTACAGGGAAGAGTTAAGGATGCTTGCAAGGTATTGGGAGGAAACCAGGGATACCGGAGGGTTGGAATCCTATGGCCTTTCGTCGTGGTTCTACTCGGGTCTCCCAAAGTTAACAATGTCCACTCCAAGTTTGAACAACTGGTGTTACAAGTTGGGGCATGGGAGTGTCCATTAACTACCATCAGCCCATCCCATTTTCCTGTCATGAATACAAGTTCCCCCTGGGCGAATCCACCCTGAATCTCGTGGACGGATGTTTGAGCAGGGTAGAAAGTCAGCGCTTTCAAGAGATGCAGGAAAAGCTTGGGTTGGAATCCCCAATGAACCCATGCGAAATGAGATTTCTCAGAAACACACACATTTTGACTATTAGACTGATTCAATCTGCACGTTCCCGAGGAAGTTGCGCAGTGGTGGGACACCAAAAACCCACAAAAACAGCTTGACCAATCCCAGAGGTTTCATGTAAATAATTCCGCACGGGTTCCCAAACTCACCACACATGTGGGCAAATATCACATGATTCCTCCCGAAATGATCCCCAGCAAACCTCATCCCCCAGTCCAAAAATAAGAAGTTTGAGTCTAGTCCATAGCGAACCACATGCATAGATTCAAACGAGACCCCTTCCCCAAAACGAGTCACAACAAAACCTGGTGGGTTTTTTTCCTGGACCGTGTCATGAATCAGATATAGAACTTCCGCAGTGCGCCTGCGATACTTGCCTCAGGCAATCCAGGCGTCGCTGTAGCACTTGCTCCGCCTGGCTCCGGTTCAAGTTTCGGCTCGAAACAGGGGATGGGGACCAATCTGAGGGTGTGTGTGTGTGTGTTGACGTATTTATGGGTTTATGCGTTTGTGCGTCTCTGTGTGCGTGCTTGCGTGTTTGTTTGTGTGTGTTTCTCTCTTTGTGTGTTGTGTGTTGTGTTTGTGTTTCTGTGTCGGTGTGTGTCTTTGCACGTTCGGGTTGTGTGTCTTGCGCGTCTTGTGTGTGTGCGTGTTTGCGGGTTTGTGTGTGTATTTATTTTGAGACTGGTGGTTTTAAAGGCAAAGCGACATGACATACACGGTTCGTTGGGTCCAAGTCCCCATTTTGACACCCAACCCAGAAGTTTCAACGTGGCTTGAGCTTGGTCGCAAGCGATCCGAACCCCCGGATTTTCTTCCAACAACTGAAAGCAGGAAGCAAACGAAGCCAATGGCAGAGGGTTCCTTTTGGCTTCACTTGAAACCTTAAGACATAGGGTCCATAGCGTTGGCTGGCCAAAGATATCGTGGATTGGGATCCACTGGGTCAAGCAAACAAATAAGCCGAAACTGTTGTCTACCGATGCCAAACCGGCACTGGCGGTCCCTCGGTGCAATCCCCTGCCCAGTTCCATCTCAAGGGATCTCCGTGCCAGGGTCTTTTGTAGCTTTCCCTCCCTTAGAAAACAACAACAAAAAAAACAGGTGGCATCCCCAACAAGCCCCGGAACCGCTTGAAAGCTGCCCACAAACCACCCCAAAGCCGATCTAGGCAGAGACCAAATCCATAGCTTTCAGCTGTTGGGGAAACACCACCCAAAGAGTGCTTCCCGAAAAATGGTGCTGTTCCCCGAAATAGAAACCAGACCTAAGAAAAATCCCAGCCCTTAAGAAAACAACAAAACCATCCCTCTCCCCTCCCCTCCCCTCCCCTCCCCTCCCCTCCCCATCCCCCCCCCCTCCAAAAACAGAAAACAAGCAAGAACAAATCACACCTGACCTCAAAACCAACCCCCCCAGCGTCCGTAGCATGCCACAGCGCCCGGCCCGGCAGCCACCGCCCGTTCCGCCTTGCGCTGGCGCTGGGCGCAGAGCTGGGCCTCCAGTGCTGCCAGGCTCACCTGGCGCCGGGGCCCCAGCTGCTCCCCCAGACCTGAGCCGAGGTGCCGGCGCGCCAACACGCGCGACCGGAGGCTTCGTTCCCGTGACTCTGTCAGTAAGAAACTTGGCCTTGGTATCACCGAAACTGTGTCGAAATCAAGACCCATTGTTGAAAATGGTCTACCAGCCAGAATCATGCAAAGAATTCAAGAGGCGGCACCCATGAAAGAGGCTGGGACTGTCCCTTACTAACCTTTATCTTTCATTATTTCACTCATTATTTCATTCTTTCTTTGTTTCTGGATCTCACTTCCTGAGTAGATGGCCCAAAAACGTCCGAACTCTGCGTTGACCACTAAAATGGTCTTCCCACAAACAGTCCAGGAACTCAGGACCTCCGGAACTCAGAAACAGAGGGCTTCTGGGTCGATTCCGAACGGAAAACCTTCTAAGTGGCTCTCAACTCGCTCAGCCAACCCAAAACCCAAAACGCAGCTTGCTTTCTGCTCCCTGCTCAAAGTTTAACTTTTAGTGGTTTAATGGAAAACTCATTAGTTGGCAAAATGTTCAAGTCCTAACATCCAACCAGGGCGCAGTCCATCAGCTCCGTGACGCCTTGCGCCAGCCGCTGCTCCCGCTCAATCGCCGCCATGGCGGAGCGAGCCCAAATGGGCGCCCAGGAGTGAGCTCACAGACTTATCCCTGAAAGGGACTTTTTTTGTAAGAAAAGGGTGATCACCTTTTGGGACCTCTAAAGCTGGTTGCCAACATGAGAAAACCAAAGGTTAAAAGTCAGTTGTTTTTCCAAATCGACGTGGTGGGTTGATCGATTTATGTCCGAGGGGTCTGACCAATGCTTCGCCCCGAATGGCTCTTGCCGGTACCCTCAGGCGGTTGGATCTTCAGTCGGTGTTGTTCGCTTGGCCTCTGTGACGGTTGCATCCCTCATGCTGTATCAATATTTTGCATTGCCAGTTCCATTGTCGGCAATTCGATTCCCACTCTCAATGCTTGAAATCGCCTGCTCTGTGCTCCATGTTTTCGATGTGAACAAAGCTGAAGCAAGGTCACATACCCCTTGTTCCTTTTTCTTGCTATGGAAGTGGAAAGGAAGTCTTAAGATGGTTGTCCATATCATGTCAGCTTACATGATTGACGGAAGGATAATGCACCTAGCTAATCTACAGATCCAAATGGACGTTCGTCAGGACGCCTCCTCTGAGACCTTTTGAGCCGAACCCCGAATGGTGAAACTGTGAAACGCTTTGCCCAGTTCCAGCTACTGTATAGCGACTACGGGAAACCCCGTCTTCAAGGAAGCCGTTAGTTTTTAACTGCCCCAGAATGTTTTTTGGGGTCCCCTTAAAAAGACACATCGATTCACCTCCGGAGCCTCGGAGGTGAATACGTTCACATCTTCCTTGAGCACTCCGTCGACCGCGGCTTTGTGCAAAGGCACAAATGTGTTTCGCCGGTGCCAGCCGCGTCTGTTGGCAGTATCAAGCATGCCCAGTGCATTGTTGGAAATGCGGAAACGGCTTCTGCATTGTGACAGTGTGACATGGGGTGGCTTCTTTGCAATGCTGGGACACACAAGAGTTGGATGGGCTACTTCATTTTAGGAGTTGATTCCCCATTTTTGCCAACCTGGGTTTCTGGAGGTTTTCTAAAACGAAAGATCCCTGGAAAGACTGGGGAAGGTACCCCTAGATTCACGCCTTTTCACCAAGAAGCCGAGGAGCTCCCCATTTTTGGCACAAAGCCTCTGGCCCAGTGGCTCTGACGTCCAGTGACCAAACGTCCAGCGGTCAGCCCCCTTGTGTCTCAAAGCTCGGGGCCCCAGACGGAAAATTTGAGGGCTTTCTAAAAGCCAAGCTGAAAAGGGTCTCCTGGGCTCACAGAACGTGGCAAAACACCTCCCACTGATTCTGCCTGTCTAGTAGCCAAAGGGTGGGCTCCCAGAACGTGAAAACAAACACCTCCCGCGGATTCTGCTTGTGTAGACAAGGGAACAATCCCTCAAACACCAAAAGGAAAATCACAAGATACTCGTAATGAGTAACAATCATATAGCATTCTCGCAGTCAGCACATTGTTGGAAGTGACCAGCAGATGGGCGGGGCATCCACATTTGGGGGATTTGTCTCACTCATTGTTGCTCAGCAAAGTGAAACGACGGGAAACCATGTAAAACCTGGAAGTCAACAAACAAAGTGGCCATCTATTCTAGTTCAGCTTCTCCCTGATTGGTGTTGAAGGGATACCAATTAAAGTTGACCCCGGATGACTTGGAGGGGGTTTAACCGCCCCAGGGGATTTTTTCTGGCTCCCAAAATTGCAGTTTGCCTTTGGCTTCCCTTTAAAACCCACCCCAAAGAGCGTATCAACGCCGGGGAAAAAGACCCCCAAATTCCTCCGGGGTTTCAAAGGGTGCTACCCGTTGAGCCCGCAAATCCAGGTCCGCCCGCGCCTTTCAACTCCCCGGTGCCGAACCTCGCGACATTCGCACGCCGAAATCCCGCAAACATAACCCGGCCGCTGTGTCAACGGCTTCGTTTTCGCCCGGGAATTGCGTGGCTGGGCCAAAAACAGCCCAAACTTCTTGTGAACCACTAACACGGTCTAAGCCAAAAAGCTTAAAGTCCTGGAGGAAGTGAGATTCGCCAAGCAACCTCAGGGCTCAACTCGAATAAAAGAAAGCTAAGCGACTGCGCTTTTCGAGGGAAACACGGCGAACTCTGAGCGACGACAAACGTCGGGAACCGGACTGCAAAGTGAGAACTGCGAATGACACGCCAATCTTTTCCTACTGACCTAGGCATTTGTCTCGCGTCAAAAAAGAGTTTGTTCCTTTTGGTTTCCTTTTGTCACCACCCAAACAAGGTAGGCTCAACGAAACAGCACCCAACCATGCAAGCCATGTTTTGCCAGACGGGCAAACCACCATGGAATTGCAAAGGGGGCAAAGCACAAAGCCTTCTAAAATCGCTGGTGGAAATACGGAAATGGGACCATTTGGGTTTTCCCTTTACAATGGGAACAAAGTGTCATCCGAGGCGGCTTGATAAAATCGACTGCGGTAGCTAAATGATACGGAAGTGACCTCGGAGGAATCCGGCATCCAATGTTTGGAACGGTCTGTACCATCCGTACCACATAGGATTCCAACGGGTCCTGTGTTTCCTGTTTCAATCCTGAAAGCTATCCGCTACCGGGAAGCAAGCCCAGGGAGCCTCTGAGTGGCAGGCATAATGTCGATGTCATGAGACCTTTCTCCCTGGTACTCCTCCTGCGGCGCAGAATCGTTTCGGGAGCCCAAGTTTTCGGAAGCCACCGGTCCGTCCCTTTTGGGCGTATGAAGGTCCCAGAGTCACGTTTTCAATGGAAAGAGAGACGCAAAGCAATGCCAGGGGTGTGAAATAGAGAGTCCTCACCCATTCCCTTCTCGTTTTTCTATCTGGTAGAATACTCGCCAGCACATTTTGCACGCGAAACCCAGGCAACCGTCCATAGAGGAAACTCCTTCTGGGAACAGGGGGCCATGTTGGGGTTCCTTCAATACAGTTGCAGGGAAGTATCCGAACCGTTTCCGGTGGACCCTTTTTTGCAGGCGGCTGGAAGGAAACAGCAGTGGCCGTACCAACGCAATCACTTCGTTGGGGAAGCACTACCTAAAAAGAGTTCCTAATACAAAAGATGGCAGATTCATTGCCTCCGTATTCCCAGCCTACACTGGTTCCTTCAGCAGCTGTGGCGCCTCGATGCGTGTTGGGTAGACTCGCCCTATATCTTCTTCTCTGGGCACGTTGGGTTCCGATCATTGAAGTGGTCCACCCCAAAATCCTGTGCAAAACAAAGAGGGCAAACACTTGTTACGTTGGTGAGGCTCATGGGCCAAAGCAACGGTTGTGGCCGCAATGCTCTTTAAGGCCGCCTATGAAAAACGCTGCCGGAAAGCAAAGACACCGCATCTTCTGATTTACGGAGATCCCGATTGCCGCCGGAGCACGTAAAAAGGTGGGTGCCTTTTTGAGTCTGCGGCTGAAATTTTGGCCGGAAGGAGTTGCCAGGTATATCCGAAAGGAACTATGCCTTACCATCCGGCATCTTCCCATTTTTGTTGTTGTTGTTGTTGCTCGATGGGCAAGACTCTGAGTCTTGGTCCTGGATTCCATGATAGGAACCCCAGGACATGTATGTCTATGACCCTACCAACCCAAGCGGAAGGGTCTTTTGACCACGGCACATTTGGGAGTCTGTCCATCTCGAGTCAGAATGGGTTGCTTCCCTGATTTCCGGCAAAACTACCCCGAAAAGGGTGTCTTTCAAGCAAAGAAATAATTTTCAAAGCGGAGTGTCGGCCAATCCGATTTCCCAGAATCCCTGCAGGGAAACAACTGCAAAGGGGACCTTTCGTAAACCAAGGTAAGGACTGAGGATTACCTTAAGCTTACTCCATTTGCTAAATAAAGGACACGCCCCAGCCAGGACCCCCCAATGGCTGGCAAATGGTCTGTGGAATGACCTCCCAATGGCTGTTTTGGGGATACTTGCCAGCCGTTGGGGGTATGCCGTTTCCGGCAAAGACAAGGGCGGCTCCGAGGTCATAGAGCGCTCGGGATCGTAGAAGCCCCGGGACCGCTCGTCACAGGGCGACGCCTCCAAAAAGGCGCGGTTCGGTCGAAACCGGCCAAAGGCGGGACCCGGGGCAAGGGAAAAACCAAGGCCACGATTGGACTCGCAACACATTTTGCCGGGTTTGAGCTGGGTTTGAGCGACGCCTCTCACTACCCAGAGTTTGGGGAACCGGCCGCTGGAATCGGAGTGAGGAAAAGGCAGAGATCAGAGTTTGAGCAGTTTGCCAAAAACCCAAGAGTTGACATGTGGAGCGAAGTCAGAGGAATCCGTTCAGTGTTCTTCCCAGGTGGCTCAGGGGAACCCTGGTTGGGGTTTGATAATGTTTTATGTTTTGAATCTTACACCCGTCACCGCGGGGAAAGCTTCCGAAAAAGTTGCAACTGGCGAAAGGGACCGATAGAACACTGGGTCTTCCATATTTGAGGGAGCTTGAGGTGGTAGATTGCTGGGTGCTAGCTGGGGTGGGTCTTTGGAAAATAAGCAATAAAATGTGAATACTTGTTTGTTCTCTTTTTTATCATGATCCAGAAGTAGCAGCTCAGCACCCCCTTCACGTGGCTCCAAACAGTCGCATCAATCGCAGTTGAACGCGGCTCGGGGACTCTGCCTAATCTGGTCAGGACGTTGTTTGGATCTAGGGTGGGGGGATAAGGTGGTTTGAGGGTAGCTAACGGCAGGGTTTACGCCAGGATGCAGAGGGTTCATGTAGGGTGTTCGGTGGGTGCGTATAGGATGGGTTTGGGGTCGGTTGGGGTGCACGTCTGGGGTGAGGGCGGGCTTGGGTTGTTTCTGCTCTATTTCAGGCCATGTGGGTTGAGTTGGCTCAGGGGCCGTGGGCTTTGCGCCGCTCTTCCGTACTCCTTTTCTTCAGGCGCCAGTTTTCATGGCGGCCACTTGAGGTTCGCAAGCCAACATGAGGTTGTGTGTTCCATGAGCGACCGTCGTCTACGACAAGAGAAAAGGTACTCTTTTTACTGGTTTAGGATATAAAAGACGCTTGTCAATGTTTTGCACAGTTGCGAACTCATGACAAAGCTGGGATGGGTTCGCTGCGGAAGTGAGAAAACCAACCACTCCCCGATGGTACCAAAAGGATAAAATCAGCACGGCCGGCAGGTCCACTACAAGTGACATCCTCCAAATGACATGATCATATCATGGTTTCTCGGTTTCCCCTGGTATACTGCTTGCTTGTCTGACCTCTATGACTTCCATGTCGTTTTCCCTGGGCAAGCAAATTGGTTCCTTCCACTCAGTCGCGTCGCTCCGCCTGGCACAGCACGGAGGCTATCCAAAGGTTGGTGCTGCCGGTGTCAAAGACCACCCGAGCCTGGCGCGCCCTGCGGTCGATTTCCCGTCCTCGTCTCAAAAAAAAAACAACGAAACATGGTCTCACGCGTCTGAAACATCATCAAGTGATTCAACGTGTTTGATATTCGCTTACTGGCAAGCATCTAACAATGGCGTCTCTAGAATAGGGAGACCCCAACATGGTTCGCAACCATGCTTTCCTGTCACACCCCTAAGGGTGCCCTCAAAAGGATAAGTGAACCTCGTGGCTTTGTTGCAATGAGCCAGCGATCAAATGGGGAGGCCATTCAGAAAAGTTGTCCCATATGCATTCCCCCTAAGAGAAACCAATCCTCCAGGGAATACAACAATAATTCTATGCCAGTACTGAACAGTACTTAGTGAGAGACTGCTTGAGTTGGCCCGACTCTGACTCCCAATTTGTTTTTGTTGTCGACCCCCCGTCCAATTTGTGTGGGGACGGGCTTCACTAATCACGCCCACAAGTTACGCTGAAATTATGTTTCAAATTTAGTCTACCCTGAAACATATTGTTGGAGGAGAAATGGTTCTTCAAAATGTCGGACCCCTTGCGGTTTCCGTCTGGTTTTCATTTCAAACCATTTCAAAGGTAGCTTTCTCTGTTTCAATCATACCTGCTTTCGCCGTGGAACAACACATCGGTTGGAATGGGACACCGGATTGCAGTCGTCCAGACCTTGAATGTGGTTGCCTCTTTGGTAGAATTTAGCAGTTTGATTTCTCGACTAAAGATCGACACACTGAGCCCTCCTGTCCACTATGGGCCCCCGGAGGCCCGTAGTCGCAGCTGGCCTCCTTCAACTGATCCGCATCCCCCCGTCCAAAACTGTTTGCGAGATTCCAGTTTCAGATCAAAAGAAATGAAACAAGGGCCACCCACGAAGACTTGGTAAACTCTACTAGTCACGGGTTCCCCCCTCCCCCCTGGAAGACCACTCCCCAAGCATCAAAGTCAACCAAACGAAACTTGCAGGTGTTTCTCAAAATAGGAGTGGCCTAAAAAGGTTGGTTTCCCTCTGGTTTTCCCTTGCAATACGAGCCCAACACCAAAGGGGGGTCCGCCATTTTGAGAAGTTCCACATGATGTCCTTGGTCTTAGCATGTGTCGAAACAAAACGCCAAAATGTTGGTGTCCTGTTAAAACCACTCAAAATACCAAACCTCAAGCAAAATCAGCCAACTTGCGGGCCTGGAACTGGGGCTCGCCCGCGGCGTTGGTCCCAACCTCTTGACAGGGAAGCTGCTGCACTGTGGCCCGACTCCCGAAACATGCGGGGCCCATGATGTAATAACGAGGGAATTTGATTCAAACATCCTCCCGGAATAATACCAAGCTTCACAAACGTGATTAACAAGTCGTCCTGGAATAATGACTTGTGACTTGTGTCCACCCTGATCCTGGAAAACTCGAATGTTTAAGCTACCCACTACTGTTTTTTGTCAGGCCTCAAGTGACACCCAGCCCGAGGGAGAAATAACCAGCGCGTGCGCAAGAGCTTGAAACTTGAATGCGGCTATAAGTTGCCCAATGCCGCTATTAGTTTAAATTTGCCTACATGATTGTTTCAAAGAATTTGGACATTGATTGTTCCAGGTGTGCCTCCACAGCATTGCTTCTGGATTGGCCAAACCCCCGCAATAATAGAGATCGGCCCGCCATGGGGCCTGCGTGAAATCAGCCTTTGACACCTTAATGGATAGATGCAGTTGGCGGGGGCCTGTGTTTTGCACCACGCCGTTTTTGAACCGTTGCGGCTGACACGTCTACAGCCAAACTGTGATAGGCCGCTCAAAGAGACCATGCTCACTGATAATGCAACAGCGATGAGAACACCAGCTTGGGCGCAAATAGACATTGGGTTCTGTCAATGCATGTGCTCATGGGTAAAACTACCAAGCCAGTGGTTCACTCGGAGGATGAAGGCCTTTGGCGAGTTTGCAGTTGTCTTCGCTGTGAGCTTGTGTCTTTCTGGACATACTTGTTGAAGTACCCCGTGTTCTTGCATGCCGCCGCCTGGTTGTGAAGCTTCGCGAAATACGAGACCTTATTTTAGGTGCGGTGCTTGGGCGTTGCCTCGTTGAGTAGCCTCTTGCAGACGCGGAACCATGCAAAGACTTGCTCCGTGGCTAAACTCGCCAAGCGAGGTGTGGGGTGCGGGTTGCAGCAGAATGTCTTCTTGCGGCCCTGCGCGTGGGGGAACTTGTCTGTCGAGCTCTGTTTGAAGGCAGGGTTGGGGGTTCAGCGCGCAGTTGCAACCGAGGGCAAAGCAGTTTGCTTGCGATGGATATTTATTGAGTATCGCAGGCTCGGCGACCTGGTTGCCGCTTGCAGGACACACAGTCATGAACGTCGCAGGCGACATCTCCCAGTGACGGTGGATCTGCGGCAACGTTTTTGTTTTCGCTGAAAGCCAAGCAATATACCATGTTCTTCTCCTGAAGAAGTACGCGTCGCCTATGAAAAGCGCACCTGGCCCACGTTTTGCTATCTCTTGCTTTTTCTTGGAATACAAAAAGTTGAGAAGGCCAACGGTGCACAGACAGGCAGACGTTCCTTTTCACCTTCTGACACTTTCCTCTCCACATTTCTCCTGTCCCTCTCCCGCAGCAAGTCCTTCTCCTTCCTCTCCGCGCCCTGCCGCTGCGGCCGCGTTGGCCTGGTCCCTACTGCATGTTGCTCCGCCAGTCATGGCCTCCATCTCCGCCATCACCGCACGTCGCGTTTTCTTGCGGACCTGCCTCGCGAACTTGGAAAAGTCATTCTTGGGGCTGCTTTTGACGTAGCGGCTGCGCTCCTGCACGGATGTCTCGCCTCCCGTCCGTCGTGTGCCTCTGGCAATCAAAACCCTTTGCATAGTCTTCGGCAAAACGCCCCCGACGCCCCCAGCACTGAAGAGAAGAAGGGGGGTCCAGAGATAATCCCCGGCGCTACCCTCGCCTCGCCGGTAAACAGCGCAAGGCAGCTTGAGCTACTTGCAAGGGTAAGTGAACTTTCTTCACAAACCGAAAGCCTCCCCAAAAAAGTGACTCACGGGTGTCACTATGTGCCTGCCTTCGTCCAGTTTGGCTGCCACGAGTCTTTGGCGTCCTCTGCGACGCTTTCCGGCTCCTGCCCAGAAGCTACTGGAGAAGGGGGTCCCGGCAACAAGTGCAAGGTGAACCGCGGGCTCTGGTAGTGTTTCGGGGTAAGCGGGATTGGCCATGAAGACCGTTTCCTGGTCAAGGCACCTTCTGCGCTCAAGTTCTTCAAGCCCCGCCACTAAGGACCGCGACCATCCGTTCAAAGCAGAGCATTTCCTCCGGAGCACCTGGGTCATCCAACAGAGCTGCTGCATCTCTGATGAGCTGTTGCGGGCCGTGCGTCATGATGCAGACAAAACCGGCATCCGCGTTGTTCCTCAAATGTGCTGACCCATGTTTGTGAAGCAGCGCTGGCGGGTCTTGTGTCACTCTTGCTTTCACGCAGCGCCGTAGTTATTGCGCCAGAGCTGGTTGACCTTGTGCTTGAACATTATACAGGACCCATCCACGCCCGTCATGACCACCTGCACGGTCAACTCCTTGTTAACCTTCTGCCTCAGGCCGAAGGGAGCGGCGGGAGCTGCACATCATCGTTTTGGATGGCACATTTGTAGGCCCGCTCCAAGTTCTCGGGGTTCATGAGATCCCGAAGTTGGCAGATCACAGAATCAAAGAAGTGGATCCTCGGGTTCTCCGCGCCAGTCAACTCTTGAGCAAGGAAGTTCTGCCTGTGGCAAGGTGGTAGCAGAGTTGGCATTGCGACAAGCCATGCCACAAGTCCATTAACTCAACGAAGGTCACATTCTCTGCCTCGATGGCCATCTCGGAGCAGAGAGGGACGGCGGAGAGGGTCCCGGCTTGCTTTACTAGTCAGAAAGTGGAGCGCAGATGCAGGAATGCAAAACCTCGAAAGAACCCAAATAACCAACGAACAAACAACACAAACTCCAGTGCTGGTCACTTCCCCGAGAAGAAGAAGTTATTTTTGATTTTTCCCCAACAGCTGAAAGCTAAGGGTCTCAGGTGGTCTCAGCCCAGATCAGGTTTGAGGGGAGGCTCGGGGGAGCTCTGGAGTCAGGTTCGAGCAAGGTTCCGAGGATTACGGTATGGTTCCGGGGATGGTTCTGCGAGGGTTCCAGCTTGTGTTCTTGCCGCAGTTGGGGATATCACCTGAGCTTATTCCCAACAACTGAATGAAAGCTTTGGGGTCTTTGCCCATGAGAAGGGTATGCATGGGGCGGTTCCAAGAAGGGTTTCGGGTATGCACGGGGTAGTTCCAAGACGTGGATTCTAAAAATCAAGGGTCCTGGCGGGGCCCCTCCTGGGCTGGGACCATCTAGAATTCTAAAAAAAAAAAAAACTAAAAATTCTAAAATTCGAACCCCCGAAATTTCGAACGTTTAGACTTTTTAGAATTCAATTCTAAAAAATCTAAAACACTACAAATTAAGTCCTGGTTCTCAAAAGGCAACATACAGCGTTCACATTATACATAAAGTTCCCTCGTACCCCCCCCCCCCACCCACAATAACTAAATAACCAGAATCCGATAATGTTTCATCTGATGTTCTCCTGAGGCACAATGTTTTTGGGTGGAGCTCCATGTAAAATACGGGTTTGCTACGGGTTCGCTGCAGGAAGCTCACTTCTTTTCTCAACAAAGTTGATCCAAAACCCTCAAAACCCTCGACCACTGAAGCCGATTGGAGTGAGAACAGCGGGCTGTTGGGAATCGAGAGATGCCCTTCCCCATCCTCTGGCAGCACATGAGTGTGGGTCAAAAATAAACCCACCAGACCGCAGGTTGTAGTCCTTGGTTCCCTTTGGGCAAGCCACTTTGAGTACCTCTTTTCGACCCACAGACACATAAGAACACCAGGTGCCTATTCCGGCGCAAGCGGAATATGCTGCATGCGCCACTGAGGGCAAGGGGATGCTCCGAAGACCATTTAGAGGCATTCTTCTCAAAATATTATGTTTCTTCAGAAAACACTGTGTTTTCAGCATACCCTCGGCAAAACACCGCGGTTTGCAAAGGTATGACACATTTACCCCGATCACAAATTCCGAAGATTAAGGCGGCTCAGGCTGGGCATGCAACTCTTCGGGTGCAAAACAGCCGCAAGTGTTCCTGATTTGGGAACTGGGCTTTGGGGGTCTGAAGCCCGAATCTCGGTCGTTCGGCCTGAGCAACGCAAATATTTAGTGCCAGTTGTCTTACCACGGACTTAGCTTGGAAGATGAATCTGAGATGTAGCTGACCTCAGTCCACACAAAAGTACAAGCACCCTGTGTTACTTCTCTGCTTTACGTAGGTCCTATGCCGAAACTTGCCCTACATGAAAAGGACAGCTCGGTTGAGTCAGGCTCTTCTTGTCAATGTCCGATCCTGGGAACCCTAAACTGGTTCTAACCAGTTCCAGCTTGAACCAAAGGACGAGACATATAGCATCCGATTTCGAGTCCCATTCAAACCCAAGTGTGTGGCTCCGGGCAAGTGTGACATCAACCAATTCTAAGGAGGCAAAACAAATGTTTTGAGTTTCACTATAGAGGGGAGCGCTAGGAATTTCCCGAAGCAGCTGAAAAAAGGTGAAAGGCAGGGGTAAAGAGAACTCCACACCATTAACCTGAGTTTGCTCAAGTCCCGCTGAAAATTTATATAAAGTTATAAGTCCAGTAGTGATAGATTCCCTTTGAAACCAACAGGGGGACAGACCAATAGCAAATGGAAGTAATCATTCACCAGCCCCAAGTTGTTGGGTCCGTACGGAAGAAGCAAATTGGTTCTGCAAACACAACGCAAGTATGTTCTTTTGGAAAAGTAGATGGGTGAATGGAAACGTCTATTTGTTCAAACTAATCTAAAAAGGGCCCCTATGGTGTTGCGTGTTTCGCTCAAAGAAGGCCCCTGGCTCCCAATGCAAACGCCTGCAAGCCATGCTCGGATGTATCTAAGCCAGGCGGTTCCGCACAGCAAAGCTAAGTACAATCTCGTCAATGTGTGCTCAATGTACTTTCATACACTTAAATAAGAGTTCAGCCTTCGTACTGCACGGAAAATTCCATTGCATCTAAGCTGATGGCCCCTATGAGGCCCGTGTACTCGGACGACATGTCCTAGCACTCACAAGCTGGAATCATTCGGATCCCTGTGAAGGGAATAAGCCGAAACCCTTCGTAAGGTCGCAATGTGCCCACATGCAATTTATGCCAAGCCTGATCTGGGTATGGGTCAAAAATAGACAACCAGAGGACCGCAGGTTTAAGTCCATGTTGCCATTTACCAGGGTTCCATTTTGGGTACCTATTGTAAACTCACAGCCATCTCTGAATGCGGCTCATCGCATGTCAGGAGTGGTTGATTGATTGGTTGGTTGGTTGGTTGGTTGGTTGGTTGGTTGGTTGGTTGGTTGGTTGGTTGGTTGGTTGGTGGGTGGGTGGGTGGGTGGGTGGGTTGGTGGGTTGGTGGGTTGCTTGGTTGCTTTGTTGCTTGCTTGGGTTGCGGTTGCTTTGATGATGGGTTGCTTGCTTGCTTGCTTGGCTGGTTGGTTGGAGGGGTTAGTGAGCAGGCGGGTCAGTCTCTTACACTTGTATGACTCAGAATGCGCGAAGGGGCGAATGGCACGGAATATGAATCAGCGAACACAACATATCTATCTTGGACAAATCAACAAAAGCGGCTTGCTGCACATATTCTCTACAGTAGTGGCAAAGCAGGCCTCTCGTTGCAACCATTTCACCTGTGCCATGCAGATTGCTCAACAATAGACGTGCTGCTCGACTTCGATAGTCGAAAGCCATTGGGCATGCGGGCGAGCCTGGAGGATGAGTTGTGGATTTTGAGATATCCAACATTATCCAACACTCGGGTGTGGGGGGTCGTCAACGGTTTCCTAGAAAGGCACAAACACCCAGACACAGACAGAGACATACACTGAGAGACACGGACACATAAGAACACAAACAAACAAAACACACAAACACTGACATAGACACACACACACACTCAGAAACCAAAACACATTCGCAAACATACACAGCCACAAACACACGCGCAGCGCATATACATGCCTATCATTATGCTTATATGTATGTATGTATGTATATATATATATATATACCCTCAGAGTCCAAAGGCCTTTCGAAGATAGGCCTCTGACAAGAGGTCTCAAAAAGGTTAAAAGGCCTCATTGAGTATCATGCCGAGTATATGTGCTGAGCAACCATGCCTTTTTGAGGCCTCCCCAGGCCCCGTTTTGCTAAAAAGTCACCGTTTCGTCTAGTAACACCATCCGAAATGCGCATAAATCTATAACTATACTTCGAAAAACCATGCACCCTACCTATGCAAAACAAATCGTTTGGGTGTATCACGTGTCTGTTTCCCTTGCGCTATCGCTGCATCTTCAGAGAGCGTCTAAACCAGCGCGAGATGGCAAAGAGAGCATGGATCAAGCTCCACCAAACGTACACGCAGGCAAAAGTTCCAAGGATTTCAATTTCGGACGGGCCCCCAAACAAAACACGTCCCGGATCGTGTCGTTTCAGGGGTACCCTCAAATATACCCCTGTCCACGGGCAAACCATGACTTTTCGGGGCCGTTCCATGGCTTTTCGAGGCCTTTCCACGGGTAATCCACGGGTTGTCCACGGTGCAGGCGGTACCCAGCCACAAATGCACATATTGTGAACAAATCGAATTCGATACCAGGAGTGCCTGTGAAATCACACACGCATAGTCTGAATTGCTACCTGCCAGGCGTGCCAAACACATGCGTTGCCCCTGCATCAACACCTCCTAGCCAGGCCGTAGGGCTAGCTGCCAGAAAGGCTCACCAGGGGCGATTTCCAGTGGCTGGATCCCCTCTAGCACCCTTCGAGAAAAAAGGTGGCCCCAAACATAGTCAAGATTGCCACACATACTTTTCAGGGCCTAGGCCTTGAAAAGGAACATCCTATTTAAGGCCGAAGGCCTCACTTAGTAAGGCCTAAGGCCTTACTTAGCAAGGCCCTGGAGCCTCCAAAAGTAGGCCTCTCCAACAGAACAAGGCCTAGGCCTCACGAAGAGAGGCCTTGGACGCTTAGGGTATACATATTTATGATTTGCACACACACACATGCGCGCACTCAGGAACAAAACGTTAGGCATTTCCCCTCCAATCCACGCGAAACATCCGGAAAGCAACTGCTCTGATTCTGATCTCGATCAAACCCTTCGGCTCCGACGCCGCAATCCCAACCCCCTCCCCGGCTCCAGGCACGGAATTTGGGCGAAGTACCATCCAATTTGCAAACTGCAAGTGGGTGTGGGTCAAAATGGGTACCCATCATGGCCAAGTGAATTTTGGTAGACAGGTTAGAATAAGGGTACCCTTTTTGCTGTAGTCTACGTTAGTAGGCGATAGATGGGCTACCCTGGTAATGGAACCAAGGACCAAAAACTGCGGTTCAATTGCTGGTGGTTTAATGTTGACTCATACCCAAGGTACCTTCATCACGGGCATGGCTCGTTCATGAAGTCAGCCCGTTGCTTGCCCAGACTAAAAAGGGGGAGTCTGAATCTCCTTGTTGCGCCCCAAGACACGTCAAACCGTAGAACAGCATGGAACTGCACTTGTAACTGGATGTCTTTTCTCGGTAACCCTTTTAAGGGGTGGTTTAAGGGAAAGCAAAAGAAAACTACCCATTTTGTGGCGTGCCTTATTTAGAGATAATCCCAATTCACAAACCTGAATTCAGGCATCAGTCAGGGACCTATATCGTGGATGAACTCGTTTCACCCCGAATCGATGATCTCGCTTGCAGTGAGCTTAATGTCTTGCATCCTGTTGTTTTCCTTTCAAACCGCCTCCGAAGGATACTTTCAAAAAACACACACGCACAATCACACCGAAGTAGGGCTCTTTGCCCTTCCCCGCTCCGAGGTCCTCCAGTGGGGTGGTCAACTGCACTTTGTGCACCTCCCCAGAAGGGTCGACTTCCACCTTGGCTCTCGAAGGACAAGCAAGCAAGTCGGAATTTACAAACGGCACCCTCCAAAGCGTTTGGCTTCCTTTCGGTGTTCCAAAGACCAAAAGAGGCACACCGGTTGCAGTGCGAGGAAGAAACTGGAACTGGTTTGCAACTCAAGGCCATTGTCTTGCTTGCGCGCAGGAGGGGCTTCCCATTTACCCTCCACAAGAACCAGGGGGTTCAAATCCCCAACCAATCCAAACCACCAACTCAGGGCTCCCTGGCGAGCACCGGGCTGCAAGCCCATGCCAGCACGTGTTCGGACCCCCCCGCAGAGCTTCTCAGGGAGCAACAAAAACTGCTGGGGTGATTTCCCCGGCACTTTCCCCATTTTACGAGGAAACAAACAAGAAGTCAGAAAAACAAACACAGAAAAACGCACTGACCACTCAAGAGCACATCAACAAAACACACCACACATCGCACAACACGTGCAAAACAGGCTCGCCGAGCGCCGCATCTTCTCCGAGCCGAGCCTCCCCGAGCCTTCCTGCGGCCCTCCGACGCATGCGCCGCGAGGTCGACGCAGCTGAAGCGGAAGCGCCGCTTCTTCGCGCGAGGCCGGTGGTGTGCTGCGCCTGGCGAGGGGGCAGTCTTGGTATGGATGACTACCCCGACATCTCGGATTTGGAGGGCGCAAATGAACCTGGAGTCTCCATGACCCTCAAATCATGGGACCATGACCCCATTATTTAAGTCATGGACTCATTTTTACAGGGGTCATGGAGACTTCAGGCAGATCTATTTCCTATTCGGACCCTCAAGTGCCTACTGGGAGGGAGGATACCCTTAGACGACTCCATGGAAGATCCTTCGCTCCTCAGGATCGGCCTTCTGGGAGCTTCCAGCTGTTGGTCTGAGGAAGTGTAACTCGTTGACATAGGTGAAATAGGTGGGTTTCCATGGCAAATGGAATAACACTTGCCATCTATGTCTAAAAACTCTAACCTAGAATGGACACCTATGCTAGTTGACTGAATTGCCGCTCTTTAGAAAATGCAAACATGGGGATGGGACCACCCCAGAATGGCGGTGGTTTCCTCACGGCTTGAATGACCCGTTAAACGGGTTGGTTCCGAATCGGATGCTACATGATTCTCACAGGTGCCTGGGCGTTGGGCAGGAAACCGGAGACCCGATTGGTGTTTCTTCAGCTTGGGCTGCTGAACCCCACAAAAGGAAAAGGCGGGGTGTAACTAACCAATGTAATTTGTCATGGCACTTGCCTCAAAGAGGGACCCAAAGACACCCCTTACAGAAGACAAAGCTAAACCCAAGCTGGGGGTAGGAGTAGTTGCATCGGGTTAACTCAGCAGCCTGCATCAAGAAATATCTCCAAAACCTTCACTGGTGGAATGGCTCATTTCAATCTTAGCTCGCCCAAGTGAGCCCTGGCAAGCTGCTTTTTGCTGGACAGGCTCGGGGCAGCGTCACATGCTTCACCCCCGGCTGGTCATTGGCTTCCAGCCCCATCCCTGCCAGGTGCTTTAACAGATTCGGTTCCTGGTCCATGGCCCCAAGGAAAACCTGCTCTGGTCGTTTAAGTCTGACCCATGTCCATTTGGGGAATGTCCTTCGGTCAGGCTCCACAAACATAAAGAGCTGAATCCGGGTTCCCGAAAAATAGATCCACACATCCAAGCACCATCGGGATCAATATATGTGGTCGGCACCGCCAATTTCGGATCACGGCTTGTGTCAAACCCCAAAACTGACACCTTCTCTGTTGGTTTCCCTTTCAGCCAAAGGCTACCTCTTGCCAACCAAAACTTCAAACCTGTCATGGCTTTCGCTCGGCGTGCCTGATGACCTTCATGGATCTCCAGCGCACTAGCGCTCAGGAGCCTCAGGCACCGCGTTTTCTTCAGGCGCCCTTTCGTGTGGAACAACGAAACATATATATATATATATATATGTATGTATGTATGTATATATGTATATGTATATATGTATATGTATATACCACTTGCCTCGGTTTTGTTCAAGCCAACAAATACACGCCGAGGGCCTTATTTTGGGCTTATTGGCCGGTGCCCTCATTTGGCCTTCTTTAGCCTTGGCCTGACCTCACTTGGCCTTTTGACCTAAGTATGGCGAACTCGTTGGCGGGGTGTAGGTGATTTACTTCCAAACTTTGCTAGAGAATATGGCGACCTTTCCCGGCATGGGCATCTCACGTTCGCTTCCAATGTTTCAAATCACTAGGCGATCTTGCGATTTCTCCTCATCACCGACCATGCATGGCCCAAAATGGAAAATCATGTCAGCTTCCATATTGAAGGTTTGAATGGTTGCTAAGAAGTTAGGGGTGGGTTGGGGGTGTTTTCCCATTTACCCCCTACACAAGCCAGGGTGCAACTGCCTCAACCCACCAATCCAAACCACCAGCTAGAGCCTGCCTGGGTGATGAACCCCAAAACGCCAGATGGTCATTCAAAACATCCAGGCACATCAAAGGATTCTGTGCTGGCGCTTGGGCGAAAACGAATTGCCCTTCATGCATCCCTCTTGCCAGGTAGCCCAGTGATTAAGAAGGCAACCAAGAGGAACACCCTGTAAATCCAAAACGAAAAGAATTGGCCTGCTGCTATGCTGGCGACTGGACAGAGATCCACTGGATTCTTGCCTTCTGTCCATTGAGCCAACCTGCACTCGGTTTCCAACCATAGAAGTCAAGGCTCCTTAAGAGGGCAGTCTTCCAAAATCCCGACATGGTCCACTTCGATCGGAACGCAAAGACTCAGCGCCGTGCCACGCGAGAAGGCCTGCAGCTGAAGACCAACCAAAGCCCCCACCATCCATGGACCAACACCCTCAAAGATCGCGGAAACCTACGCTTTTGGGCTGGATGTTTGGCTGATTCTCCAGAGCTCGTTCCAGGAAAGCCTCCTTCGCTCCAATAGAACTTCCGGACCCGTCCGACCGCCAAAACGTCGCACTGGCTGCGTGGAGACCTTCTTGGAGGTTCTTCAGGGTTCACCGGATGGACAAGTTGCAACCCTGGTGGGGTTCAATCACACTTCCAGGTGTGCATAAACAAGCAAAAGTCAGGCAACGATGTCCTTCCAAAACCAACTGGGGCACCTGGAAATGGCAGGGAGGCCCTGCAAATACGGATCATTTCTTTCGCAGAATTCTGGAGGACCCACCGGAACCTTCTCACCGATCCTTCCAATTTAAATCACTACACAGAAAGCTGGGATCCGTTCGAAATGCCTTCTCAGAACGTGCATGATCCCCCATATTTTGCCTGCTTCGGCTTTAGCTCCGAACAAAGTGGGAGTAGATCAACACCAGCTCACAATCGTCCCCTGTGAACGGTTGGCCATGTTTGTGCCCGCCTTCCCAATATACTCCTTGAGGGGGCCTAGATGTGATGTTGCAATGATGGTCGCCCCCTTACTTCAGCTACGAAGAGTGCCGAAAGGTAAACCACACCCCATGATAAATTGTTGTCGCAATGAACCAGGCCAGGAATCAGGAGCACGGTTGCAGACACCCCAAGCAAGCAATTTTCCGTGGAAACTCCTTCCAGGGCTTGCCCCAAGCAGTCAAAACCGCGAATTCTAAAGTGGGAAGCCCCAATTATGTACAAGCCCTGGTACAAGCCCAAATCGTTCATTTTCCTTTTGGTTGATGCTGGATTCCACTGGGCCCAACCAGCAAGCTGGCATCCGGTTGAGCTCCCCACGCGTGAATATGGACATATGGAGGTGCCTTGGCGTTGCACACCAAGCTTTCTACCTGCTGCCCACCAAAAATATTATTTTTGGTATCAACTTGCAAAGGACAAATGCAGAAGAGATCCCAGCTATTTGATCACTTCCATTTGCTTGAGCTCCCGAAAACTGTATATATATATATATCCAGTAGTGATAGTTTGTTTTAACCAACAAGAGAAAATAACACATATTCTTAAGCAACTGGAAGATCAACAGTAAAGGGCTGAATGATTGAAATTGGACACGGTTCTCTGTTGCGATGTTGGGCCCCTTTGGTCGTTGGCTTCCCGAAACGGCGGCTTCCACCCATCTAGAAGCAAACCCAGAAATTGGAATATGGGGGTGTCTTTCCCAGGATTGATAACCCCCTGGTTGATCAATGGCTGTCCCGTTGAAGAGAAAAAACGGTGCACTTTCCAGGGGAGTCGCACGCCCCGCTTTGACTGGTGCCTTCTGGGCTTGGCTTCTGTGTTTGAGTCCGCCGTCTGGGCTAAAAACTGGGCACCTTCAATTCGGGAGGCCGAATTGGGGAGGAGTCAACTCAGATTCCCCGGCCGGGGGAATTGTACAGTTTCCGCCCGAAACACCGACAGAAAACTCACAACCAGCACCCAAGGGTGGTCCATTTGTACTCAAAATGGCCCAAGGGCGCTTCAGGTACAAATAGACCACCCTTGGAGGGTGCTGGAACGTTTCTTGAGAGGCAGGTGAACCAAAGCTGGCCAGCGCAGCGTATCGTGCAACGCAGTTGCCAAGAGAAACTCCGTGTCTCTGTTTCTTATTTGGGCAGAGAGGCCTGTGGCCCGAAAAGGCCCCGCTCAGCACCCAAAACATGTAGAGGGGGGCTTGTTGCCCAAAACGGTCCCCGATAAGAAACTCAGCGTCTCGGCTTCCTATTTGGACAATGTGCCCAAAACAGGACCCGCTAAGAGACTCTAGAGCAAAAGAAGCGAGACACTGCAGGTGTTATGTAGAGAAACAGCCGTCATCATGGGCTGCCATGGGCTAGTAGCTACACTAACCGCGGTTTGCTCCTTAAGGGCGGTGAGCTCCCTCGGAACTTCGCAAGAAAAAGCATGACTACTCATGCGAGAATCCGCGAAGAATCTCAGTGTCACTGACGCCACATGTCCCTCTACCTGCTTGAAACCATACTTGCCTAAGAATGCAAGTGACACTGGCCAATTCTTTCAGCTGTATGGCAAGGCGAACAAGCCTTCAATGAAGTCAACCCTGCAGTTGGCTAAAGTAGCGGGCTCACTTGCAATCTGCAGGGACCCTACAAACTGCCCAAAGGTGAGGGTCAATAAGCCTTGTAAGTCCAAGGAAGGGCCCAATAATCCCAGAAACCCTTCGTTCACTCTTTTGTGGGGGCTGTGTTTCAATGAAAAAAGGGACTCGCTACTGCACCAACCTGACGCTTCTCTCGATGCAACCGAAAGGCCTGGCATTAGCAAACGGCACGACAGCGTGGCTGTGAGCCGGATGCCAAAATGAGCGTCCCTTGATCAGCCTGCTGATTTTGATGTGGAACATTACATAGTATCTGTTCTCCGTGAGCGTCGACCAGAATCAAACCCAGTGCTTCGAAAGAGGGAAGTGGGGACTTGAATCTCCAGTTCCTCTTGAAACTAGATGGATACCAACCTCACCAGACCTTCCAGGCATGGCCACACAATTGTAGGCTAACGCTAACCCTTGGATATGAGCGTCTTTTTGGGGGGACCCCAAAAGACGACACACTCATATTTCGACCTCTAGATGTTACATTTCCAGCCTGGATACCT